CTATCTCCTCTACCCTCATACCAACCAACCTCGGATACACAACCACTGGCAGTGTTGATATAGCTCTTGACTTACTGATCTTACTGTCTATTCCAACAGCAATGGTTATAGCTTTGAAAGGTCAAGAGGGTATCCTATCTTACTTTGCCATTACTTCTATCGCTCTTGTCCTGATCAGATCACTCAAACAAAAGTACTCCCAATCTCCGAAACATGAAGGCCTGTACACTTGGTGGAGACTAACTATCCTTACCATTATACTGATCATTATTGTCTACGGATTTTTAATAAGTGTTTGTCAGAATGCCTTATACACTTATTTTAACCTCTATATCAAATGTAACCTTACTAATGCTTAAGTAAACAACTTTCTAATGATATTAATCACCTTCCATCCCTTCTCCTAGGCCTTTCCAGAACTTGGTTGCATTGATTAGCCCAGTCCATTACTCCATAACCATTTCAATCCATTTAAAGACCATATCCGAATAAATAACCAAAAACCTTTAATAATAGTAGGCACCAATGTCTTCATCTAACTATAAACCCATCACAATATCCTCGGCTAGTCCCCAACTCTTCTCCATCAACATTTCTTGCACTGTCTAGCTATAGGTACAAACTCTCCCATCGGCACCTATCATTCTATTTGGGCCCCCTACTCAGATGATCCTCCTGCAGGATTAAAAGAGTTGCTATAAGGTTCAAAGTTCTGAATACGGCTCATGTTGATTGTGCTGTACTTCAGTTTAATTATCTTCACTTCTTCACCTTTCGTCTTCTCAGCTTTCTCTTGGATGTCACTAAGTTTCGAAGAAATCAAGTATCTCCTCCACTCATCTATCACTTCCCTGTTCACATCTAACTTCTTTCCCTCCTTAGCATTCCTAACCTGCTCCTCAAGCTTTGGATAGTTGCTGAGATCTTCGAGTTCAAACTTCTCCAATAACTTTCTGCAAATATTTTCATTCGCTTTGTTGAGCTCTTCTGTCTTCTCATTTATCTCTTCTCTTCCCATGCCATCGGAAAAAGTATCGTTAATCTTCCTTCCAACACATCCATTTGCCCAGAGAGTCAGCTTTTCATACTCAGGATCCCCACACCTCAGTATCCCAAGAGTTATGTGAGTTCTATAGTCCTTACTTGCTGTATATCCAATGTTAAACTTCCATCCTTTTCCTTCAACTCCTATTCCTCTCATGTCCTTTGTAATCCTTCCTCCATACCCCTTCTCCTCCAGAGCCTTTGCAAAGTGTTTAATCCAGACATATCCTAACACATTCAGCTTCTCTTTGATCTTATCCATCTCTTCCTTGATCGTCTTCAGCTCCACTCTGGCAACCACATGAGATGGATAGTCCCTGCCAAGTATCATCACCTCCCCGCAACTCCTAATCTCAAAGCACGACGGAACATCTACAGAAGACGTCATTTTATCCAGTTTTTTCTTGATATAGTCATCAAACACAGAGAATATATTCCAAGGAAGCGTGTTGGGATCATACCCATCCTTGAAAAACTCAACACACACCTGGAACATCGTCATGTGGAAGCTTTCTTCACGTGTCTTTAGCAATGCCCTCTCTTCCCCCAGGGTGTTCACCAGCTCCTGAACCCATCCTTTTGGATCAACCTCTATAATCACTCCAAATCCAGGCCTTGTTAATGTAATACTCGTCTCATCAAACTCTGTAGATGGATGACTCCATAAAAGTCCACTAATACTTCCCTTAATTTCTTCTATATCACTTTTAGAAACTAACCCCATATTGAAATCTCCATCAAGTTCATTCGAAGCTCTCAGAATCTGCAGCAGAGTGAACACATAAATCATGCCCCCTCTTTTCCTCGGAGTATTTAAAGGTTAAAGATCCTGAAAATCTCCTTATTAATTCATATATTTATACCTATCACCTCAAAATGATATAGGAGATCATCTATCGAACACACCATCCAAACCCTTCTGCAGCCAGTTGCATCCAGCCCCCGTACCACTATCATCGGGCTACTATGAACTAAAGAAGAAAACACCCTGCTACTCAGCTATATCCACTCAGAGCAAAAAATCTCAAAGCTCTTGTTTAATAAACCTATACTCAGATCACAAACCATATCGTTTCAATCCATCCGAAGCATCTCATATTCTTCACTACTCACAAACCCGTCATCATGTAACCGTGACAATCGTGAGTTTCCATACCTACAGTAGTCAAAACTTCAGAGCTCCCACATCGCTTGTTACACCATGCCCAAAGATACCATAGAAAGTGGCTGTATGCCATGGCCCCAGGTACAAGCCTCACAATCTCCAGCCAAGACTCATCTCCTCCCATGTACTCCCGAACAAACTCCATCTGCTCCTCGGCACTCGGGAATCTCTCCTCCAGAAACACATATCTCGAATAGTCATACCCCGCCTCGCAAAACAGATTGGCTATCTCAATCACAGGGGACCCCATCGCTGCAAACTCGAAGTCGATCAAGACAACTTCATCTTTGCTCACCAGTATGTTTCCAGGCTGAAGGTCGTTGTGGCACATCACAGCCTTAAATCCCCCCTTGGGTACTTCAAACACTCTATCCCGGGCTTTCATCAGAATCCAGAAAACACAATCATCCCCAGAACACCATCCGGCATCAGAAGCCCTCATCCTCTTCATCTTCTCCTCTATCGAGGAAAGACTCATGTCTCCCCTTCCGCTGCCCGCCACCATCTCTCGGATGCATTTCACCATCATACTTTCTACCAGCTCTTCATAGCTTCTTATTCCCTCAACATGTGTATCATGAAACTTCCGAAGCTCCGGTGCAATCCTTCTCAGATCTTCCCTGATGCTTCCATGCCTTCCCTCCAGGCGCTTCTCAATCCGGAACCTGTGGTTTGATGCCACCACCCTTTCTCCCCCCACAATCCTGTTTATCATCTCGTCCTGTTCATCAAACTCTCGAAACTCTTTATAAATGTATTTACTCCCATTCACCTCAAACATGTACACCACATTGCTGTATGCTGTCCTGATCCTGCTCATCCCAGATGGCTCACCGCCTATACACATCCTTATGTCCTTTATGACTTCCTGGGGCACTCCTGGTTCCTGTTTCCCGCCAATGGCTGTTGTATCCACACCAGGCTCCTTGGAAAGTAGCTCTTCATCTCCACAGAGCTTACCATCCCTCCTTCGCACCATGGGTATATCCCGAGCAAAGTATACACAAACAGGAATAACATAAGAGCAACCTTCTCAAGGATATCCAATGATCTCGATTAAAGCTAGAGGCATATTTTTCATAGAGAAAACTTTTCTTATAGACCTTATAAACCATTACTTTCCTATTCTAACAGATTTCATAATGGATTTTTTGATTTTATAATAAGTACTATTATTGATTACTTTGTACAAAGATATATAGGAGATAAAACTTAATTTGATATAATAAAAAGTATACCAAAATGAAAGATGGAGAAGGAACAAATTTTGGAAGCGATAAACCGTATTGAGCTTCTCTCCAATGGATGCAATGGAGGAAAAGTTATGGAGAGGATATTGGAGGAGATTGGTAGAAGAGTTTCTTATGAGTTTAACGAAAAGACAATCGAAAAAGTTCTTGAGGAAATTGTTACAAAGATAAAAGAATATTCTTCGGATGATATATGCAAGCAATTGGATGAGTCTTTGAAAAAAATTAAAAAGATATTGCAATCTTTGAGAGAATGGGCAAATAGCCAAGACATAAAGAATGAAGTCGACAAAACTAGTGCATTAAAAGCGATTAACGACCTACACAGATGGGTTTACCCGCAAGTTTTTGGATGCAAGAAAAAGCTTGAGTTGATCAGAAGCATTCTTAAGAACATGATTTGTAAAGGTTACTCTTTAAATCCGGACGAAGAAGTTCTTGAAGAGATTATAAATGTCATAGGCTCCGATCTCTTGAAAGGCGATGACGAGAAGTGGTATAAGGATATTAAGGATATCATCCAAAGTTCCTTAAATAAAGGCTACAAAGCTCTTTTGAAAATGAATAAGGAGGTTGGCTCTAAGCTTAGGAAATGCAGTGACGATCTTAATGCCCTTCAAGAAGATTTACTTACTAGTGATGGATTTAGTTGGGAGAGTTTAGGGTTTCAAGATTTGTATAGAAAATACAATATAATTTCGTACAATCAAGATCTTATAGGAAAAGAATTGGCTTTGGCATTAAATGACTCAGTTATTAACGTAACTGATGTTTACGGAACTTTTAAGGATAGTGGGTTTTGGAGTGGAGGGCTTTACAAGCTAGAAACGTATTTAAGATCCATTGAAGGTGAATCATATAGATTGAATCAGCTGAATTCCACCATTCATGATATTAGGCATAGATTTGCAAATCTAGAGTCACTCGACGATGTATCGAGAAAAGGATGTTATTGTGCATATCTGCTAATTATTGCAATGGTTATAAGTAATATGCTTAAGACATCTGAAAAGTTGATAGCTATAACAAGGTACATATCATTTGTGATATCGATATTGGGACCTATTATATATGGAGTATGGATTATATGGAATAGTTATAGGCTAGATAGAGATAATGGCTTGAAGGGTGCTATAGGCCGAAACTTGGGAGTATTGGTGTGCATGTTTCCAGTGATGACCGGTGTAGTAGATATTGGGAAGGGCGGAAGGATTAGGATTGATAGTAGATGGATGGATGGGCGAAATAACGAAATAGCAGGAGCAATGTGCATAATGATGATGCACCTACAAATACTTATGAATGAAAACAGAAAAACATCATATATAGAATTGGGTGTGGTTGCAATTGGAGACATTATATTAGCATTTAGTCGCTACTTCAAAGAATTTATAGTATGCCTACCTGATAAATATGACTTCACTTGGATTGGGTATATTATGGTTGGATTAGGATGTGCCTTATGGTGGAAGTGCCGGGGAACAGAGAGATGTGGTGTAATAAACAAGAAAGATCCAAAACTGATATGGGGAGAGGTGATAGTTTCCATGATGAGTGGAATGGTTATTTTATTTGAATCAATGGGCAAAGTCAAAGCAGTGGAATGCACTTAAAAAGTAGACATCCCCAGTCTATATAATTATATCTCGTAGAACATGTTAGATTAAAGATCTGATTTATTGGATAGAAATACCTTTTGCGATATATATTAGAATAGCATGTAATAGCTACAATAAGATCCAAACGGACCCTAAAGTTACATCAAGTAGAGAGAATTGTTGGGATGAATCCAGGAGCAAAGTAACAGCTATATAGTTCAGTTCTTTCTACCAATCATGAGGCATGCTCCACCACCAATGAGTTTCAGGAATATTTTTTGGGATGTAACATATATGCCGTATCGGACAGCGATTAATTTTTTCTCTCAACCTTTTATCAAATTCAGAGAGGTCTAGTCCTTCGTACCACCTATCGAATCCTTCTGAGTCCAACTCTCTGAGCCGGCATTCAAAAAATTCAATAAAATACTCTATTCCGGAGCGAGCCGTACAAATTTCTGCAAGTTTACACTCTGCCTCGCCGACATCCTCATAGACGTAGTATATTGCGTCAAATGCATGACAGAAGTATCTTGATAATGGTTCGCATATTTTTTGAGCAGCCTTCTTGTTTTTCATGGTGAAATCAAGCAACCATGTATCGGGAAGCTCTTCACAGTATTCATCAAAAAAACTTATGCCGAACTCAACAAATGCGTCCATTAACCACCATATTTCTGATATACTTGGGTTTTCTGGAAAATTTGCCATTTTATTCTCCAATAGCTGACTCTGCTCATAGCACATTTCCTTAGATATATTTACAATAAGTAAAATAAATTATAAAGTTTTTTCTGTAAAGAATTAATAATTAGGTAATATATTTATCGAAATGAAGTGTTATAAAAGCACATTTCTAGAATTCGCCTTTTTATGGCCTATTCTTTATATAGACTGAAAAGATTCCTACTAGTGCATGTATCTATGCTCAGCAGGTTTCAAATGACCTTGGTTACTCACACGAATGGAGCTTCAGTATTATCTATCTCAAGTGCAACACATTGTTATGTTGCTACAGGAGCTTAAGCAATTTCCAGAAGGGTATGTGTAACCTGATATGTTAAATACTTCTGAGACATATCCTTTTTGTTTCACAAGAAGTTTTTGACCACAACAAACCGGAGTCCTTGAATGAAAAAGCCCATTGAGGAACTCATGGCAAGTTTGACTTACCTTTTTAGTTCGATAATAACAACACTTTCCAACAAGTACATACTGTCAAATCTCGGATTTAAGATGCAGTATCTTTTAGTGGCTGCACAGTCCTTCACTATAGTTATGGGACTTCTTGTCCTGAGAGGTATGAGGTTGATTGAATTTAAATTGACAAATTTCAGGAAGTGGATGATTCCTTCTCTTTTATTGACAGTGATGATATTTTCCGGATCGAAGTCCCTCTATTATCTCCCAATATCCCTATATACTCTGTTTAAAAATAGTAGTATAGTTGTAGTTGCACTGCTTGAACAGTACCTATTTGAAAAAAGAATAGGTGCCCTGTCTTACCTATCGTTCATATTGATGATTATTAGTTCTTACACTGGTAACTCTTCTGATGTCATTCTCAGTATTGGATATGCTTGGATATTAATCAACATCCTATCCACAACGGCCTATGTATTATCGCTGAAGGTAGTAGTTGACATGAACAGCAAGGCAAAAACTGAATCTGTGTACTATTCAAATCTTATTTCATTACCCATTCTTACTTTTCTATCAATATTCTTTGATGAAAAAGATGCAAGTGTCTTTGGTTTTAAGGTGTTCATATGGATCTTAATCTCGTCGCTCTGTGCATTCTTTACATCTTTCAGCACAGCTTGGACACTGAATGTTCTTTCTTCTACTGCTTTGAGCATGATTGGTGCACTGAACAAGAGTTTAGGATCTTTTGCAGGAATATTTGTACTAGGGGAAATCATCAATGCCCAGAAGATCCTTTCTTTGCTTTTAGGATCTCTGGCATCTGCCATATATTCATATGACATCTCTTTTAGAAAGAGAAGCTAGACAGAAGATAAATACTGTAAATTTTTAGATATTACACTATTATTTTGTTTAGTATTTTAAAGCTAGGGGAGGGCTCCCCGAATGAACAGATATGAAACAGCTGATCATGATTATATGCATGCCAAGGATTACTTTAATAACTATAAATTCGGATATATTGAGAGAACTACAAAGACTCTTCTTCTTCAAAGTCTAAGGCCAGAAGACAGGCAGAATGAAGATCTGCTTACTATACTAAACCAAAGCAAATCCCAACTGAAGGATGTCAAGTCTATTGGCAAGGAAGCTTCTAAATCTATTTCTGAACTATCTGAACTTATTTATGAGGCAAGAAACAAGCTCTCGAGATATGAGGAAATGCTAAAGTACGAAACAGAAAGAGAAAAGAGCCTTAAAGAAGAATGCACCCGATTTGAAAGCCTTGACGAGAACCTGAAGGTCTACGATGAGCTTACGGCGCAATTTGATAGAGGGTGTAAAGAGATGCAAGTGAATATTGAAAAGATAAATGTCCTTAAGGAAGAAATAGCAATGATGAGCACCAATGAAGCCGAAGAAGAGCTAAAAAGTATCAAGAACCGAAGAGATAAGCTTTGTGGAAAGCAGAAAAGGCCTTCTCTGATAACGATGGAAAGTTATATAGAGAATTCATACAATTGGTATAGAAAGGCACTTGAATTTATCAAAAATGTTTTCGGTATAAGCCTTGTTACAATTGAGCAGGAAAACAATGAAATGTACATGAGGCTTAAAGCTTCTACATGCGAGATAGGGATATTTGTGAGAGACGGGCGAATGATTGAGTCCAAACTATATAATACCAGTGATGAAAGCTTGATGTCGTTGTTTCCAGCTCTGAACAAGTTTGCTGTATCTATTAATGACCCACGTACACTACTTATGTTAGTCGCAAACAGATGCACGACATCTGAGGATTGAAACCCTTCTTTTTATTCTCAGAGTTGGCACCTGATAAATCCTTTTGAATAAACAAAAATAATGGTAATTAGTTGTATGCTTGGACTGGTAGCAGCTGTGCAGACATGTCTTAAGGACAGTGATTGCCTAGCCAAATCAAGGCCAGATGTCCACTCAATGTTTTGTGTCAATAATGTGTGTCAAAGAATCCTATCACCAGGAAAGCATTGCACCAGGCCTACTGAATGCTCTTCATATTCCTTCTTTGGGCCATTGGCTTGTACTGGAAAGTGTAAAATCGAGAGTGAGTGCGAATATGGTAGGGATGACAATCTAGATTCTATGTATTGCTGCAGAGGTATTCCTGAGGGAAAAGAATGCAATCCAAACAGGCCTGGCTCTCTTAGCGGATGTGACATGACCCAGTCGTGCCTTATGGGGAAAAAGGGGTTTTATGAGTGCGTTCCTGATAAATCAAGATCCTGGATATTCGGGGTGTTCCTATCGATAAGTGGAAACATTGGGATAAATGTTGGTATAAATCTTCAGAAGAAGTCATACAAGCAATCCCATATAAGGTTATTTAACATGAATCTACAGACATTTTATGCTGGATGCTTTATATATGGACTAGGGAAAATTTTTGGATACTGCTCATATATTTTTGGAAATCAATCGCTGATGGCAGTGCTGAGTGCAACCGGACTTGTTTCGAATAGTATATTTGCTCCGATGATAAACGAAGAGATCTTTACCTGGAAGGACTTTTGTGCAATATTCTTTGTATTTGCTGGAACAACGCTTATAGTTATGAATACAACAACCAGTCACAAAGTATACACCTTGTGTGAGCTTATGAAGATGTATAGACGTGTGGAAACATTATTATGGTTTGGGTTTATTATTCTCATAATCGTGGTTCTTTTTGTTTTTATCAAGTACATAGAAATTAACAGCAACTGGGAGCTTCCAGATGAAAACATGACATTTCTAAGAAGAGAAGACGTCTGGTTTGATGAAGAGGGAGTGATTATGAAATACACAATGGTTTTAGCTTATGTGTGCTTGTCCTCGTTCATAGCATCCTTTACAACCTTGTCTGTTAAAAGTTTGGGAGAAATGATCGACAAAACCATTGCAGGAGACAATCAATTTATATTTCTCACAACATATTTCTTTATCATAGTTCTTGTGATCTGTACATTCTTCCAGATATATTGGCTCAATAGGGCCCTGAGGCATTACGACGCTTTGCTTGTGATCCCGATGTTCCATGTAACCTGGACCCTCTTAAGTATACTTACTGCAGGAATTTACTTCAGAGAGTTTGAGCAGTATACTAGCTATCAGTTGGGTGTATTTGTCGGCGGAATAGGGCTGATCTTTATCGGATCCATCTTTCTAGGAAGTAGGATAACAAACAAAGCTTGTATCAAAACCAAAAACATTAGGACAGTTCCAAAAAAGATACTCAAGAACCAATAAAATCCAAGTTATTTCATGAATTTCCATCTGAAACAGTTTTGGGTATTTATGATCCGATGACTAAAACAGGTGCATTCTCAGATATCCTGGATGAAAGATGGAGACATTTACACTGTAGATAAAATTGTTGGGCATCGAAGGAGAAGGGGCACAAAACAGTATCTTGTGAAGTGGGAAGGGTATTCAGACTCCGAAAACACTTGGGAGGATGAAAAGAATATTTTCTGTAAGAAGTTAATAAAGGAATATGAAGAATCTCAAAGAAAATTAAAGAAGGGCAATAGACAAGTAAATAAGAAAAAAGCTGTTCCTAGGAAATCTAAGAAGGACCTACCAAGTAGTAGCAGATGTGTTACTAATGACTGGGACGAGCTAGTTGACAGAATTGTATCAGTAGAAAAAAACGGGCCCATCCTTGTGGTTTGGTTGTTATTTAAGGATGGAAAGAAAGATCGCTTTCCTGCATCAGAGATTCATATAAGATGCCCATTACACCTACTTGAATACTATGAAAGCAATTTAGTTTTCTGCGAAGATGGAGTAAATGATATCAAGTAAGGTTCTTTATTTTATGTAGGGGTCTGATTATGACCTTCAAAGAATAACAATTCTTCCATCCGTCTACTTCCTTGCTCTATTTTTGGAGTTTCAGATGATGGAATAAGTTAGCAATATGGTACATCCTGTGCCGAAAGAGTTGCTAATAGAATATACGGTCTCTTTTTCAATGACACAAATGCTTCCTCTCTTCAGAATTATTTTATCTTGGCCCATTTCTATGCATGCAGTTCCCTTGATCATGAAGATTGAAAAATTACAGACAGCCTTTTCAGGTTTTATGAATGCCAGATTGTTGAGAAACAGAATCGCTGTTTCAAGCATGCTTGATGTCACAAGAGGCTCAAAAGCGCTTCTTCCCCTATATAGCCCGGATATGTTTGTCACGGCAACTTCTTTTCCATCCGAATTGTAAATGGTTTCTCCTTTATACTCATATATTTCTTTAGACTGGATCATACTTTTTCTTGCTACAGGTCTTTCAGACTCCTTTCCAAGGCTTTGTAGTCTTTTTCTATATCTATCTCTCATCTCCTTTGCAGGACTTATTCCTTTGCCCTCCAGAACTCCCCTTGATAGAACTCTGCTATCGTTGCTGACTGTATTATATTTCTCTTCTATTCTGAAGTCTGAAGTACCAATCCCATCACTAAAACCATTTCCACCCATTACATTCTCATTACAGTTTTCATTTTCGCCCTCGATGCTTTCAAACGAACTTGGAGGGCCCTCGTTCTCAAGAATGCTGTTGGTTTCTAATGACTCTCTGCAGGAAGGAATCTGAACTTCCTTGGATTTGGCAGACAAGCTCTCCCTAATAACCTTTATGTCAAATAAGGTATCACTCTGAGTATTTGGCTCATCATTTTCGTTTCTCTCTTCCACAGTATCGCTTTTATATATTGAACTCTCCTCTATCTCGATTGTAGTATCATCCCTAAGCACAGATTCTGCAGTCTTCCAATAATCATCAATGTTCTCAAGGTTATCATCGTCCTTGATTACGTCCAATTTTGTTCCTGGGTCTAAAACCCTTCTTCTATAAGATTTCATCTTCTTATTCAGCCTGCTCGCCGATTCATATGTTTTTCGCATTGGCCGAGGGCTAAACATTTTTGGTCTTTTGGATCTGGAATTAGTCTCTCTGTCGTGATTATCTTTACTCCAGGCGTACCCATAAAGCACATTCTGATGTTTATCGACATTGCTGTGAACATCACTGACAGGCTTCTAGCAAGAGACGAAGGCTCTGTCGAGGAAGTCATTAAAAGGTGCAAAGACAGCAAAGTCCTTCCGATATTTGTCGGTCTGGATCATAATACAAGTAAACGCTGTGTGAGTTTAGCAAGAAAATATAAAACGGTGTCAACTGTAGGGGTTCATCCTACATCGTCTTCAAGGTATAAGAATATTGATGAAATCATCCCGTTGATCAACGATGATGTTGTTGTTGCAATAGGAGAATGTGGTTTAGATTATGACCGTCTCGAGTTTGCAGATAAGACTTCGCAGAAGAGGATTTTTAGATCCCAGTTGGACCTAAAGGGAGACTGCTATTTTCTTCACTCAAGATCTTGCCACAGAGACTTTATGGAGACTATTTCTGATTATGAAATAAGAGGTGTTGTTCATAGCTTCACTGGGGACATAGAAGAGGCCAAGGAATTGATAAAAAAAGGATTGTTTATAGGAGTCAACGGATGTTCTGTAAAGACTCCAGAAGGAATAGATGTTATAAGAAGTCTTCCTCTTGAATCTCTTCTTATAGAGACAGACTCGCCATACTGTAAGATCAGAAAGAGCTATGCAGGATTCAAGTATGTCACAACAGACTTCGGCGGCGAGAAAGTTTTAAAGAAGAAGAATGAGCCTTGCTGTATTATCCAGATGGCTGAAATAATAAGTAGTATAACTGAAAGAGATTACAGCTATGTCGTAAATACCCTATTTGAAAACACAATCCGGCTTTATGGGGATTCGGTAAAGAGGTCAGTAGAGGAATGGGGTTTTTAAATAGACTATTTAGACTGGGCATCATAAGCATATTTAAAATTATTTTTAGGTTAAAAATTACCCCACCCTGAAGATGTCTTTCTGCAAGAACTGGGCCTCGCCTTTTCTGAACAGCTTATGGTCAGAAACATCTGAAACCTGGCAAGAAAACCAGGAGGATTGGAGAATTGTTGGGACAAACCCATTCAAGCGGAGGTCTGAAAACGCATGCAAGATAGAACGCAGGATTACTGATATTCCCTCCAAGCATGTGGCTGACAATATAGAAAACTCGTTTAGATTTATGTCCATAACACCCGAAACTCACTACTACATTATACAGTTTGAGAGTAAAAGGCTTGACGTTGCATTTGTAGACGTTAACATTAATGTCAAAAAGAACTCATATGTGATACTTGAGGCAGATAGAGGAGAAGACTGTGGAATCGTGATGGGAGTAACTACAAAAGAAAAGCTTGAGAAATTACTTAAGAAATACGATGACATCTCTAATGAAGTCCAACCAAAAAGAATATACAGGTTAGCCACACTCCTGGACCTTGAGGCACTAGAAAGAAAAAGGAGTATGCAAGCAAGAGCGTTAGAGTTTTGTAGAGAAAGGGCTATGCTAGGCGGGTTAGATATGGAAGTTGTTGGGTGCGAATACCAATGGGACCTTAACAAAATTACTTTTTACTTTGCTAGTGATGAAAGAGTGGACTTTAGAGAATTGGTGAAGGAGCTTTATCGAGTATACAAGACAAGAATATGGATGTGCGCCATTGAAAAGTCAAAGAATAAGTACTTGAAGGAGCTTATTGAGCTTTAAAGTCTTTCTCTGGCTAGTAATCTTTGTAATTAGAAACCCAATAAAATATTCTTATGTGATATTCTTTTTTAGGGGCTGATCAAAAACTTTACTTCTATGAGCCTAGAAATAGAAAACCTCGGATATCTTCCCATCTTTTTAATTTTTGGATTGGTCTGGCGGTAAAATGATCACCTCATTTATCCTCAGAATACTTATCGCTGCTTCTGTTGCAGCTTTTAATGACTTCATTTTATTCATACTAGGCTCAATTATTCCGAATTCAAAATTGTCCTGAATCTTTCCAGTCATTACATCAATACCCAGAAACCTTTGGCTTGAAGAGCTTGATGCCTCTTTGCTCTGAGAAGACATTAGACTTGCCACAATCTCATTGGAGTCCAGTCCAGCGTTTGTAGCCAGGATCTTTGGAATCGACAAGAGCGATTCTGCATAGCGATGGATAGCGACATGTTCCTTAGAATTGACGGTAAATGCAAACTTCTCTAGCATTAGAGACAGTGCACATTCAACAGACCCCCCTCCAGGAACAACGTGGTTGGACTCAAGTGTGCGCTTCAAAACACAAATAGCATCATGAACCGATCTTTGCATTTCATCAAGAAGTTGGCTGTTCGCCCCTCTCAGGATTATAGACGCCATCTTTCTTTTAAGCCCGTTAATGAATATGCATTCTTCCTCCCCAATTAGTACCACTTCAAACTTATCTGCAGACCCTAGGGTTGTAATACTATCTCCTCCATTGAGGTCTGAAATCGAGTTTATTAGGCTCGTTCCCGTAGCCTTGGCAATAACAACAAGATCTTCTTTCTTACATCTTCGAATTCCAGCAATCCCGGCCTCCGCCAAAATCTTAGTGCACATGTCATCGATCCCTCTCGTTGTAAGAACCACATCAGCCCCAGAGTCGATAATCGCCTTGACCTGCTTTTTTGTTATTTCTAATTCTTTTTTTCTGATATCTTCTAGCTTGTTGGGATCATCTACAACTATGTTTACAGTCAATGGATTCTTATACTTCTGAAGTCCAAAGTCGATACAGAGGATTTTAGGTTTTTTGATTTGCTTTTTCATAAAGCTAGAGGCCAAAGAGCAGTTCAAGGCATATCCCTGATACAAAAAAGATTCCTTTATAGAACCCCCTGGGTGCTTGAGGATATTGATATCTTCTATTGGATACACATTCTTTTTGTTTTCCCTAATCGATTCAATGCACTTCAGTGCATCAATAACAATTCCACAAAACGGTTCATTCTCCGAGTTGATGACCTTGCTTGATATGCTTGTTTTTACAACATTCTTTAGTGCTTTAGGCCCTAGATTCAAGGCATTCTTGGACATGCTTTTCTTAATGAATTGCACACATTCATTGAAAGCCATCTTGTATCCAGAAACAACCACTGAGGGATGGACCCCAGACGCTATAAGCCTTGCTCCTTTTTCAATCAAGCTTGCAGCTATCAAAACAACAGACGTGGTCCCATCTCCAACCTCATGATCTTGTTGTGTGGCTAAATCCACAAGAATCTTAGCTGCTGGATCATCTACTACCATATTCTGAAGAATGGTTGCTCCATCATTCGTAATACTAACTTCCCCGGCTGAATCAACGCACATCTTGTCCAGCCCCAGAGGCCCAAAGCTTGTCTTTATTGAGTTATACACTTTCATCATTGCCTTTGCATTTTTCTCTACTGCTGATATTCCACTATAGCTCTCACCACCTGACAAGATATCCGCTGTAGAAATCTCCTTGTTCATATAGGGTAAATTTTTCATGAAATTATACATCTTTGAATGTAGACAGAAGTACGTACGTATCCAATGTATATACCATAGCCCCATAACATAAGGCCTGTGCTGACCTTCACAACACTTCTTAAAAAGAGAAATATTTCCAGATAAAAAATTTACCCTGATGTGGTCTAGAATTGAAGAGAACCAGACAGTGGAGATGACCGTAAATCTGAGGAGAATATGCTCTCGCCTCCCTTGGACAAAGAAGGCGGACAAGGCTGTTAAGATGTTGAAAAGGGAGATACAGAAGCATTTTAAAGAAAAGATAGGTGTTGCTATAACTAGTGAACTCAATAATTTCATACATTCACGCGGGACCAAGAAGATTCCAAGCAAGGTCAGAGTTAGAGTCACAAAGGAGTCAAGTTTGAAGAATGCTGAGGAAAATGTGCTGAAAACGGATTTAGTCATAGTTGGATCATTCAAGAACCTTAAGGAGGTCATTGTCGATTAATAAATCGAACCTATTACTTCAATCTCTGATGCTTTAGTTTTCGAAGGAGGGCACCGGTATAACCCTGGGTGGAAATCCACCTCAAGGGGTTTCCCCTTTAAAGCGGGCCATAGACAGCGACAAATTATGGTTTAAGATACATCGAAAACCACTTATTCTAAATTAGAACCCCTTAAAATAAAGTGTGATGATCAGATTGAAGCCGCATAATAATTTGATTCATGGTGTAGTCGAAATTTTTAAGAAGTACGTGCTGAACAGGACTTATCTATGTTTTCTGATATTTCCGATAGTCCTTATGGCGACCTTTGCGAATATCTTGTACGACTACGTGCCATCTGTCATAATCCCCAGAATAGCAGAGCATATAAAAGCAAATGATCTTAGCCTTCACATGAACTTGGTCTATGGATTCTTCTTCTACGGGGTACTTGCCACGATCTTTGAATATTTCCCTATATTTGTGATGGCTTTGATAATACAAGATATATACAGAGATTGCTATAGGGATGTTTTCATAGAATACATGTCACTGGAATATAATACATTCCATAGCATTTCGCCAGGAGACATGGAAAGCAGAATATATAGAAAATGTAAAGCTGTTGGAGAGGCTGTAGATGTTGTCATTCCTACGCTGATGAACTCAACTATATTCGTTTTGGTTGCTATGATTGACATATATAGAAGCTTTGGACCTATAGTATCCTTGATGTTTTTTGTGATACCTGTGTCTTACATTTCCATAACCGTTTTCCTAACATCAAGGAGGAACCGCATCAGAGGGAAATACAATGCTGCGAAAGACAAGTCTACAAAGAAACTCGGCGATATTTTGAACAATTATGAAGTTGTGAAGTCCTTTGGCCTTGAAGAAAGAGAATCCGAAAAGTTTCATGCTTCCCTAATAGATCGTGTTTCAACAGGAACTGTCTACAGCTGCTCGGAAAACATTATCACGTTCCTACAAAAGCTCTCTTCGGCAATCCCCCACATTGGAATCTTGTATCTTTCTCTCAACACCAACATCCTGACATTTGACAAGGCCATAAAACTGAATAGTCTTCATTTTATTCTGAAAGAAAGACTGACGGAGTTCTCCAAGGAGTTTACAGAACTCTATGAGTACTACTACGACTACTCAACCTCCACTTACGAAAAGGAGGATGATGAGGGCCAAGCCGACATAAAGGAATTCAATCAAGATATAGAAGTCAGGGACATAGGAATTAAAAGGGGGAACAACATCATTTTGAGGGGAGTTAACTTCACTCTGCGTAAGGGAGAGAAGCTGGCCATTGCAGGCCCAAACGGAGCTGGAAAGTCTACCTTTATTAATTCACTCCTGAGGTTCTTGGATTATTCGGGCGAAATTTTCATTGATGGAGTCGAGATGCGCAAGTACACAAGAAGATCTATAAGGCACATAATAGCATATGTACCCCAAGACAACTGCATCCTTGATGACACGGTTCTCAAGAATCTTCAATACGGAAATAAGGACATCTCTTTTGAAAAGATAAAAGAGATATGTAAGAGGTATGGAACCCATGAAGTATTCAGTAGCCTTGAAGGAGGATATTTAAAGGAAGCAGGACAACAGGGATGCGAATTAAGTGTAGGCCAGAGGCAATATCTGAGCCTAATGAGGGCCATAATCAAAGACTCTCCTATTTTCATTCTGGATGAAGCTACTTCCGACGTTGATTACAAAACAGAGACAGAGCTCATTGATTATGTTATGTCTGTTCTCTCTGACAGAACAATAATAATGATAGTCCATAACCATTCCTTACTTAGCAAGTTTGACAACATCCTCTTCTTAAAGGACAAGACGATGAAAGGGTATGGTAATATCAAGGAGCTGCTGAAGTCGTCTAAGGATTTCATTGATTTCTATCTTGAAGAAGACCCCGTTTCCGACACTGGAATTCAACCTTAGATCTAGGCCTTAATAGAGTCCAGACTTTTGAATAAAACAATTCAGTAAAGCACTAATAAGGTCATATCTATGAGGTTTTTATTTTTACACTTCAAGTTGCAGAGACTCAACTTCGTAATTATAAACAGACAGCCAGTATTTGTGTATCATAATGAATGTACAGAGGATAAAAAAATGGTAGAAAAAAAGATTATCAAAGTATCTGTCTGTCATTAGTCCTATCATTCTCGATCCGACAAATAAAACTGTATTTGCAATTAAAAAGCATGTTGTTGATATTACCAGGGTACCATACGCCCACACTTCACCATCTGTTTTTCTAAGCCTTTTGATCTGAAACACCATGTATAGGAAGAAAAAGAGTGGATTCAGAACAAAAAAAGGAATCGAGGCAATTTCCTTGGCTGGGGCAGTCAGCCCCGTAAATATAACTGTTCCTATTCCCACGGAATAGATGGCTGTGGAGATTTTGAGTAGGGTTGCAGCTCTAAATCCGAGAATTCCTGTGAACATGTCTACAGTTATACTTCCCACAAAGAGAGAAAAGAATCCTGAAGTGTACAATGATAGTTGAATGGAGGTGAGAAACAAGTGTGTTTGCTTAGAGATAGATTCCTTAAACCCTACAAGCACAGCCTCTAGTGCAGCAGACCCAAAATATAGGTTAAAAAACACAAGCATCTCTTTGCGTCCAACAGAAGAGCATAGAGCCTTCACATGTCTGATCATTCTCACAGCAGACAGCATGACCATAACCAGAAGGATTACAGTTGTTGGAGAGGACACCTTGGTTTTGAACAGAAGAGATCCTCTACTCACGTCTTTACAAATCTCATCGCTCAGGTGTTCACACATCGGAAAGTTAGACACTGAGCATACTTTGTCTATTGGATGCATTTTCTACTTGAATAAACAAAGCATATTTTAAGAGAATTGGATTCTGCTCTTTTATAGCCCCTAAGCCTTATCCCCACATATGTCCACAACAAAACAAGAGATTCAGAGCCAGATGGAGCATGCGGACAACCTGTTTGAGGAAATGAACAAGAAGATGGAAGCTCTTAAGGGAAAGCTTTTGAGTTTATCCAAGATGGTGGATAGCATCAATAAGAAGATTGAGGACATTTCTGCAGACCCAATGGCCTGAAGCGCATTTTCCAATAAAATTAACTTGCATCTATTTTATTCTTGAAGTTGGCTTTTATCTGTCCTTTTTGTTTCTTCTATTCTCTCCTTTTTAATGGCTTTTTTTTTGGTCTCTTGGGAATACAGACCCTCTGCACTATCTAGTGAAGACTTTAACTCTCCAAACCTCCCAAGATTTATCTCTGGTTGAATACTTCTGAATCTGTCATGAGCAACCCTCATCTCTAGCGGAATGATCTGGCTAGTCGGATTCTTCCACATTGAAACACATTTGACCAGCTTAACTTTTGATTTGTTCTTGTATAACTTTCTGGGCTTATCTTTATCTCCCACGCCTTCCTTCCTATGCTTTTTAGTTCCCCTTTTACATGTTATTTTCAAAGGATCAGGACTTACTATATCTACTCTTCCATATCTTCCTTCTTCTATCTCTTTCACTCCCATCAGCCAAACAATGGGATTAAGTAAGAATCTATATTTGTGCTCTGAAACCATTGGAAAGCATAAGGAGCCATATTCTGTAATAACCAAAAGATTACATATATGCAGTCCCAAGAATGCTTAGATATTTGATGACCTTAAAAAATAATCCCCATAAACATCGAAGATGAAAACAAAAGTGTTCACAGCATTGACTGAACGCCAGCTACTTGAAGAAATGAATGAATCTCTTACGAAGTCTCCAGTGTCAACTAGAAGTGCTGTAAAGGCTCTTAATAATTTGTTTTACATGCTAAGCACAAGAAAGCTGTCCGAAGCAACGATCAGAAATGTATATGTTGCACTCTTAAAGGGATTTCAATCCAAGGATCTCTATCTGAAACTCTGTATATATTCTGCCATCGAAAAAATGTCTAAACTTACTGATGAAGGCTTAGTCGGAATCAACGTACTAATGAATGATTTAAATGGAAAGATTCCTGATGATGCTAAAGCAATGACTCTGAGAACCTTATTCTCCATTATACCATTTGAAATGGTTTATGACTTTAGGAAGTATATAAATCAGGCTTTTGTATCAACTTCAATGGCCAGAAGAGACATGTCTGTTGTTGTGGCTTACAGATTGCTTTGCGACAATTTTACACAAGTAAAAAAGTGGCTAGAAGGAGTTGAATTTACTGGAAGTCCTTTGATGGACTACCACATTGCTGGGTTTTTAGCACAATCAAGGAGGCTTCAACTGAGCTCTGTTGAGAATCTTAGAGGCCCTGCAGGGATAGTTGGGATCCGAATGGCTGAGGATGTGGTGAGGGAAAACAGTGAGGCACTCGTTATTCTCAGAAAGTTCCTCAACTCGAAATTCTGTGATGAGGTTGTATTCATGGAGGCAGCAAAGATAGTTTCGGGGCTTAGCGAAGAATATGGATCACAGTTTGTTGATCAAACAATCCAGTCCTTACGAATATTTCTTAGATCCACCAACATGGTTCTACAGTTTACTGCTATGAGAATTATCTCACAACTTGCACAGAAATATCCCCAAAAGGTTTCTGTCGCCAATAAGGAAATTGAGGATCTTGTATCGTCCGAAAACAAATCCATTTCCATGTTTGCAATCACTTCCTTGCTCAAAACAGGAACAGAAGAGACAATCGATAAGCTTGTGAACTTAATTCCGAGCATGGTTCATGATATGAGTGACGGGTTTAAAAAGATTGCAATTGAGACGCTAGAGTCACTAAGTAACCTTTTTGAGTCGAGGAAAACACTGTATATCGACTTTCTAGGTAGCTCGCTATTACAAAAAGGAGAACTGGAATTCAAGAAATACATAATTGATGTCATTTCAAGAGCTACAAGAGATGACGATACAAGAGAAAGAATTCTCGAGATTCTTTGCACATATATTGAAGACTCTCAATACTACCAAATAACTCTGGACATTCTTGGGATACTCAGCAGAGAAATTCCTAGATCGAAAACGCCTGCAAAGTATGTTGTTCATGTACTGAATAGACTCATTTTAGAGAACAATCATGTAAGGGCAGGTGCGTTACAATGTCTATACAACATCTCCTCTGTTGTTTCTCCATTAACTGTTGAAAATGCAATGAAAAGATGCCTTAATGATCAGGATGAATCAATTAGAGAAATTGCGGCCTTTTTGTTGAGAAATATGAAATTATCAAGAGTATATGAGCCTTTTAGCTTCGATGAACTTGGAGATCTTAAAGCCCGTGTGCTCCAGTATGTAGGGAAGCCATGTGAAGACAAAGAAGTTGAAAAGGATCCTTTGATAAAGAATTGTAGAGAATTGGTTCTTACAGAAGCCAACGGAGATGTGCAGATAAAAGTTATTAAGAAGGTTTATGAGGATAAGCTGGTGTTTTCATTTTCATTGAAGAATAACCTTGAAGGAATTCAGATATGTGATGGGATGTTAAATCTTGTTAGTTCTGATTGTGAAAAGAGAAGCTTGAGTATAAAGATTGATCAAATAGACCCATTGAGTTTTCTTTCCATTGAAAGAGAATGGGACGTAAAGGAAGGGTGCGTGATTAATGGTGCATTCGACTACACCATTTGTGTAGAGGGAGACATGTCTGATACCGAAACAGATTCGATTTCTTTTCATCCCTTCCAGATAACTGCTTTGGACTTCGTGAGGCCTGTTAGAATAATGAAAAACCCAGAGAAAAAGAATGAGATTACTTTTAATCTCCAAGGAGATATCTACTCTGCAGGGAAAAAGGTCTTAGACCTTTTGAACATGAAGATAATAAGCCAGGAGACAGAAAAAAACACGATGATAGTTCTGTTGCATGGGGAGTATTACAAAACCCCTATCGCCATACATGTGAATCTGGTCCATAATGTAGCCTGCAAATGTGTTGTTGATGTATATTGCGATGATGAGCATGTGGCACAAAAAATTACCAAACTATTCGATTGATTAAATGCAGTATTGTTCATCCAGCTTAACCTTAACCATTTTCTCAATCTAGGTGAAACTAGTGCTTTTGCCTTGAAGTTTTTTGGATTTCCTATGGACTGTAAACATTTGTAGGAATAAAAGTTTAATGGTCTAAGATAGGAAGATGACCATATAAGATATCATCATCTAGTTCAGATCTATCAGGAATGCAGATCTTGCTTTTTTCATCTGCTAGTATGATAACTGTCCCTTTGAGAACAACATTCTTCCCAAATATAACGTTGCCACTAACCGTCAGGATATCCAGCTCGAGAATGTCCGGAATTCCTTTGAAACATTTCTCATAGTTTTCTATTTTTGAGAAATTCTTCCCAATAAGCTTGATTATTGGGCATGTCTTTGGAACTCTGGACGGATGAAGCTGAAGCGTCCCATTCTTCTCAATGAATAGGTTACTTTCGACAAGAAATAGATCGGAACAGGTCTTCACTGGAAGGAATCTAGATCGTGGGACAACAACTCCACAAGAGTTAGGGAAATACTTGATTGCAGATCCTATGGCTGTTTCTAGTTGAATGACTGTTTCATCACCTAATGTCTTTTTGTTCTCAATAATATCTAAGTCAAAGAAACCCTCTTCTAACTTTTTCTTCATGTCTTTTAGATTTATCCAAATATTGTTTGTATTGAATATTGTGAATTTTTTGAAGCTTGTAAATTCAGATTTCTTGCTTGACGGAACCTGGGCTATTTCAAGAAGCCTTAGCCCCCCTTTATATTCTATAAGAGTTCCACCTTTGACATCGGCACGTGTTTTATCAGTAACCTCCATAAGAAATCCTAGCCCATTAGTTGCAAAGTATTCCAGAAGCTTCAGGTCTACTGTAGATGCTAAATTGTCAATGTTAGACACAAAGAGATATTCGTATCCCTCCGAAAGAAGCTCCTCCAGCATCCCACTGTTCTTCAACGAGTAAAACAAATCCCCATGTCCTGGTGGATACATTCCTTTATCTCCATGCTCAGGCGATACGGGAAGCAATGTTTCCGATGAGATTCTTGGGAACTTGCTCTGGGAAAACTTCCTGATTCTATCATATCTGAATATAATTTTGTCTGTCATACTCTCGGTATTAAATGAATTCATCAATATTAATGGAACATCTATATTGTACTTAGAATTCAAATGCCTGACTTGTTTCACAATCAAGTCTATGAAATTCTTGCCGTCCTTGACAGTTATGGCACTCTTTGGCCCCACACATCCCATCGTTGTTCCAAGCCCTCCATTAAGCTTTAGTATGGCTAACTTCTTCAATAACTCTTTGGATCTTTCCGTCGGCTCGGGTATATCACTATACTGAATAATTTTATCCTTTGGTGATCTGATTCTCTCCCATACTATCTTTTCGTTTCTTGTTCTGAGATATCTTTCAAACAGCCTATAGAACTCATCCAGGTCTACGGGGTTTGGATGGTCCTTCTTTATCTTCTCTAAAGTTTCCTTCATCTCCTTCAAAAGCTTACAAGTGCACTTGTCGTCAAACTCGTCCAAAAATTGATGGACATCCTTGTCCTCGTCTCCAGAAAGCGTCGCATCTTTGCTCTTGTTCTCCTGCATATGGTCTTTTTTCTTCATTTTATTTATAGTAGATAAGTTCGTTTCAATTCGTCATTGCTATTCTCGCTATTGGCTGGGGTATTATAGGCCCCAATCATTTTCAAGACGTCAATAATACATTAACATCGGAATGGTGGTTGGATACACAAGGGTTGAAAGCCACTTTTGGTTATATCAACAAAAATTAAGAGAAATCAAGAAGGGCCAATCAAGATCTACTTCATATGAAAGACAATGGAAATGTTTTATTGGTATAATTAGAAGTTGTTATCGTTTCTTCTCTTTTTATCGCCGTCCTGCTCCTTACTCTTACTCTTGTTTGAGAATCCGGAGGTTGATATTGAATATGACGGACTAGTAGGCGAGTATGATGGGCTCGTTGGAGAATAAGACGGACTAGTGGGCGATAATCTTCCATCTACATCCCTAGAGTATGCCATTTCAAGATGTGTAGGACTCCAATTACCACTACTAATTGAGAAGGAATCAGACGAAGGTGTGCTAATCACAGGAGTAACAGGCTCATTGGGCTTAAATACAGGATTTGATAATGGAATGGCCTTGTCTAACTTCTTCACATCTAACATAATTTCAACATTTCCAGTCCCCATAGGCGCTAACTGTCCCATCATAATATTCTCTGTTATTCCTCGGCATAAGTTTTTCTCAGATACTAATGCAGCATCCAAGAGTATCTCCACGGTTTCTTCGAAAGAGCTTCTTTTCAGCGCCCCAGCTCCAGCTTTATTGACTCCATGCCTGGTTATTCCGCATAAATACCCTCTCATAGTCATTACATCGGCCAGTAGACTCATGTGCCTGTAATTTACATATGACCCATTTCCATCTATTACCATTGCCAATTCTCTTAAAATAGATTCCCGTGCTGCTTCTATTCCCAAAGTCTCGGCAATCTCAATAAGGTCATTGGAAATCGTGAGCCTGCTATTCACTGCAGGATTCCCTAGGACTTGTGGGAGACAGGTTCCATCGGTTTGCAAATACCATTCTTTTTTATCCTTATCTTCACTTATATAAACTTTTTTAACACTCTTATATCCTCTAAGCTGAAGCTTTAGTAAGGAATTCAATATAGTCATATAGAAGTTTAGGGACTCATCCTCAGACTTGCCAACTCGGATTCTTATCACCATATGAACTGCATTTTCATCACTACAAATCACATGGGCACCACTTCCTAGCTCTTTCCTGATGGATTCTGCAACATATTCTAAATTGGCTCCTCTTCCGACAAGTTTAGCTCTATCAACAATAAGCCTCATTAGGAATGGAGACAGGCATGAAAAGTCAACATCATCATCAGGAAACTCAAAATATGTCTCTACAAAGTCCTTATCTTCAGCGATCTCGGTGCTTGTTATTTCAGGATCATAATATATTTCCGAGGAAAGACATAGGTCTTTCACACATAAGCATTCTATTTCATTCTGGATCACTTTTGCAGATTCAATTGTTTTACAATGATCCTTGTCAAGATATATTTTCATGGATGGCGTCTTCAAGTTCTTTGTTACATTAAAAATTTCCTTAAGCCTAGGAACTCCCATAGTTACTGTGGAAGAAACACCGGCCAGATGGAATGTGTTCAGAGTCATTTGGGTTGCAGGCTCTCCAACCGACTGTGCCGCCAATGTTCCCACCATTTCATTCGGTGTTATTCTAGCTTGCAAAATCTTTGCATTTATCATTTCCACAACCCAGTTGAATGCCTCAGTATTCAGCTTATGCTCTAGAAGAACTCTCTTTACATTCAAATTAGTTCTTATGAGTACATTCAAGATCTTGTTGGATGTCATGAGACTCTTCTGGGTTTCGAGTATATAATAAGGAGACACATCTCCAGTAGAAAGATGAAAAGCCCTTTTTGCTGTGACCAAAAGACGAGTAAAATTGCAAGGACTCATTACTGCATTCTTATAAATGTCCCTGACTTGGTAATCGTGGTCTATATCTATTTCTCCTGTAGAAAGTAAGGAAGGCCCTTCAAATATCTCGCTAACCAACCATTCGTATTCTTGATCTAAAAGCTTCTGTAAATCAACATCTGAAGAAAGCATTCCATAGACTTCCTCAGAAACTTGATCTTGTTTAATTGCTAGTTCTCCACTTCCGAACATATCAATATAATATCTTTTTGTGAAGTTCTTTACATCAACCTTTTGGGATTCTAGGAAAGTGGCATCAAACCCGTCCTCCCCATATTTTATTTGATACATTAGGCCATTCCCGCTTCTAACACTTTCATCTTGTCTTACAATGGCGTCCTCAAGTGCTTTCACTAGCCTTCTTTGGATGTAACCAGTCTCTGCTGTCTTTATTGCTGTATCTATCAATCCTTCTCTTCCACCCATTGCATGAAAGAAAAACTCTTCAGGATCCAATCCAGTTAAGTAACTATTCTCGACAAACCCCCTACTCCTACCGGTATAATCATCCTTTACAAAATGAGGGAGTGTTCTGTGAGAAAATCCAAAGGGAATCCGCTTCCCCTCAACATTCTGCTGTCCCACACAAGCAGTAACCTGTGAGATGTTAATAAAAGACCCTTTGGATCCTGCAAGAACCATCGTCTTCATATTGTTATTTTCACTTAGACTCCTCTGCGCACTTGTTCCGCTTACGTCTCTTGCTCTGTTTAGTACCAGATTTAAATGACTCTCGAAGCTTTCCTTCATGGTCATTCCAGGAAGCCTTTCAAGACGATTTTGACGTGCATTTTCAATTATAACAGAGACCTCCTCCTTTGCTTTTCGAATCGCCTCCTTAACCATCTTTACTGTTTTGGCATCTGCAATTGTATCTCCAATTCCTATTGAAAATGTATGAATCCCAGTCATAAAGACGTTTATCATCCTCTGTACACCATTAAAAAACTGTGCTGCCCTTTTAGGCCCAAAATCATTGAAGATTATATGAACAAGCCCGCCTTGTGTTGCCCCTGCAGCTTTCTTGTCAATCACCCCAGAATGAATATACCCATCTTGTATGATAACCTTAGTATCACTAATGTTTTCATTGTCATTATCGTTATGTTCAGAAGAAAACCCAACGTAATTCATATTTGGAAGAACAAAGCTCAATATCTGCTTTCCTGTCCAAAGCTTCATAGGCTTTGCTATTGCAGGCCTTTTCAGTACCTTCATGATGTCATAGTCTTTTGTTCTTCTGAGTTCCATATAACTGGTACCTCCTGGAGGCGTATCGCAAAATTCTATATTCACAGCATACAATAATAGCATAACTTCTCTCTCGTTCAAAAAGGTATCTCTCAAGGTAAACAGCCTTAAGCCTGTAAGTGTGTCTTGTACGATACCCATAACAGGTTTGTTAGACTGAGGAGAAATAATCTGCTTGGATACAAGTGCTAGCTCTTCTAGCTCAGCCTTGGATGTATAGCTTTGAGGCATATGGAGATTCATTTCATCCCCATCAAAATCGGCATTGTAGGGCGATGTAACGCTGAGGTTCAGCCTAAAGGTTTTATCATCCATTACTCTGGCATAGTGTGCCATCATCGACATCTTATGAAGCGAAGGCTGTCTGTTGAATAGAACCACATCTCCAGTTTGCATGTGCCTCTCCACAATATACCCTTCTTCCAACCTTATATCGCTCTTATTGAAGTTCAGATCTATCTTCTGCCCATCAGACCTGAGAACATAGTTGGCCCCAGGGTGTTCATTAGGCCCTGTCCTCACAAGCTTTTCCAGCTTGTCTATGTTAAACGAAGTAACTTTTTCCGGAAAAGTATGAACCTTTGCAACCTCAAGAGGAACTCCAACCTCTTCAAGTGATATGTTTGGATCTGGCGTTATCACTGTTCTTGCGCTAAAATCAACTCTCTTACCCATAAGATTCCCCCTGATTCTTCCTTCTTTCCCTTTTAACCTGGCAGATAGTGACTTTAGAGGCCTTCCACTCTTCTGTAATGCCTGTGGTTGTCCTCCAATGTCATTGTCTATCAACGTTGCAACATGAAACTGTAACAGCTGCTCATAGTCTCGAACAATATGCCCGGGTGCACCCTCTTGCTCATACTTCTTTAGATATCCATTCGATTTTATGATATCAGCCAGTTTATGTGTAAGGTCGTCCTCTCCCCGTAATGAACCTTCCATCACAATTGAAGGACGAACAGAGGGTGGCGGGACAAGTAGCACAGTAAATATCATCCATTCAGGCCTACTATACTTCAGATCAAATCCCATATATACACAATCCTCGTCGCTTATCTTCTTAAATATACTATAAACCCTTTCCCCATTCAACATGACCTTACCCTCATTACTTTCTTCTCCCTTCATAAAAGCGACAAGAGTTAGACCCTCTTTTTTCACCACAGGTTGCCTATTTCCACATCCGCTTCTTCCATCTCCAACAACCTCTCCTTCGCACACCGACTTACCCTTACTCATACTCCACACATTGTTAAGCGTGGATCTTACTCCTCTCTTTGGTACCTTGATCTTCGAACAATAGAAACAAACACACTCTAAAACCTTCTTGATTTTGGAGATGTACCCAACATGGAATATAGGCTTTGTAAGCTCAATGTGCCCAAAATGGCCTGGGCATGAGAAGTTGTCCCCTCCACAACTTTGGCAAAGATACATTCTGTCTGTCGTCCCCATCCTCAGATCAATAAGCCCTCCGACCTTTGGAACCCCACCTTCCATTACCTCCGGATGGACAATCAGGGCAGCACTTCCATTTCTTATTTCCTCTGGTGAAAACAGGCCAAACTGTATCGACTTGATCTGTTTCTTTACTTTCTCCTCAAACATGAATGGGGTCTAGTGTAGTGGCCTTTAAGACGGGAAATTTTTGTTGTGTAACACCCCTGGAAACACATGGGATAGAGAGCAACCCTTCTTAATAGGATATTTATTTTGTAGGTATCCGGCGATCTGCTGCCAAAGTACTATGTAAACGAGTAGCTTCCATTCGAGCACGTTCCATCCACGAGATAGAAAACAGTAAACAACAAGGCGGGTTCATTTTCTTTAATAGAACTACAACCATCCCGTAGTATACACAGCTATTCGTCAGACGATATCCATTCAAACTCCCTCTCGATCTTCATCAATTCTTCATCCGTGATGTTGCACTCCACACCAATAAACTCTGCAAGCTCTCTTGTGTTTTTATGCTTCATCTTTTCTGAAATAATTTTACAGCATAGCTCAAGAAGATATGGATATTCAAGATAGTTTGCTCCATTGCATATATCTAGCAACGTCCTGCTATCATACTCCATGAAGAGTTCGAGATCCGATTGCTTGAATCTTATTTCTAATGGATTATAATCCTTAGATAGTTGAGAGGTGTCTACTTCCATGTATCTTTGGATTATCTCAAAGATGAACGATGACACCTGAAGGGCAATAGGATTCTTATATGTAGTTGAAGTACACACGTTTTTTATCAGAACACTCTTATATGCTTGTTTTTCCTCTATCTTAAATATGCGCCCATCTGTTGTCTCTATCTCAATCATTCCAAAGTGGAGATTCCAGGGGATTAAAAACAATGGACAATGTTGGCATCAAAGAAAAGATGACGAGAAAAGATGGCCTGCCCAGGGATGGAATGATCTCCTCGTGTATTCTTAATTCCATTTCTATTGACAGGGGCTTATGGATGAAAGAACTAGAATAGGCATAATAGGAGACGAGGAAACACTCACAGGATTTTTGATAGCAGGGGTCGAAAGTGTTCATGACAATCCGAATCTTGTTCAAGTAACGCCAAACACCGCAGAAGATGACTTGAAAAGGATTTTCTGTTCACTAACAGGCAGAAAAGACCTTGCCATAATCCTTGTCTGTGATTTTGCTGCAGAAAAGCTAAAGGAAGAGATAGATGCATATAATGAGGTAGTTCCTGCAGTATTGGTCATTGCATCGAAAAATAAATATGTCTAGTTTCATACTTCCAAAGGTTATGGTAAAATAAAATCCTGTAAGTGGGACTAGTCTTAGGAGTCAACATAAATAGAGGAGATGATTTATTTCAACGATAAGACTTCTGGTACCTTGCACGAGCCCCAGGACCTCCAAACTTCTTTGGCTCCCGCTTTCTTGAATCTGCAACAAGACTAAACCTATCGAAGTCCAGCAGTCTCTTTTGAATTTCTTGTTTTTTCCATTCATCATAGTAGGTTCCATAAAATGCAAGTATCGCTTTGGAAAAGGCCATTCTTACTGCATACACCCGGGAGACATCTCCCCCAACCTTGCATGTTATGTCAAATGAAAGGTCCTTGATGTTGGCGTGCTCAACAATGCATATGATCTCCTTCAGCTTTGCAATCATCAAGGTATTTGTAATGAGCTTGAAGGGAACCTTGTTGATTCTTATAGAAAACTCTCCTGAGTATGTGCACACGCACGTGGCAACTGCTCGTTTCTTTCTACCCTGAGTGGTGACCGACTTTACAGATCTACTCATTAAAAGGGCTAAAGCATTTGAAAATTTTTAACCCCAATGAAAGGGAACCACGCACTACCAAACAATCACTTCCGCAAGACCTCTTTGAAGATAAAGGTTCACCACGATCCCGAAACAAAGCTTAGGATAATGGAGGAGAAGAAGCTCCGAAAGGCCAAGTCGATGTTCCCAATTCCTTTGAAGAAGCTTAGACCTATAATTCGCTGCCCTTCAATCAAGTACAACCGGAATGAGAGACTTGGAAGAGGCTTTACGCCTGCTGAATGTGAGAAGGCTGGGCTTGATTATAGGCATGCCAGACGTCTTGGAATAGCTGTCGATCTGAGAAGACGAGACACTAACCAGGAAACCCTTGAAAAGAATGCTGACCGTATCAAGACCTACTTAAGTAAGATCACCATATATGAAAGTGTCAAGGAAGCAAAGGAAAAGGGTGCCAAGCCATACGCAAAGGAGATTATGCCTCTCGTTAAACCCAAGCCTGTTGTTGGATCTATTTCAAGGGAGGAGCTTGCTTCTTATGAATAAATTTAATTCTGTTTACTGAAATCTTATACACATTCTGTGCATCCTTCTGCTTGGGTTTATTATGAGCCTCGATGCCCTTGCAAATACTATCGGGGTTTCATTTTTAAGGTGTTGTGGCCGAGTGGTCTAAGGCGACGGATTTGAAATCCGTTGAGGTTTCCTCTCACTGGTTCGAATCCAGTCAGCATCGTTTTTGACACAAAATCGATCTTTGATTAATATCCCTAATATTTATTGATTCAAGTTCATTTTTTGATGTACATAAAAAAGAATAATTTCAGGTAATAGAAAGGGACACCATATAAATACCTGGAGGAGGATGGAAAACCAAAAGATAAACTTAATGCTAGAGTCTTTGTCACAAATAGAAGACATGATGATTTCAAAGCCTAGCACAAGCGATGTCGAAGAAATGAGAAAAGAGAATGAGGTTTTGGTGAAAACATACAACTATAAGGAGTTCAGAGAAATCAGAGCTTTAAATGGAACCGAGGGCTTGCACGATCTAGGAAGACAGTATGTGCTTAATGAGCAGATTCATGGGAAGAGTGGATCCTTCTTGTTTTTCACAGAAGACCTCAAATTTGTTGTGAAAACTATAAGGAAAAGTGAGTTCTATTGCATCAGGAGAATGGTAGAGGAATACAAAATACACATTCTTCAGAATCCTATGTCTCTTTTATGTAAGATACTTGGATGTTATAGTCTGTGCACTAGGGGTGATGAAGAATATTTCATAGTGATGGAAAGCATGCTGAAAAGATCTGGGATGCAAGAGATTTATGACCTCAAGGGGGCGTCTGTCAAAAGAAAGGGGTACTCGGTGTCCAGCCTAAAGGAAATAGATTGGATTGGAAATAGTAAAAGAATAGATCTTGGAAACCGGAAGGAGGCCATTATATCCCAGATCAAAAACGATGTGGAGTTTCTAAAAAGACATAGAATTATGGATTACAGTTTTTTTGTGTCCTTTGGCTGGAAGAAAAGAGAAAGCGTTGATCCGTTTTCCCTATGTAAAGATCATAATCATATGCCTGAGAATGAAGATGTGCACTTTGGAATAGTGGACATTCTTACACAATGGACTTTTAAAAAGAGAATGGAGAGACTATTTCATATATTCTGCTGCAAATCAAATAGCTCCTGCCTGAATCCTGATGCATACATGGACAGGTTTCTTATTATGATTGAAACAGATGTATTCAAATGATAAGTTCTGGAATATAGTGAATCAAAAACTTGGAGTGGAGGTATGAGTAGGAGATGATGTCTTCAAATCTTCTATTAAATTTTGTGAGAACCGAGATTTGATTTGTCTTTTTCTGGAAATATAAACATTAGAAGATGTGGAGGAAGCGTCAAATGGGAAGTATGGAAGATAGCCAGAAAAGAGAGACAAATAAACCCAACACTTCAGAAATAGATGAAAATGATTGTGGAGAGGCTGAAGAATTAGAATCAATGAAAAAGAAATATATGGAAGCAACATGCGATCTGGATAGGTTTCACGAGGACCTAAGAATATATGGAGAGAAGAGTCTTCTAAGACTTATGAAGTTTGGTACTGGAGGGATGAGAGGACCAATGAGAAGTGGATTTAATGGAATTAACGAGGTCACGTGTAACCTTATTGGGACTGAGCTCTGCAAAAGATTCTCTAGTATTGTAATAGGATGTGACGGGAGATATAACTCGCTGAACTATGCGATTCTGCTGAGGGAGATATTTAGGCTCAATGGGAAAAAGGCTGATTTGTATCCAGAGGTTGTGACGCCATTTCTTGCCTTTCTTACATGTAAACTAGGGGCTGAGGCAGGAATAATGGTTACGGCGTCACATAATCCTAAGGAATACAATGGCTTTAAGGTGTACACATCCAAAGGAAGCCAGATAGGCCCGCCATTGGACAGAGAAATAGAGGAGTCAATGAGGGCTCTTGACCTGACACGGTTCGACAGGACGGGGGAGCATGGAAATATACTTAGGCAAATAAAAGAGGAGAATAACGTTCTACGGGGAAAGGGAGCATCAAGCTCTAGGAAGAGAGAAAGTGGTAATCTAGCTGGTGATGATATTTCGCGAAGAAACGAGCTTATAAGCTCTTATAACGAATGGATGTTTGAAGGCTGGAATGATAATATAATCCAAGACATTAGGAATACAAGTCCTTTGGTTCCTATAGTCTTTACGGGACTTTGTGGAGTTTCTGGAGAGTTTGTAAAGAAGGCCTTAGAGTTTTACAATCTTGATGGCACTGTGTATTTTATTGACGAAGAATGCAACCCAAATCCAGACTTCCCAAATCTTCCTTTTCCAAATCCGGAAGTCGCCGAAACTCTTGCAAGATCCAAAGAATCAAACCTTGCAGACATTATATTTTCTTGTGATCCAGATGGAGATAGGTTTGGGCTCTCTGAGAGAATTGATGGGGAATGGGTTGACTACAATGGAAACGAAATAGCAGCTATGTTCATGTACTTTTTTGTCAAGAACTTCTCACCATCAGACCTTGCCTTTGTGAACACCTATCTATGTAACGATCTTATGGAAAAGGTTTGCTCTGCCCATGGAATCGAGTACTTGAAGACGGAAACAGGGTTTAAGAATGTCAGCCGGGGTGTTGACTCTGTGAAAGGAAAGAAGGTGTTTGCTTATGAAGACTCCCTTGGGTTTCTGTTTGGAAACGGGAAAGAGAAGGATGGAATCAAGTGTGTAGTTCTTATGGCATACATGGTCCAGAAAGAGCTTCCGAGTAAGATTCTAAAAAAGATGGAAATGTATGGAAGTTTTAGTTCTGTGAACATTCATGTAAGATGCAGCAACCCTGACAATGTTCTTGAGAGGGCTCTTAGAAAGCTTCCAAATGTAAAAACAGAAGGGAAGAGAAGTGCAGTGAAGTTCGACAACTACAAGGTGATATTGAGAGTAAGCGGAACAGAGTCGATGGTGAAGGTTTATACAAGTTCTACAGCATTGGATAAGAAAAGCCTTGCAAAAGTAGCCAACGATTTTATTGACAAATATATTAGAAGTGAGATATCTCAATCTCACAATTGATAAGTGGTTCACATGGTAAAAGAAATCCAACTGATTCAAGCCCAGCATTAAATTGCCTTACCTGACCCATGCTTCTTCTGGCAGTGCCTGAACCATCCGAATCTTGTAGACTTTCTATTTGACTTGTACCCCAATGTTATCCATTCATCACAGATCATGCAGAATCCATCTACTTTATCCCCCGTATATCTTATTTGAGGCTCCGGATATTTTATTCCCTTGGAACTTATCCCATGCTTATAGTTCATATGATACCAATAGCTACTTGTTTTTAGTTTAAACCATGAATTACATATTCCACAACAACCTTCTCTTAACCTTCCAACGCCTCTGACTTTCCTTGGCTTGTACATATCTCCACTTCCTATCTGTCTCCTGATCTCCCTTGGATGAATGGGCAGGTCACTGATGTCATCAGTCCTAACGACAGTTTGAAACAATCTTTTATCAATCAGCTCTGTAAATCCGTGGGTGTTATCCAACTCATAGAACTCTTGAGGATCGAAGGTCATGCCACACATGGAGGAATCTAGCACCAAGAAGTCGTCCAAGTAAAGTACGGATCTTTCAGAGCTCATTGGACTTTGCTCATGCTCTGAAGAAATAAATGCTGTATCCTGGATTAGAATTCACTTAAGCAAATGGATGGATTTGATCGTTTAGGATTTTGTAGATAAAATGAAAAAGAAACTCTCCCACCGGGATTCGAACCCGGGTCACCCGCGTGACAGGCGGATATGATATACCACTACACCATGGAAGACACTAGACACATAGACCAGTTTCAAATCACATTGGAAAGCCGTTCAGGTATTCTACACAATCCAATACATAGAATCAATTCAAAGTCATCCCTCTGGATGTATCCTCTGACGCTTCTAAGAATATCAAGAAATAAAATAGTAGAACTGGAACTGAAGAATAATGACCATTTAAGAGGATTGCTTTATAAGTGCGATATGGCTATGAACCTTCATCTTAAGAGTGTCACAATTCAGAAAGAGGATGGAAGTTCCATCTTCATCAATGAATGCTACTTAAAAGGAACATCAATCAAGCTTGTGAAGCTGGAATCAAAAATCCTTTTGGAGCAGAAAGAAGAGGCTGTATCTAATAAAGCATGATTAGGTTTTATTCTCGGAAAATTTCCACTGCCAGAACATCCCTATAAAAGCTGTTATTATCCATACAGCTATCGGAGTAGACGCAGATGAAAGCTCCAGATATTGAGTGTCCTCAAAGTCTAATATTAAATCATAGAATCCCAACTCGTTGTTTTCCGTAATAAGTTCGATTGATGTTAGTAATATAAGTGATCCTGTGATGCTAAACAAGATTAGAAGTAGATATTTTGTTGTTCTTCTTGTTACATAATACAATATTCCAAAAGACACAAAAAGAAGAATATAGAAGACTCCTGGGTTTGACTCTTTGTATGTTTCAAAGCCTAGATGAAAAAACATTCTATACACAATGTAAAGTCCTATTATAAACAAAAGGCTGCTGGCAACTTCGAGAGCCCACATAAGAATAGATGCCAGGACGAAGGAGATAAAACATAGGGTGGCAGGGTCATTATTACTACCACCAAACACTTCTTTCATTCTTCGTATTATATCTGGAGGAATGTAATATTCTTGCACCGTCTTTGTGGAGACGCTATTAAGACCTTCTCTTATATCACAGAAGTTGTAGTATATCAATGCAGCTATGTATGGTGTCAGAGATATTCTTGGGAATCGGGAGCCATAGAAGGTTACAAAGAAGGATCCTAAAAGTATGGCCCATGCTCCAGCTGAATTAGGGAAAAACATGTTTTCATAATATATCACAAAATCATCGATAAGCTCAAATATGAAGTAACATGATGCCTTTCTAATGAAGAGAAAAGTAAGAATAATCCTCATCCAATTCTTGTAACTCAGCCATAAAGTTGTTCTCATCAGTAAAAAGTAACAGTGTTTCAGGCAACTGGGGCTCAAACAAATAGTCTCAAAGCAAAAAACAATTTAATATAAAGACTTGTTATTCCTTCTTGTCTTTAACAGGCGGCCTGAACTTCAGGGGATTTCTGCGATAGAACCCCCAGGATGGAACCACAACAATAGCAGAAATCACCAAGGTTGTAATACTTATATACATTGTATACACAAGGTTGTTGAGAGAGACTCCGAAGATAAGCGCTGCCGTGTATCCAACCCCAAATATAAGGTACATAAGGTCAGATGCTAACTTTTGCCCCACATAATCAATTGGCGGGTCGATTTTCGACAGAAGAGACCTGTACATTTTAGGGCTTCGAAAAAATTTCTATAAGCTCTCACCTGCACTTAGGAGAGAATCCCCCACAATATTTTTGTCTCTTCGGTACACGTAAACAAATGGAACTGCTGTGCATAGCATAAGGTGGCCTGCAGACAGCAATGAACACCCATTGGAAATAACCTCCTTGATCTTCGTTGGAATCCTTTCAATGGACTTTCCTATGTAATAATAAATAACTAATGGAACTTTCTTTATTATTGGAAACTTTTCATATTCTTTTATTGCTTTACTCTGGAGCTTAGAATCATATTCCATTTTCGATTGAGGGCATTTCTAAACAATTTTAGTTTCATACCCAGGGACTTCTCATACCTCTTCCTTGTCATTTAATTCCATCTTCATGTTGTTTTTTGTGGTGAGATGGAGTGCCAAGGCACCAGATACAATCCAGAAAAAGTTCATTCCAAGGAGAATGAATATGCAAAGTGGTACTCCTGTTCCATCAAGCCCCCTAATCCTGATCTGCTCCTCTCCTGTGATCCGTATGTTAGAACTTTCGAATACAACTCCATTCAATTGATTCTGAACCGACGCCTTCGTTGCATAATACATAGGCGAAACCCAAACTACCCATCTAAGCCAGCTGGGTATGGTGTTTGGATTGTTGAAAGACCCGCTGTAGATTAGAAAGACAAGAAGTCCCATCGATCCCAGTACCTGAGAGTTGTTTTGTGTAGATGTTATTGCACCGATAGCCAGTGAGTATGCTATACTAAACAGTATTAGAGAGCCCATAATGGTTAAAAATACCAAAAAAGTGCTTACGTCCGAGCTTAACCCAATCATCCAGTATATTGTTACCACATAGGGCATTTCTATCAGAAAGTTGATGAATGTCTCAGAGAGGTATTTGGCCATGAATGCGACAATTCCAGAGTACATCCCAGATCTCCTTTCTCTAAGTATCACTTGTCTTTCAGACGAAAAAACATTGAATATAGGGTTGGACACTCCAAAAAGTACGTTTGTCAGAATAAATGTTATTCCTCCTATTCTGGTATATATGCTTTCTATAGAGTATCCCATTTGCAAATATGCGAGGCCAAACACAAGCATAAAAAAGACCTTTTGAAAGCCCTTGATCTTCAGATAATCAACATTCCTGATGTAGTTCTTCAAGTTCCTATTTAGAAGAAGGGAAAACCCAAGCGATGATCTTCTTGCTGCGTTTTCTATTCTAACTTCGTCACAGAGCTTCGGTACAGGCTCCTTTCCCTTCCTGCGCCATTCATTACTTATATGAGTAATAATATCCAGGCTTCTTCCCTGTAACTCTTTGGTTCTTGTGTCAAGACTTATAGTCTTCAAAAAGAAGTCCATCGGATTTGTAAGCTCAGGTAGTCGATATCCACAGCTCTCAAAAAAATCGATGCAACCTCTGACATCCCCATCATAAATCACCTTTCCCATAGACATCAATATAAACTTATCGAAGAAGTTTATCATATCATAGGATGGCTGGTGAATCGTGACTAGAACCGTCTTTCCCATATTTGCTAAATCCTTGAGCAGACTGAGGATGTTCAAAGCATTAAATGAATCTAATCCACTGGTGGGCTCATCACAGAACAGTATCGAGGGATCTCCTAGCAACTCAACTCCTATAGAAACACGTTTCCTTTCTCCTCCAGATAGATTTACAATATATGTGTTCTTAGCATTATTAAGCCCTAGCAGTGCTATTATTTCCTCTATTCTGTTCTTTATCTTTTGCTCTACCTCCTCGTATCTCATCTTTATTTTAGATGCAAACAAGAGAGTCTCAAAAACCGTTTGGTATTCATATCCATGGAATTCCTGTTCTACATATCCAACAGTGTTGGGCCATGTGTCTTTTGATCTCGGGTGTGAATTCAAAAGGATTTCACCCTTAAGAACCATGCTAGATGGAATTCTTCCTGCTAGTGAGTTCATGAGAGTAGTCTTTCCTGCCCCGCTCGTTCCCATAAGTGCCGTCATCGTTGAGGGTTCTATGGAACCGCTGACTCCCTTCAGAACAGTTTTGTTTGTCCCGTTGCTACCTTTTGTAGTAAGCCTCAGATTTCTCCAAACAAGCTCTGATCTTTGTAATTCTGCTTTCATGGGTACTGGAAATCTGTAGAATTACAAGCTGGAAGGAATGCCCATGGCGGCTGAGGGGATAAAGGCCTCATTCTTAGGCCAGGAGGTATTTGTGACGGTAGATGATACAAGAGTCAGGATTAAAAGGGATCCGTCTACAGTTGCTATTCAGAATAGCGAGAACGACCTTGTGATTAGAGACATTCCATTGATTGAGATACGATCTCTTCATGTGAAAAACAATGAAGGCTTCTTTCTGAAGTTGAAGCTATCTGAAGAAACTATCGTACTTAGATTTAAAACCCTCCACTCTAGGGACATCATCAAGTCAATAATTCTCTCGTTCATGAAGACGGACCAAGACATAACAAAGAAGATTCTGGAGTCTGATCCGGCCATGAGAGTTCTATTCAACAATCTAAAGCAATGGGTTTCACCCTCAAAGTTCTGGTCCATCAACAGGGACAAGATGAAGCAGATGGTTGCTATAGTTAGGCAGCAGCCATCAAAGGAAATGGAGATTGATGAAAAGTCCTTTATATCTTCGTTAGATCCTGTTCTTCTAAATATATTTGAGCAAATGAACTGTTCCATAAATCAGTTCTACAATCTTCTAAGGCAATCGTATTTTTGTGATCCCAAGAACGAGAAAAATAGTCTTGACCGGATGGTCAGCTCTGCAGTAAGAAGCCACGAAGTCAAACAAGACTTTGCTTCCAGAATAAACACTCACTCGGTCCTGGCTTTGAAGCCTATTGAAGATGTGAAAATCGATCCAAGCACAAAGGAGGGAAAGAAGGTGGAGTTTCTGCCTATATACCCGTTTGAAGAGGAGAAGACAGAAAGGCCAAGAAGAAGGTTCGTGTTTGAGAAGAAGCCTCTAAGATGTGAGGTTGAGCTTGAAATTACACCTATGGTAGAGAAAAAAGTATTTGAGAAAAAAGATCTTGCTTGGATTAGAGACTTATCAAAAATCGTATATAAGTCAATGAAGGAGAAGGACGGAGAATTCCTAAAGGAAGTTGCTGGAATCACCAAAAGGTTTCTAGATGGTATGGAAAAAAAATATGGAAAGGGATGCGATGTTTACCTTAGGAGGATCTTACCAACCTATTTCATTGAAAAAAAGGATGAGTAATGTAAGATCTTACTTCCTCCTATTTAAGACTTTTCCTTATCCTTGCATAATATGGGTTGGAGAGACGAAATAACGTTTCCAACCAAGGAAGTCAAGCAATTTCTAGGTGTTAAATTTATTACAGAGTCTTGCGTGCTTCTGAGTCTCTCTTACCAGTCAAGATATAAAGCACTGATATTGTTTTATAACTTTAACGAAGAAATAGATTTTGCAGGCCTATGCATGGCCTCTGTTCTTCTAGCTTCAAAGTTAGAAGAGGAGGTTTGCACTCTGAAAAAGGTGATATACGTCTTTAACTATCTTTACACAAGATATGAATCGAAGCCTACACCATTAACAAACAGGTTGTCGATCAGACTCAAGGAAGGATGTATACTTGCTGAAACACAGATATTAAAGTCTTTAGGATTCGACGTGTCATTTGAAGATGTATATGGAGAGTTCATTGACTTTCTTGAAACCACAGACTTTTCTCCTGACTTCATAGGTAAAGCCATCCAGGTCTTTAACACAATAATCCAGTGGCCTGAAGCAGTAAGTCTCGACCCCTGCTCATTGATAATAGCCACAATAGAGTCTTTGTTCAGCAGAAATAAGAGATTCGAAGACTACACTAGAAGATATAGGCTGTTTCAAGAGAAAAGGGTTAATCTACAAACATACGAAGAAGTAGTTACTACAAAGAACATAAGTGAGAATCTAATCACGGGCTTTTTCAAAAGACAAAAGCGGAAATAAAAATGATAAGATGCCACAAAGTAAAGTAAAACCCATTTAATTCTTTCTTCTTTTCCTAGGTTCCTCATCACTTTCCTCATCGCTATCATCTTCTTCATAATCATCAGAACTGTCGTAGTAACTTTCGTCCTCTTCCAGCTCCTCCTCACTCGATATGTCGCTTACATCTTCATCAGTAGAAATGTTTTCTGTTTCGGAGGTACTTGACTCCTCAGTTACCTCACCTTCAGATTCTTCAGAACCCTCCTCACTATCTCCTACCATGAGCTCAGACCATGCTCCATCTTCATAAAACGAAATCGGGTCTTTCATTATACTTCCAATAACATTGTTCCACCGAATGCTTGCAGAAGTCTCCATAAACAACACATTGTTAGAGTCAAGATACTCCTTGAGCTTGTTGACACTTTGTACATCCACACTTAATATACTCACAAGGAGCTTGGACTTATTCTTCATAACAACATCCAAAGGATATTTGTTCTTTAGGATGAAGAGTACATCTACGGTTTTCACCGTCAATACAACTCTTTCAAAATTAACAACCTCAACATCCTCCAACGTTAGAACAAAGTATGGTGTCTCATCAAGGCTTACAAGACACTCATGAGTTTGTTTGATCATAACACTCTCCCTAAACGGGACCCCATAGAACCCCGCTCTTGGAATCTGGACTTTGAAATGGGTTTCAGACTCAATGCTGCTTACAAACGATCCAAACTGTTGGTTTATCATTTTCTGCCTGTCTTCTTCTTCTTTCTCGATAATGTATTCCATATGCTCATCTCCCCTCTTCATAGTGTCATAGACCATCGCGTTTCCAGCTTCTCGATAAAATTGCACATTTACAACTTTTCCTCCAAGAGTAATCGGGTTCCATAGGTGAAAGTGAAGAATGCAGTTTGTCTCTACGTTTCCCTCAGAAAAAAAAATGTGCCTGATATTCGAAAATAGAATCACAACATTCTCTTCTTTAAATCTAAATCCGTTCTCATGAAGTTCTAAGCTACCAATCTTCCGGCGCCTAGACCCACCCTTCATATCTGTTTTCATATAAACGTCTGTAAGGCTGAGAGGCCTTGGATTGACCTTTAACTCCTCGGAGATTTCCACCTCCTCTACAGTCTTTCTTGCCGAGTGAACCTTCTTTAGATTGTTTATCTCCTCAGCCAGATCTCTGGAGTTGCTTCCACGAACACTTATTGACTTGATCGTACTCAAAAGATTCTCTCCTTGCTCACATTCCGTATCCTGTCCTTCTTCCTTTCCCTTAGTCTCGGCCTTGAAATTGATTCGGAGAATCTTCTCATCAGTAACAGCAACACTCTTGATGTTAGAAATGTGGAATGGAACGGCATAACTCCCAATGGGTATAACAACCGATTCTTTTGAAAAGTCTACAACAACTCTTCCTTGCCTAGGCACAAGTCCTTCCTTGGTATACGGAACTATTCTAACTTCCTTCTTCTCTTCATCTTGTCCTCCACCAGAAACATTTCTATAAAACTCAAGTCTCTCCTCAATAAGCTTATCAAGCAATTCCTTTTGATGCTCCCTCCTTCTTATATTCATTTCATACTCCTTTGTCTTGTCTCTAAACCTCGATTTCTTATCTAGAAAGTCAAGAGCCGTATCCTGGGATGTTAAGTATTCAGGCTTCTCCTCAAGAAGAAAAGTATTCGACAGAGATAGTACTTCGTTGCTCAGCCTAATCACAAAGACACACCCTTTTTCCAAACAAAATGTGTTTTTGAAGCTTCTTTCCTGGCTCATCAGCCCAACTGTATATACAAAATCCGGATCAAATTCCAACCCATTTTCCGAAAAATACTTCTCCGTTTCAGAATATACAAACCCAGAGTCAGCCCCCGGGCGAATAAGCCCGAGAATGTATTCTTGAGCCATATACGCTTCCTCCATATTAGTTACAATCGTTCTGGACACCTCGCTACAGTATCCATTGTATCTCACTCCAATCCTGAGCCTATCTCTTGTGTATTCCACAGGAAATGAAAATTCACACAAGCTCATGTCAACTCCCTCCACATCAGAGTTCATCATCTCTTCAAGCCTTTTTTTCTCAAAAGCTCCTTCCCACAGCATCTCCATCCCTCTTTTCATTAGTGCAGATACAGCAACCCCAGATGCCCTGCAATTCTCGATTTCTTCACCATCCTTTATCAAGAATATCTTTCCTACCTCCTCAGTGATGTCCTCCACATTGATTCTTTCTAGGATCTTTCTACAAAAGTCTCCTTGCATTTCTTCACTCCCTGCAATGTAATAGGAATCCTTAAGAATCTTGTAGATCTCATCCATATTTGAGTTGTCTTTATTACGCACAACAACATTCAGACATCTTATCTGCCTAAGAATTTCAGACTTCTTTTGGCTCGTTATTACAGTACACGCATCATCAATTATCAAGATGGTCTCTGGAAATTCATATCCAAGCAGGTAGATAAATAGAGCCGAGTTTATCCGAAACTCGAGGACATCCTGGCTCTTCCCTAGCATGGCAATCAGAGGTTTCCCAAGGCGTTTCCTTATCTCCTTTGACCTCTTTACAAACCTTTCTTCCTCAAGCCTGATCATTGACATCTCAAGGATTAAAATTTTTATTCATCATCTAAGGCCAGCCTTACCATCAAAGCTCGCCATTCAATTGAAGAAGTATACTCTACTACTCTTTGTCCCACACACAAGGCCTCCATCACCCTTTATGTCGAAGCAGTATACCTCGTCATCACAAACCAAATCACTCACTATCTTTTTCTTGCTTACCCTGAACATCTTGATGGTTTTGTCCTTCGAGCACGAAACTATCAGGTCGTTCATCATTCTAACCTTGTAAACAAGATCCACATGGCGAAATATCAAGAGCTGCTGGCCAGAATCCATACTCCATAGTCTTACAGTCTTGTCGAATGACCCGGATGCAGCATAAAGCCTATTGGGTGATATGGAGACAGAGATAACCTCAGCATTGTGCTTCATTCTTTTATATAAAGAAAACCCCTTCCAGATAATTACATCTCCTCCATCACATCCAGACACCATATAATTTCCATTGCAATCAATTGTATTAATTCCAGAAGAATGCCCTCGGAGCTCGTCAAAAAACTTGAGGTTCTTATATACTTTGATTCTTCCATCCTTGCTTCCAGATGCTATGTAATCTTCTCCAGAGCAGATACATGTAACAGCCATCGTATGTGCATATGAAACGAGGACCTCTCCGCTTAGACTCCACATAATAACTGAATTATCCCTAGACCCTGTGACCAGGTTTCCTTTGTGAAATACCAGTGATACAACACCTTTCTTGTGCCCAGGAAAGCTTCTAATATACTCTCCAGAGATTGAATATAAATTAACACTTCCATCAAGTGCTCCACTAGCAACATACTTCCCATCTGAAGAAATGTCAAGGGACAGAGTCCAATGACCATGTCTTTTGACTACTTTGCTCTGAGTCTTTGTTCTAGGGTCCCAGAATCTTACGGTGGAATCTCCACCCCCGGTGACAATTACATCACCATTTTTTACGCACAAGACAGGACCTTCATGTCCACTAAAGGATGAAGAACAGTGGAAGGCTGCCTGTGTTGCTGGCTCTTCCTCACTCATTCTGATCTTCACAACTTCCTCTGCTGATGAAATGTTCTGTATTTTTAATGTCTCCTCGAGAGTCTCAAGAACAGGCTGTCCATTGATATAAAGTGAGAGCGTCGTGTTTGCAAGAAGCTGCAATTGTGATCTAAGTATTTTGGTTGGGATTTGAAGTCTGTCCGATACTTTGCGCCCTTCTTGATCCTCAAATTCAACGAGAACCAAATCCGACATAGGGTAGAGGCAGTTAAAGTTTTTATTAGTAGGATGTAGCAGGCTTTATACACTGTTTTCTGATGATGTATGCACAATGGAGTCGGGCAGAAGTATATCATCATTAAGGAAAATTTTATCCCTAGTGATGGAACTGAAAGATGCTGCAAAGGCTCACATAGAAGCTTACAATGCGATCTTCGATGAAAACATTCTTGACAACCTTGTGGCTGGTATTCCGCCATTGATCAGAGGAAGGACAAAGATAGTTGTGGAAGAGATCCACATTTCTCCTCCCTTTCTAAGTGATAGAGACCATATTTCTGTAGATAGGAGGTTGTTTCCTAGGGAATGCCGTGAAAGAGGCCTGACATACAAGGGAAAGATGGTTGCAAGGGTTTCTTTGTTCTATGATAACAAGCATGTGATGACTGAGGATAAGTTTGCAGGATACTTTCCCATTATGGTCAGATCGAAGCTCTGCCATCTGAGAAATGTTGAGAACATGAACAAGGTTGGAGAGGATGAAGGAGAAGTTGGAGGGTACTTTATAGTTAATGGAATTGATAAGTTCATCAGGCTTGGGATAATCCAAAAGAGAAATCACATATTTGCGTTCAAGCAACGGAAAAAGGAAAACTTTCTTACTGGCTATGGAGTATCCATAAGATGCGTTGGTAAGGATGAGATTGGGCACTTGAACAGCTTATACTACTGTACTGATGGGAACGTGATTATCAAGATATTCTACAGAAGGTCTACGTTTCTATTCCCTTTGGTTCTTATTTTAAGGGCGTTGATTAATACAACTGATGAGGAGTTGTTTGAAGCATTAGGAGGGGGTGAGAAGGCTATTCATCTTCTCAAGTGTTTTGCGGAATACAATGTCTTTTCAAGGGCAGAATGCCTTGATTACATTGGGTCTCGGTTTTCAGCAGCCATAAACGTTGGCACAAAGGTCGAGGCGGCAAAAGAGCTTTTAAGCAAGTATGTGGCTTCCCATCTCACATCGAATCTTGACAAGTTCAACTTTTTAGTACTTGCAGCCAAAAAACTGTTTTCTTTTGTGGACAATGAAATAGTAGAGGATGATTTTGATTCACCTGGTAACCATGAATTATTTACAGTAACGCAGGTTTTGTCCTCTTTTATAAAGGATAAGATAGAAGAATACATGCGGCTGTTTCCCATTATATATAAAAAAACGTACTTTAAAGATGGAAGTGGAAAAAGGAAGCTGGAGAAAGACTCCGAGGTTGAAGATGACCTCTATGAAGACAAACTAGACCTGTCTAAGATCAAGGAGATATTTAAGAAGACTCCTATTAATATTGGACAAAAGTTAGACTTGTTTTTGTATGGAGGGAGTACGGTTCTAACCAGTTGTTCGGACATCCTACAAAGAACAGGATTTGTGATTACTGCAGAGAGAATCAACTTCTACAGGTATCTCTGTAATCTTCGTAGTATCAATAGAGGTAGCTATATTTCTTCATTAGTAACAGATATCCGTAAGCTTAGGCCGGAGTCCTGGGGGTTTATCTGCCCTGTGCACACTCCTGATGGAGCTCCGTGTGGGATTCTTCTACATATGGCCAAGGGAGCAGAAGTTGTTTCTAAAGCTGAAGACTTTGACATAGACGTTCTCTTTGAATTTGGAGTTGTTCCGGTTATCAGAGGTGTTAGAATGGATGTTCCTGTACTTGTAGACGGAAAGGTAATTGGGTCAACATCGTCGCCACACACTTTTGTTCGTATGTTAAGAGAATACAAAGTCAAGAACAATCTAAAGATTGAGATAGTATATAGCGAAGGGCCCAAGATGTTTCCTTCTGTGTGTGTTTTCAATTCTATGGGGAGATTTACCAGAAAGGTTATGAACAGAAGGTTGAACTCGGAGGAGTGGATTGGAATAATGGAACAAGTTTTCTTAAACATAGATGTCGAAAAAGGAAAAGGTGAAGGAGACTATTATGAAATAGACAAGACTGATATATTGGGAATACTGGCAGGATTAACACCATATTCTGATCATAACCAGAGTCCTAGAAATATGTATCAATGCCAGATGGCAAAGCAGGCAATAGGGCTTCCGGCATACAACATTAAGGCAAGAGTAGATTCGAGTATGTATACAATAAACTATCTACAATCCCCAATAGTCAGGACAAAAGGATATGACCTTGTTAAAGACTATCCTGTGGGGGTTAATTGCATGGTAGCCGTTCTTTCCTACACGGCATATGATATGGAGGATGCTTTGGTTATCAGCAAGAATAGTATTGATAGAGGGTTATTTACAGGATACGTTTACAAAACAGAAAAAGTATCTTTGGAGAAAGGCCATTATTTTACATACCTTCTATCTGTCGGAAAGGGAATAGAAAGGGGATCGGTTTTATATAGATACGTTGATCAAAGCGGTAGAGAATATGAGAGTAAATACTACGAGGCCGAAGGTGGGATTATAGATTCTGTTAGAGTATTTGATAATGATATAGGAGAAAGGTGTGCCACATTTACTATAAGGATTGTTAGAAATCCTTCCATTGGAGATAAATTCAGCTCAAGACATGGGCAGAAGGGTGTTTGCTCAATGCATTGGCCAACCGTTGACATGCCATTTACAGAATCTGGATATGTTCCTGACATCATTATTAATCCTCATGCGTTTCCAAGCCGAATGACGATCGGCATGCTGATTGAATCGATTGCAGGAAAGGTCGGATGCCTGAGTGGAAGCATCCAAGATGGAACTGCATTTGAGAAGAGTTTTTTCTCAGGGGAGGACGAAAATGGAAAAGAAAAGGAATATCTATGTGAGGAGCTCCAAAGACATGGCTTCAACTACTATGGAAATGAGCCGATGTATAGCGGGATATCGGGAAATGAATTTCGTGTTGATGTGTTTGTAGGAGTTGTGTACTATCAGAGGCTGAAACACATGGTTGGAGACAAGTTCCAGGTGCGTACGACAGGGCCAGTCGTATCTACTACCCAGCAACCAATTGGAGGGAAAAAGAAACAAGGAGGAATTCGCTTTGGAGAAATGGAGCGTGACGCTCTAATTTCCCATGGAGCCTCACATCTTCTACAAGATAGACTTCTCAAATGCAGTGATGGAACGATATTTGAGTATTGTGGAGTTTGTAAAAGTATTCTTTTTACGAACAATGGAGACTGTGTTTGCGGAAGTAATGATCTAAAGATAGTCGAGATGCCATATGTCTTCAAATATTTATGCTACGAGTTGCTTGCAATGAACATAAAGGTCAAAATCGATCTGTGAGTAATTAAATGGCGTTTTGAATTTATCCTTATTACTATACTCCCCAACTAATGAGAAAGACAAAGAAGAATAACACGAGAAGTAAGAATTCCCCAAGGGACGGCTTGGAAGGGGGGAAAGGCCATAAGACTGAAAATGACATTGAGGCAATATTCTCTAAGGTAGATTCTCCGAAGATATGCAAGGTTAAAGAAGGAAAGGAAGATGAGGAATCCGACAAAGGAAGATATTTCTCTGTTGGAGAGGGTGGTAGGAGATATCATGAGGGGCTTCCGGTTTATACGCTCGAAGAGCTTCAACTTGGAGATGGTGGAGGTGATACCGAAGATTGCCCAATATATTGCGACTGTTGCACGTGAGACCTCATCAGCTTGGAAAGTTGAACCATTATAATTTCGATGAGTTTATTTTGGAATGATGTTTTTTTCATAATTTGCTCGATTAATCATTTGTATCCTTTCTAGACCTGGCTTCCATCTACCCTAGAATGGCTGTCTTTCTTCTTTGACGACTTAATTAACAAATCTATATGTTTCTGAACCTCTTTTTCTATCATCTTTCTTTCTATCTTTACATCACCTTCAACAGGAGTTTTTTTCTCTGGAGACTGTTGGCAATCCTCCTTTTTCGTTATAGAAAGCCTTCGAACCCTTTCTGCCATGGACTTTAAACCTAGCTCTTCGTTAAGAGCCTTACAAAACTCATCGCAATCTCCATTCCAGAAGAAATCAAAGAGATCGCCAAATTCCCTAGAAGGCTTATCAAGATTCACAAGTATTCTTCTCCCTCTTGTTGTGTTAAGCCTACAGAAGTATTTCACCAACTTTTTCACTCCAAAAACTTTGAGGCTTGTTCCCATGACTATAAACAAATCACAATCGCAATCATATTGTGTCATTTTTGAAATAAAAGAGGAATCCGGATGTGATTGGTTGTAATGTATTATTGTTGTATGAAACACCCCGACCGGCCTTTTCCTCGTATCTTTCCCTCTTTTCTCGTTACGTCTTATGCACGCAGAACATACGATCTCCTCACCTTTACCATATGTATCTCTTTCTGTATCTCCAAAGTCTACCTTATATCCACAATACAGACAGCCCAGCTTCTTCATATTTCCATGAAGATAAACAACCGTAGCCGATCTGTCCTTTGTAGCAACTAGACCAGCCTTTTCTTCAAGTCCATCGATATTCTGTGTATACATTCTGAACTTTTTGGAAACATCGGAATAAAGAGAAAGGAACTCATGTGTAGGCGAGGGGGCAGCCCGGTCTATCATATCCTTAAGCTTGCTCATATATTTCAAATAATCCTTCCTCATCTCTTTGGACATCGATGTGCTGTATGTGAATAAATCACTACCACTAATTCCCAGGTTTTTCTTGATATCATTAAAAATGCCAGACCTCGACCTAAAGTCAGGTATTCCACTAGAGACAGATATCCCTGCACCAACAACAATGGCAACCTTTCGTCTTGAGAACATCTTGATATTAGATCTAATCCACTTCGAGTCTATGACCATCATCTCACAGGGCCTTAACAAAAATATTTCTTTGCCAAGCTCCCAATGTACTTCAATAAAATAGTCAGGAGAATAAAGAAAGAAAGAGCCCAGCTCAGAATACTTGTACTCGGATTGGATAATGCGGGTAAGACAACTATCCTACACAAGATCCTCTCTAAGCCAATAGAAGATGTGCATCCGACCTTTGGATATCAGATCTATGATGTATCCTATAAGGCAACTAGTCTTATAATTCTTGATATAGGAGGACAATCGATGTTTATAGAATATTGGTCAAGTTACTATGAAGATGTGGATGGTGTTGTATTTGTATTTGACTCCAGTGACAGTAGATCGTTTGTTGAACACATAGGCCATATAAGGTCCATACTAGTTAGCACGCCCATGCTCATATTGGCAAATAAGTCTGACCTCAACCCTATGTTTAATCCCAATCAATTTGGAAAGGACTTTTGTGAACTTCTTAAGAAGAAGGATGTAAAGCTCATCAAATGCTGTGGGATAAAAGGGGATGGATTAGAAGCAGGGTTTGACTGGATGCTAGGCAGGGCAATGGAAAGACTGGTATTAGACGAAGGAGAGAAGAAAGAGTTATAGAAGACGACCCTGGAAATATGTAACTTTTGAAAACCCACTCCCGGGCCACATGGGATTGAGGATGGGGAATGCACACACTGCATCGGAAATAAAAAAGCACAAGAGGGAAAGAAGCAGAAGGCTTTTTCTAGAGGCTTATGGATTGACAGCAGACCAGAACTTGTCCAAAGATAGTGTAGGAAGGTACATATGTATAATCTGTAAAACCAAGCATCTGACAGAAATGAGTTATGTGAAACATAGGGAGGGGAAGAAGCATCGGGAGAAGCTTTCAGCCAAAGAAGAAGTTAAATCCAACATTCCCACCCATAATACACGATGCCTAGTAAAGGGAGACAGAAAGGGATACGGGATTGTTATTGATTACAAGCTTGCTGAAGAAATGCCACAGTACCGCTTTGTAAATAGCTTAGAGCAAGCTGTTGAGGACTATGATGAGTGTTTTGGGTATCTTGTATTTATATGCAAGCCATACGAGAATGTCGGATTCAAGTTTGAAAGCAAGAAGGTCGATAAGGATTCCATATATGAGGATATCGATGAAGAGACAGGAACATATACATTCCATTTTTATTTTTTGGAGGGCCCATGAGACTGAGGATTCATCGATTTTTATTCCTACTTTTTAATCCCAGCAGGATGTTATTTTGTCCTCTGTGCTCAAGCATGCTAGTTGTCAAGAGGCAGCCTGTGGGAAACGAGCTCTCATGTAGGATGTGTGGGTATTTATATGCAATATCCAAAGAGATAACCAAGGCAACGCCCATGACGCCGAAGAAGAATGATGGGCTTATTGACGAAGATGATAACTTGAAGTTTGTATCAAAATGTGGCAAGAGGTGCGAGTGTGGGTCTGAGGAGGTTTCCTTTGTGGAGCTTCAGACGCGAAGTGCAGATGAGCCAATGACGATATTTTATAAATGCATAAGATGCAAGAAAGTTTGGAGAGAATAAATAGCAGACCGCGGGTGTCCACCTGTAAACAGAATAAAGCGTATTTATCAGCTACTCTTCTTCGCCATGCACTTCTATCTCAGAGAAAGCAAAGAATATCTCACCCTCTTCATTGTTGTCCCCCTCTTCTTCATACACAATTCTGTCGGAGGGCCAATCCTTGGCTATAGTTATCCATTGGCTCAGGATCTTTGACTTCTCCCCGTTTGTTACAAAAAACATGTATTCTGTAGGAAGGCCGTATCTGTAAACGGATTCCACAAAAAGCCTCAGAAGCTTTACATGAACTAATATCTTAAGAGCTTCTACTAAGTGAATATGCACAAATGTCATAAGTATTCTTTCAATAGCCGAAAACCTCTCCTCGGCCTTTCTTCTCTCTGTAATCATCTCCTTCGAGGATATCATGTTCTCATCAAGATCCTTAATCAGAAAGCCCTCTTCATGCATCATATTTCTTATTTCTTCCTCCGAATGGTGCAGGATATAAAGCTTGAAAAGGTCATGATCCTCATCGCTGTTTATCTTTTCGACAGCATCCGACGATATGTGGGGAGACTCGTATACTATTCTATTGAACTCCGAGCTCTTGCTCTTCTGGACAACTACGTACATGACCTTAAGGAACTCGTACTTCTCTTGCTTTTCAACTATTATGTTGAGGTTGATGTCGCACAGGTTTCCCCTTGTAAGCTTTTGAAGTCTGTCACATTCCTTCTTTGCTTCGTTGAACTCCTCAGCCTTCTCTTCATATGCTTTGTTAATTCTTTTGTACTCCTCCTCAAGAAGTAAAATGACCTTATCAATGGAATTGGTCATAAAGCTTTGTGAATCCCATTTAAGAAATTCCTTCATTCTCTCAGCGCTGTTGCACACGTTTCCTTTTCCCATATTGTCTCCACCAGAGTATCCCACGAATGTTTTGAGAAGACCCTCACACGATTTTTCTAGCGAGTTTAGTCTTTCTACCTGATTTACTATCCCTTCCAAGGACACTCCTGTGAACGACGGAAGAAGTATCCTGCTAGAATGGACCCCATATTCCTCTTGAATCTGGCCTTCCGTTGGATGGGGTGTGTCTTCTTCTACCGGTAGTCCGACAAGAATGAACATCGGGGTGCTATATTTTGGTGTTTAAGTGGGCTGCTGTGAGCAAGGTTTATATGATCCAGGACAGGATGAAAGTGCATTGATGTTTGAATTGGATCTTAGTGTTTCATCAGCTCCAAATAAATAAAGACAGTGAAACCCTATGTAAATAAATGTATCTCCACAGATCAGAGGTAGAGGCTGGGATTGAAAGGCTCATGAAGACCGCAGAGGACAGCGAGATTTCAGAGAAATGTAGGAAATTGTTGAAGGAAATTGATAAGCTCGAAGAAGAAAACATCAAGGACTTTATCAGGAATACGCGGGATGTTGTTGATGTTTTTATGCAAGGATTGAAGGCCAAGAGACAGGCACCGATTTTTGTGATAGATTTCATTTACACCTTTCTTGTCAATGACCTTCTTGGTTTAAACGACATCAATGAGATTATCGATGTTATTTCTGCGGGTGTTTGGTGTGAATCATCGAAGATGAAGATACTTCAGATGAGCTACTACATTATAAGGTATGAGAACTTCCGAGGGGATCTTGCATTGGCTTTATTTAAGAGCATAGTAAGAATGGTTGATGATAGAAGCAAGCAAGTTCAAACAACTGCAAAGCCTATAGCAATGCACTTAGTCGATGTTACTTTCGGCAAAGCATGTGCTGTCTTCAAGGAAGAAGCCCAGAGTGAAGGGGATGAGCTTAATTCTATTACAGATTGTACAGATTCTCTTGAAAGATGTAGACCTGGATCTGAGAAACTACTTCTTCGAAGGGGCCTAGAGACGGAGAGCCCTATAGATGACGGGATTTTATTTCTTCGGTATCTTTTGCAGAATGTCGGGACCTCAAAAGAAATGGGACACTTTGTGATTGATTCTGTGGCTTTGGTGACTCAGAAGAGCGAGCTTTTTGAATATGAGGAGTTTAGAAGGATTTATAGTACAGAAGTGATGGAATTGTTGAAGGGGCTGATCAAAAAAGGGTGTTCTTCTAAAGGAAATGTATATAAGGTGATTTCAATTTTGGTTGAAAGACATAACTGCTTATTTGAGAAAGGAATTCATGAGGTGTTTGATGAGATGGAAAGGTCCTATGGTCTATTCGATGATCTAGAGATGGAGATGTTTCTAGACTTCTTTGGATCATTGGACATGTTAGTATTTGACAGTTATTCTGAGACTATAGGAAGAATGTTTTTCAAGATTCTTGAGGATGCACAGCTTGATAGAGAATCTGGAAGTGAAGGTGCCATCAATACCCTCAGAAGCTCGTTGAATAACCAGTTGGAAGCCCGAGGGAAGGCCAGCGGAAGATTTCATTCCCCTACAAAGGCCTTTTTCGGTAAGTTTTCTGAGGTTCTGTATGCAAAACTATCTGGTATCGTTAGCCCGCACCCTAGTGTTGAGGCTTTACTAGAGATTGTTCTCAGATTCTATGCCATTTCTGGGAACAAAGAAACGTTAGAAATGTTTATGGTTCTTGGATGTAAGATTGGGTTTACAGGTGTTGTTTGCAGAGGTGCAATTGAAAATAGAAAGTACATCCAGGACTCTTGGCATATTGTTCTTAATTACTGCAAAGGCCATCTTGGAAGCATCATGGAATCTGTTAGTGGCTTCGATGCCGAGGAGATTTTCTTTTTGATAAAGGCCATAGAGAATCTGGAGCCCGCTAATGCGTGGAGTTCGAAAGATAAGGTGGACTTTTTATTATCTGTGTTTAACATCACCAAGCCTGTTGTAGTGGAACCACTTAATGTAAAGATATTTGAAATGATTCTTAGCGGGATATTGAGAGAAAGTAGCAGTGATGAAGGATATTCGATTCGAATATTCTGCTTTATCCTAGTAGACTATGTTGGACAACTAGAAGCCTTGACGTCTGACGTTGAAAGTGTCATTTTCATACTTCTACAAAAGATGCTTAACCGGAATTTAGAGAGAAATGGCTTGGAGATTCTCGAGGCCATGTCTGAGGTGTTGAGGACAGTAACGCCTGAAAGTTGCTGGGACATTGTTTTCCAATGTATTGAATACTCATGTATTCCTTGCTTGTATCCTTCTCTGTATCCTATTATAAGATGGATTATAGAAGGATCTGGACATCTTATAAGTGATGAGCATTTTGGAATACTTATTAGTTGCTTGCACTCGATGTGCTTATCTGCAAGTAATGAGATAAGCCTGAAGGCTGTGTCTATCTTTCAAGACGTGGGAGAATGTTTAATGAGTAGGAGGGCCCTTAATCGGTTACCCAGTGGCGGCGAGGAAAAGGATAAGAGGGTGAGTTCTGCATGGATAAAATACATCAAAGTTCTTGGGGAGACGGCGAATGATGGAAGGTGCATGGTGCGTGAAGCATCGATCAAATATCTTGTCATGTTTCTTGAGGCGGAATCTGAGGTGATGAACTCTGAAGAGCTAGATTTTGCTGCAAAAAACAGCCTTATTCCTCTGTTGGAAAAAGGCAAGCAATTTTTGAAAGTACAAGAGCAAGAATCCCACTGCACCTTGATGTTGATACTCGATGAATGTAGCAGGGCTATTGGGAAGATGCATTATCATGAAGAGTTGTACAGTAAGTTCCTTGAGGTGGTTACTGATGGAATATGCTGCTCTGATTCTTCTGATATTCAGAACATATGCGTTGAGAGTCTGCGGATGATAACAAGTAAAACTTCTGAGACGAATCCTGGGAGCAAAGGACAGTATCAAGAAGGGAATGACAATAGCTCTGAGGACATAGGATTTAGGATGGGAGGTGGAGAAAGGAAATCTTTGAAGCCTTTATTGAAGCTAAGGGACTTAGTTTTCAATGCATACAAATCGATATTTAGCAATATTCCTTCTGATGAGGGATGTTCTATTAACACGTATCTTGAGATGATAGATTTGGCCAAGGAATTTACATTCAAAAGTTCTGAGCTTCGAATATTGGTTCCTCTGCTTCGCAAATTTGTACACAGCGGGAACCGAGTGATTCAAGAGAAAATATTAGATATGGCTGAAATGTGGGGATTTGGAATCGATGTGCAACTGGAAGCTTACAATAACTGGATGAATTTGAATGACGTTCGGCTGAGTAGGATGCTTATTGAAAGAATGGGGAAGGTACTATCGAAAAACTCTGAGGACACCTGGTATTCTGAGGTGGTGATCGATCTAGTTGAGTATTGTAAAGAAAAAGCTTTCTGGGAAGATGTTGTCAGGGCGTTTATGAAGAGTTCCGAAGGGATAAGAACTCGGACCTCATTTATTTCGTTTATAAATGGAAGTAAGATGATTTTTGATGAGGCGGCAAAGGTAGGAGCTTCCGAGAATCTGGAGGAAATGGAGATGGGAAATGGATTGAGTGGGGAACCTGTTGAAAGCATGGTAAAGATTGTAAAAAAGAGAGAAAGGATTGTGCTGGAGTTTCTGATGTTCTACCACGATATCTTGACCAAGTTTGCTAGTGCCTGTAGTTCACTACAAAGTCATTCGATACAACCTTTTGATCAAGTAACTATATCTGATGTTAGGGAGGGATATAAAGTTATATTTGAGATGAGTGAGGTAGGATCTGGACTTGGGAAGGAAAGTATTTGCTTTAAATGTTATGAGATATTGTTCCATGATGTTGAGCTGATTTATAATGACGTTATTGAAAGGATCAGAAAGGTTTTGAGCGAGTATAACGAGATGGAGATGATATATAACGGAATGTATTCAAGAGTAAAGCAGAGGGAGGTATACACCATACTAGAGAAGATATGGAGAAGCGAGAATAGGAGACTTGTAGACGATGTTAAGGATATTCTCGTCGAGTCACTTAGGTCGAAGGACTACAGAGTTATTGACCATGTTCGGAAGTGTTTAGAGCTCATTCTTGTGCAAAATTAAATAAATGTCGGTGGCTATTACAATATTTTCTAGAAAAAACAGAGAAATCCGGAAAGAAAAAATAATAAAAGCCCGAAATCCCTAAGGCTCAATGTCAGAAGAGAAGCAAAAATCTAATACTTCTAGAGCAATTGGAATTGACTTGGGGACAACATTTTCCTGTGTTGCTGGATACATAAGCGGGAAGGTGGAGGTTATTACGAATGCTGATGGAGAGAGGACGACACCATCTGTAGTAAGTTTTGATGAGAACAACTGTACTGTTGTTGGTACGGCGGCAAAGAATATGGTTGGGCTTGACCCTACGTCTGTGTTGTTTGATGCAAAGAGGTTGATTGGAAGAGAGTTTGATGATCCAAGAATCCAGAATTCCATGAGCGGATGGCCATTCAAGATTGTGAGGTACAACCACCGGGAGAAGAGAGAGGAGACGAGCAAGGTTCCTGAGGGGTCTAATTCCTATGACAACATAGCATACAAGGTCACGAAGGATGGTAAGGTTAAATATTATGCACCAGTTGAGGTCAGTGGGAAGGTATTACTGTATCTTAAGAGTGCAGCAGAAGCAAGGCTTGGAGGAACTGTTGACTCTGCAGTTGTGACTGTGCCTGCATACTTTGAAGAGCCTCAGAAGGATGTGACCAAAGCAGCAGCAACCATTGCTGGATTTGATCCCAACAAGGTCAGACTTCTTGCAGAGCCTACTGCAGCAGCAATGGCATATGGTCATATTCAAACACAGAAGAATGCCAACTTCTCTGCAAAGGAGGATGTTCTTGTGTTTGATCTTGGAGGAGGTACATTCGATGTGTCTGTGCTTGACTTTGAGTTTAACGGAGCAGCAGGGTCTCTTGGGATTGTTAAAGCCATTGATGGGGATACATTCCTTGGGGGTCAAGACTTTGATAACCTCTTGATAAATCACTGTATCTCCGAGTTCCTCAAGAAGAACCCTTCTATTAAGAAGAGTGACTTGAAGGAAAGTGCACTTCTTAGACTTAGAGCTGAATGTACAAGGGTTAAGGCCGTTCTCAGCTCAGCGACAAGTAGTGCTATTTATGTGCCATGCTTCCACATGACTGAAGACCTGAATGTTCAGATCACTCGTGCCAGATTCGAACTTCTTTGTGATCACCTCTTTAAGAAATGTATGGAAAGAACCAAGGGGTGTCTGCTGCGCTCTGCAGGTGTTCCTGAAGTCGAATACTCTGCTGATGGAAGTAAACTCCTTTTGAATCCCTCTCTTGAGAAGACTTTGAATGAGGTTCGAAATTCTATCAGCAAGGTTCTTCTTGTCGGAGGGTCTTCAAGGATTCCAAAGGTTAAAGCCATGCTTGCAGAGTACTTTGGAGCTCACAAGGTTGTTGAGCCTGTGAATGCTGATGAGGCTGTTGCATATGGAGCAGCATATCAGGCAGCATCTATATATTCTGATGCTGTGGATGCTGGATCAAGCCTTCTTCTTATTGATTGTGTTCCACTGAATCTTTCGATTGAGACTGCTGGTGGGGTCGCAACTCCTTTGGTGAACTGTGGTGACAACATCCCTATTAAGAAGACAGAGACATTTACGACCTATGAAGACAACCAGACAGCTGTGACAATTAATGTATACGAGGGAAATAGGCCTATGTGTAAGGACAACAAGAAGATAGGTAGCTTCAATCTGGATGGAATTATTCCGGCACCTCGTGGAGTTCCTAAGATTGAAGTAACATTTGATGTTGATCATAATGGGATTCTTATAGTTACTGCGCAAGATAAGCAGACCGGAAAGGAAAACAAAATAACAGTGACAAACTCACAGAACAGACTCAGCCAGGAGGAAATTGAAAGAATGGCTAAAGAAGCAAGAGACAACGAGCAAAGAGATAATGAGACAAAGGAGAAGATGACTAAGAGAATGTCTTTTGACCAGGCCATTTTCTCTTTCAAGAGCCTTCTTGAAAAATCAAACATTTCCCAAGAGAAGAAGGACGAAGCTCAAAAAATCATCAAGGAGAATGAGGAATGGCTTTTAAGAGCACAAGGTCCGGACGACTTTGAGGTGGACGAGCTTGAAAGGAGATCCAACGAGCTTCAGAGCTTCATGAACGACATTATGAAAGAAGCTGGAGCCGGTGGAGCACCATCAGCCTAAATAAATTAAAAGTGGTTTGTCCCTATAATCAATTTACTTACGCTTTTTACTTGATATGTTCTAAGTTTAAGAAGCAGATCTTGTAGCCCCAGAATGGCTATTATTTCTTTAGTGGTCATCAATGTACACACAAAAAAGATAAAAGCCAAAGCGTTCAGCCTTGGACAGTTTTCGTTCTTCACCCGAGGAAAGGTAAAGGAGACCTTGACCTTTATTTCTCAGGAGCTTGCTGAAAAATTGGAGACTTATGAATTCCAGGAGTACTCTCATGAATTCAATGACGAAAAAACTTACAAGCTATTCAGCTTGGTACACAATGACTATGCATACATAGCATGTGCAGACGACAACTATCCAGGGATTGTGGCTTTGAAGCTTTTGCAAGAAGCAAGGCATGGAAACATTGAGAAACTCATTGATGAATACAAAGACCCTGCATCCAAGCACACACTCCTACAAATACAGAACGAAGTGGAAGAAACCAAAGGAGCGCTATCAAAAACACTGATGGCCGTTCTTGAGCGCAATGATAAGCTGGAGGACCTGGTTGCCAAGTCTGAGCATCTCTGCTACGAGACAAAACTGTTATTCAAAAGTGCAAAGAAGAAAAACAAGTGCTGTTAGGGGTTTCATAAAATAAATCTAGATATCCGTTCTTTTCTGATTTTCTAAAGGCAGTTTGTGATCCCATCGGAATGGACCACGAGTTCAAGCTGTTCTATGAAACACTTGACAAAAGCAAGTTCAAGTTTTTTGGGAGGGGGGAATCATACAGTGTGTTCAATGAGGACATAGCAATGATTCCACGACGTAATGCAAAGGACGTGATTGAGAAAAAAGAGGGGAAGGAGATGAGAGTTTCCAAGGGGGAGATTGAAGATATTATTAGGGTATTACTGACAGAAGCCAAGATTGGAGTCCAGGAGTACGATGGACAGGCTCTTATAAGAGAGGGGTTTCCAGGAAACTGGAAGGACTTTACAGACCTGCTGCTAGATACTAGAAACGTCCCGTCTATTGCGGCAGTGAAGCTGGGAGATACAGTTGAGATAAGCTTCCTTATCACATCTGAGCCCACAATTTACACATCGAATTTTGAGGATGATGAAATATTTAGTAGCCTGTATTGGATCTTAAATGAAGTGAATGCTGTTGAAGTGGTGTATGACAACAAGAAGCTAACCGATTTTTTGAACAAACTAGGGATTTCTGGCTGCTTGAGAAGAAGTGAGGAGAATACTGTGAAACTTCTGTGTAGATATCTCAGGATATCCGAGGAAAATTATGAATGTAGGGAATACATCAGACCGTTTTTATGCAGGGTGGATAAGAATGTCCTTTCTGCATTGAACGTGTATAATGAAAGAGAGCACTGCGTATCCAAAACCTTCTGCTGCTATACAAACCAGGGATGGAGGCTCCTCCATAGAATGCTTTTACAGCCACTTCGTAATAAGGAAGAGATAGAAAGAAGGCTGAACACCATTGATTCGTTGAAGACGCTCAATCTTAGTATTCTAAGGAAGTTTCCAGATCTTCTAAGGCTATCTAGAAGGATAAGCGGAGGCCGAGTATCTTTGAGAGAAATCCTTAGGCTTGTTCAAACCATTGACGCCATTCCTGACCTTATATCTTCCTTTTCAACCTCCCTGCCCCTTACTAGAGATGTTGGCGAGCCCCTCAAAAAGATTTTCTCAGCATTTGAACCGATCAAGGCAGAGGTTGCAAGGGTGGTTGACCTTGAAGCAGCTGAAGAGAATGTGTACAGAATTATGCCTGATGTGTCTCCAAGGCTTTACAAGCTTAATGAAGCCTTGAAGGAAGTTGATGAAGAGATGGACAAGGAGTATAGGAGGGTATGCGAGACTTTTCCCAAGCTTAAGATAGATAGGATTTTGGGAGTTTTCAAAACCACAAAGACGGAGTACCAGAAGACCCGGGACATCTTTAGAAAGGAGGGTTTTGTCGAGCTAAACCTTGTGAAAGGCGGAGTCTCACTTACAACAAGAACCCTCTCTTCCTTGAATGAAAGAAAAACATCTCTTAAAGAAAAGGTTGATGATGAAGAGAAAGAGATCATGGATGGGATGAAAACTATGCTGAAGAATTACATATCTTACATCGAGTCCCTGAATTATCTAACAGCATTGATTGACGTATTTAGTGCATTTTCCATTAAGGCCACTCTTAAGGGATATTCTAGGCCGGAGTTCAATAAGAATAAGCTTGAAATAAGAGGTGGATTCCACCCAGTGCTTGAAGACCAGGACTATATCCCCAATTCAATAAAGATGGAGGATAAGAGAATGTGTGTGGTGACAGGGCCAAACATGGGAGGAAAGAGTACCTTTCTTAAAACCTGTGGAGTGATTGCTCTTCTTGCACATATGGGGTGTTATGTTCCTGCAGAATATGCTAGTATTCCAATTCTTGATGGAATATATGTCAGAGTCGGGGCTGCAGACTGCTCGTTCACGGGGTCATCCACGTTCATGATGGAAATGGCTGACATAGCAAGAATATGCCGTTTGAGCTCTCCGGAGTCATTAGTAATAATAGATGAGCTTGGAAGAGGAACCAGTGCAATTGATGGGCTAAGCATAGCACAGGCTGTCAAAGAGCATCTTGTTCAAAAGAAAAGCCTATGCCTATGTGCTACACACTTTCCAGAGCTTTGTGGTGACGATGTGTTGAATAAGAAGGTTAAGAACGAAGGGACACTTCTTATGTACGAATTGGTTGATGGTGTCTGCGATACAAGCTTCGGCATAATGGTTGCAGAGAAGGTAGGGTTCCCTGTGGAGGTGATACAAATGGCTAAGGAATATATGGAAAAATGACTTTAAAGAGTTCCAATGGATTTAAGTCACTTGCATGAACATGCCCTCCAAGATCCCACTCCATTCATTTTTCTTACAAAGCAAGTGGTTTAATAAAAAAATCATTTTGTTTATTAACTCAATGCCAATAAGCAAATGATTACCAGATGCTCCATATTTCCATGCTTGTTATGTTTTGGATTTTACGGTCATGGAGTGTCTTTCTCATTATCCTCAGGTCCAAACATTATCTCGTAGAAGTTCCTTCCATCATGCAGCAATGGTCTCATACTTCCCTCCACAAACCGTAGTTTGCTTTGGCATTTTGTAAATACCAGAAGTCCAGTTTTTAGATCAAATATATTTATGATGTAACGTCCAAGACAGATGACGTAGTTCTTGACTACTTTGAACCCTAATGGATTGCAGTTCCATAGAAAGATTATATCCGTCCGCTTAAGCTTCCCAGTATCGTCAACTACAAATCCCATGGTGTTGAAGCATAGAAGGAATTCATGGGGAGAAACAGGGAAAATCGACCTTGCAGTTATATTCTTGAGTCCATGGAAGAGGATAGGGATAAACGGATCGTAGACTTGTAGAAGTTCCTCCGTCCTAAGGGTCTCCATGTCAACAATCTCGAAGTCTTTGCATCCTATCACAATCTTTTCAGAGCAAAAAAAAACATTGTATACCTGGAGGCCTATATATAGCTTTCGAGAAAGCTCAATTGTGATTGCATCATTGGATACTACTGCCAAAAAGAGAAATATCGAAACAGATTTCCCGTCCCCGGAATCTGTTGATGCAATGCATGGGCCTTGTCTTGTTATTCCATAAAAGAAGTCGTCAACATCATCCTTTAGAACATTCTCTTCGATGCTTGTCGACTCAACATTGAAGTGGGAAGCGTACAAAGTCGACCCTGACTGGTATAACATTATCTCATATGCGGAGTCATAAATTATTTTTTCAACTCGCCTGTCTAGGATCTTGTCAGCCTGTTCATTAGATAATCGATAAACTCCATCTCCTATTGCTATAATATACATGGCCTTCTGTGCAGAAATATAATCGGGATCGTCATTTCTATCCAAGGGAGGAGGGATCTTGATGCTGCTCACAAAAAAGTCTGCTGTTGGAAAAAAGCTCTTCCATAAAGATCTTTTCCTACTAGATACCTCTTTGCTTTTCTCATCTCCCTCCTGGCTTTCCTCCGAGTCCAGTTTCTCTTCCTTTGAGGCGACGTCCTTCCTAATCCTGTGAAAATTATTTATAAGCTTGGTCACGTCCTGATCCTTAAACATCTCTGAGTACTCAGTGCTATCCGGTGAGGATTCTTCGGATAATGTTCCAGTACTGTATTCTAAACTATCTGAAGAAGAAAGGGATTCATCATACCAAGTTCTATCATTGGCTTGGCATGCATACCTCACAGTCTCATTCACTTCAAAAGGCAACCTCTTGAAGGTTATGCTATTTCGAAGGTTCGACCTGATCCTGAGTATCGCCTTTTGAATTATATTATAGTACAAATCCCTCTCTCCTTTATCATAGAAATACAATCCCCACATTCGTATGCCTCCTCTTTCAAACAGAAATAGAGGGAAAAGCTTCTCAAAGAACGGATCTTCGGGAAAGAATTCAACATTCTCCTTGACTGCAACCATTCTTGATATGAACATCGGCTCCTCATTAATGTATATCTCTGAGAATTTATCTTCTGGGCAATCGCATATCAAGATGAGATGATCAAAAACAAATATCTTATACATCTTCGAATCTTCCTTTGAATTACCTCTTACCAGTGCTTCTCCTTCTTTCAGTAGCTTTCTTTTCTTTTGGAATAAGGCCAAGCAATACTGATTCTTAACATTTTGCTTATATCTGAAGTTTATCCCTAGCTTGTACATTGCAAATTGCGTGCCGAATTTATTGAATTCCTTGTCTACATTCTTAGCTATTGCCTTGAACTTCTCAATCAGTCTTTCATATTCTTTCTTAAGATTCCCCTCCTCATTCTTAACCACAGCCTTCAAAAGCAAAGGATACCTTGCAAGCTTCTGCGATGGTCTGTACAGAAAGTGCTTTATCCCAAGAAATGCGGCATTCTTTCCTTTTAGAAAGTTCTCCACACCCTTTGCAAATTCCGGATAGCGATGCACAAGCTTCTCAAGTTCAAATTCAGCCTTGGGAAGCCTTCTTACATACTCATTATACAGGTCAAACTCCTCAATATACCTCTCGTATATCGAAACATACTCTAACTTCCGCAGGCCCGGGTTCTCAACATCAATTTTATCAATTATGTATTCATCAGTATTTCTTAGGACATTTCCTCCTGTTATTTCGGAATATATACCAAGATTTACCCTCTTCATATCCTCATAGATCTTCTTGTGAAGCCTTTGGATCCTATCCAGGTTAATAAATATCCTATCGCATATCTCATACTTTATCTTTGGAGTACTAAACAACGGGTATCCAAGAATCCATACTCTGAAATCCTTTTCCCAAACAAGGAGGTCTTGGATGTAAGACTTCTCACTCTTAAAGATCTCTCCAATGGCTTCAATACGCTTTCTAGACTTTGACATTCACAATAGAATTCTTTGTTTTTCTGTATTTATCTCTTCTCAATGTTTCAGAAGGAAACATCAGTAGTGTTTGCTATTAATTTGTACATAAAAGGGACGCAGATCATCCGTCTTTCGAGGTTCCGCTGCTCTTTCTTCTTAGATGGTCTGCCACATTGAACATCGTCTCCACACCTACAACAGATGGCTTCTGGAGTAGCTCCATGCAAACATCGAAGTCTTCTTGAATTATCACATTTCGCATTATGATTATTGCAGAGGCACAGCAATACAGCACCATCTCGAATCTGTATGTGTCGCTAAGAAGTCTATCCCATAGCCATATGACATCTTCAATTTCAAAGCATGACATAAACATCAGTAGTATCCACTTCATATGGAATCCTTCCTCAGTTAGGCCCTTTCTTCTCATCACTCCATACAGCTCCCCGTCTGCCTTCTTGACTATCTCCATGACTACGGACATTCTGTGCATTATCCCTCCATTGCACCGGTCAAGATCCCTTATGAAGTTATCTCCTATCTCGGCCATCAGCGAGTTGAAGCAGAAAAAAGAATCCTCCTCGCAATACTTCCTGTCCTCTTCATCGTCGCTTAGATACAAAACATAGTATATGGCTATTAAGACAAGATTCATTCCCTGAACATACCGAACAGATGAGTTTGACATTGCATAGCACTTCAGTATCCTCTTGATTACATCTCTGTGTGTTTCTTCAGAGTTTTCGGATGTACCATCTAGAAATTCGCAGTACCTCTCTTTTTCTCCAGGACCCTCATAATCCACTCGCGGTTTGATGAATGTTCTGGAAACATCATTCTCAATCACCTTGTAGCACTCCTCTTTTCCTTCAAACTTGTTTCCAACTCTTCCCGCATAGAAGCTATATGAGTTTCTCATGTTTCTAAGGAACATTTCCGTCCTGAACTTATTCTTGCTATAGTACCCAAGGAACACCTTCCAGTACTTTGGCCTAAGAGATGCGTTGGAAAACCCGTAATAACAATACTTCTTTACCTCATGGACATTAAGTGGCGTTGAGTCTGTGGGGCTTATCTGCTTTGATATAAGGCTGTGCAACACCGTTCTTTCTCTTTTTTTGTAGAAATCCATCCTCGCTCTGGCTACATTTCTCCTATATGGGTTCTGTTGCTATGTAGGGATTCTGTCCAATAAGCTTCAGGTAGTGTACATTAGGATTTCCTAGATGATTGGGCTCATGCAATATGCCCCTGACCAATGAACAAGCACCAAAGCAAGTGAGGGTTTGTGAAGGCAGAAGCTTCTTATGCTCTCCAAAAAGCCAACGGGAAGTTCTTGGCCTTAACACTCTTAGATGCATGATTTAGAACTGACTGGGCTTGTACCTCTCTTATGGCGCTCGAAGCCTTGAGCCACACAGAAAAGGAGTTCAGTATTAAAACGAAATTCGAAGAATATATCCATGCATTCAAAAGAAGCTTTGGCTCTTGAGAACGGTGCCAAGTATAGAGGAGAGCAACTTACCAATGGAGGGTCGTTCAAAATAGAGATGAATGTTGATATCATTGACACGAGACAAGAGTTCATCTGTGGAACATTTGAGATACATAACCTTACTGATAGATATGAGCTTCTTACAACGTATTTTGAAGGGGAAATAGTCGGGAATATCTATCCGTTTACGACAGAAGAGTACTCGATGGCAAACCCAGACATAATACATTGGAAACTTTTTCCAGAGTGGAAAGGAGAATATGTCTATAGAAAGGGGTCGTATGATATCAGAAAGAGCAACTTTATGTACATCAAAATCAAAGAGCTGTTTTTGTTGCCGGATCCTCGGCTTAAAACCATACCGGGGGCATCGATCGATGGGCACTACTATTGCTGCTACTACAAGAATCTTGATTGCTTTGCAGGGCACTATTATTACAAAAATACGTCGAATCTAATATCCCAGCAGGTACTTTTGGACAGGGTATTTCCAAGAAAATCAAGAAGCAAGTCATTTAGCAAATGACATGAATATATCATTAAATAATAATTTCGATGGGACTTTAAGGTAGACCTGGTAATATATTGGGATGAATTCTCTCGAGATTTGACAGGACTTTAAATGTTTTTGTAGAGGACCCTCGATGGATGAGGGTTGGAAAGTAAAAAGGCCGCCTAATGGGACGAAGGCGGAATCCAAGGTGTTTTCTGCACAAGGACACAGGTGGAAACTAGTTCTGTCGAACAGGGGCGGGAGAATATATTTGGCATTGGAATATCAGGGGGGATCGTACCATGATGTTCTGACGACTTTTTGTTTTGACATTGATGGAAAAAAACAGGAATACCAATATCAGTTTTCGATGTTCAATACAGATATTGGGATTTATATTGAGGACAAGGATAGCTATGTGATTAGGGTTGATGTTGGTGTGAAAAGCGGATACTACAACTCCAGGAAGGAAACAGGGTATGTAGGGCTTAGGAATCTTGGTGCAACTTGCTACGTTAACTCCTTAATGCAGTCATTATTCAACATAGCAAAGTTCAGAAATGATGTTTTTAGTCTGGAGCCTAGTGGAAGAGTATTGCTGCTTCAGAAGTTATTCAAGGAAATGCAAGTGGAGGAGCACGCTGTGGACACAACAGACTTTGTTGTAAACAACATATGGGTGGACGATGTTCATGTTCATCAAGACATCCATGAGTTCTCGAAGGTTTTTTTTGACTCTCTGGAGAAGGACAGCAAGAGAAAGGACTTTATAGAAGACTTGATCCAAGGAGAGCTGGTGACATACATAGATGGAAAGTGTGGGTGTGTTCGGAGGATAAGAGAGAAGTTTCAAGACATCCAGGTGGAGATCAGGGATTTCTTCAACAATAAGCTATCATCAAATCTATCTGAGTCCTTGAAGAGATATGTGAAGGCCGAAGTTCTTGATGGGAATAACAAGTACAACTGTGAGGAGCATGGGCTTGTAGATGCAAAGAAAGGAGTGGTGTTTGGATCTCTTCCTCCAGTGATGTTTGTTCTCCTGAAACGGTTCAATGTTGATTTTGAGACTGGAAATGGATATAAGATAAACGACTACTTCGAGTTTCCTTCCTCAATTGATATGAGCCCATTTATGGATAAAGATGATGGAAAGGAGAAGGGAGATGATGAGATGTATGAACTTTACTCTGTTATTGTGCACAAGGGAGACCATGATGAAGGACATTTCTACGTGTATCTGAAAATTGATGGAAGATGGCTTAAGTTCAATGATACTATTGTGACGGAGGCTGGAGAGATGGAAGCTTTAGAACACAACTATGGGGGGAGACACCCCTACAAGGATAAGATAAGAGACCACTCGGGATACTACCTGGTTTATATCAGGAGAAGCATGATTGACGATCTATTGAGAACAAAGGTTACGATTCCTGCAAAAACAGAGGAGATGTTAAACAAAAAGCAGAATAAGGTTCCGATTAGGTGTATAAAAATAGATAACATTAGGAATTATAGAGGAGTCGGGTTCTACAATGTCGGCTCTTATGATTATCCCCTGAGCGGATACACCGAGTTTATTATAAAAGAAGGAGACAGTATTAAGCTCCTGAGGAATAACATCGAAAAGCATCTTAACACCCGAAGGTTCTTATATCTATTTGAATGTACCAGGATGGAGGATAACAGAAAGATGGAGGCATTGGACAGACCAAGTAAGAGGGTTAAGGAGGATATACATGGGCTAACGGAGCCTGAGGTTGGAAGAGACGAAGAGAATGCCTCCAGGACAATCGAGTATGTAAGACTTAGTCATCAAAAGAAGGTAAGCCTCGTAAGAGACGGAATTGTCAATACTGATGCTGATTACTTCATCTATACATGCTATCCAGAAGTAGACTTTGAGAAAGGTAGGCTTATTTTTCTGAAGGTTTTCAGTAATATGCCTTGGTGTGAAGACACATTACCTACCTCCTTAAGGCTCTGTGCATGCATGCATATGGAAGGAACAATTAAGGATAACATGGATGCTATCATCGAAAAGATAGGGCTTGATGATATTGTTGTGTTCAGAGAGTTTGATCTATCATCAGCCCTGGATTTGTCTGCCAATGTTTCCAGCCTTCCACAAGGGGATGTCTTGGTCGGCGTCAGGAAAGAAGATGTCCTGGAGTTTCTTGATTTTATGAGTGATTTCTACAGAAGATTGTGTGTGAATGTTTCCTGTGGCCCACATAACTTCACCGTATTTGTAAGAAGAGGGCTGTCGAGGGCTGAACTTGAAGGAAAGATCCGACGGTTTGTAGGGTCTAGAGAGATCTTCCTGAAGAGGAGAGAGTCATGTTCTGATAGTTCTGAGTTCAAGACTGCAGTAGAAGACTTTGGCCTGTCTGATATGGAATCTGATGCCCGTGAAAATCTGCAAGCTAAGAACACTGTGTCTTGCACCATTAGCCCCGGACATCAGGTGGTCTATCTGGCATTTTGTAACAAAGAAATGGATTACAACTCGGTCCCTCATCTTCATATCTTTGTAACTAAGATCGGATGTACCTCCTTGGAGTTAATCAAAAGTGTCCTCGTGTCTCATTTTATATGCCTCAATCCGGTGCGAGGGCATTCTCTAAAGACACTGAGGATAGTGGATACGGTTAGAGATACTCTGTATCTCAAAGGGTTCACCATGTCCGAGGAATTCAGTGCCAATGGGATGTGTGTTATCCAGCCTTTTGTAAAAAGAGCCATTAAGACGGCCTACTATACCGGGATGTACAAGATAATAGGGTTTCCGTTCTTTTTGCAAACAGATGCAGAGAGTGTTGCAGAGTTCAGGAAGAAATACAAACTGTTTGGAAAGATGGTTATGTTTGATGGAAAGGGGTATGCCGACCTAGAGCTCGACTGGCCGATGAGCAAGTTCAATGACGAGTGCTTCCTGTTAATTGAAAGAACATAGTCTTACTATTAAAGAATGATGTATTTCCCTTGGATGTGGTTTAACAACAAGCCTTTTGGTTCCAAAGACAATAAAAGTGGAATGGCCCTAAGCCCTTGAATGGAGTTTGAGGAGTGCGGAGAGGGGTATACTGGCAAGCTCGATCTGAAATCAGCATTTCTTGGAAAGTTACCTGGAGACGGGCCATTGCTTGAGGAGCTAGGGATAGATTTCAGTACAATAAAGAAGGAGAGCCGCCTGATATTTGGGGTCTTCCAGAAGAAACATGTTGACTTCTCGTTCGTTAAGAATGCAGACCTTTCTGGGCCGATTGTGTTTATCGGATTGTACACCCTTGGGCTTATTCTGAATTACAAGATCCATTTTGGGTACGTATATTTTATTTCTCTGTTGACAGCCCTGTCTATGTACTTTTTACTGAATGTCTTGGACACAAAGCATATAGGATTTCTGGAATGCTGCAGTGTTCTTGGGTACTCATTTCTTCCTGTAGTCTTTTTTTCCTTCATAAATATCCTCATGGGGAGAATTGGAGTTGGGTTCAAGGTATTCTATGGCCTTGTATTTGCATTGTGGTCAAGCTACACAGCATCTGTGGTGTTCTGTAGATACCTTTCGCTTAGTAACAAGCATGTGGTTGTTGGATACCCACTATTGCTTGGATATGCAGGCTTTGTAATGGTTGTTCTTTTTTGAAATAAATCATATAAGTATTAAGGTCTTGGGGTTTGAACGCTATGATGGGCATATTTAATATTTGTAATTGATCTCTGAGATATAAAAGAAAAAACAAGAAAACTGGGATGCGAAAAAATGACTTTGATGTGAGGGAGATGAATGCTGCGCTAGGTCTCCTGAAGCTAGCCAGGGAGAGGAAGGGGGAGGGAGACGAGCCTGATATAAGAACAAGGAAGACGACTTTTCAAATGATGGTCCTCAAAGAAGTCTTTAAGATTGCACCGCATCCATCGACACTTACAAAGACAGACCTTGCACTTATGATCAAACTTCCACTGAAAGCTGTACAGATATGGTTTCAAAATGAACGGAGCAGGAAAGAGAGAGGTGGGAGGGCAGGGAAGAGGAGTAGAGGAGGGAAATCCGAAAGTATAGATCCTGTCAGACTGCTTAAGGTTATAATGAAAGTTCTGGACAAAAACAAAGAGGGTCTTGGCTTCTGAGTAGTCGGATGTGTTTCTACATATTGGTGTAACATAGACAGGGGTACTGGCCTATGTACGATGCTTCCAATTTTGAATATAAATTAAATATGAGCTTTCTTAAGAGGAGATATTTAATATCAGGATCTATAACTTTTACTGGGCTGGTGGGTGGATTGCCAGGGGATCGAACCCAGGATATGTATTCCTTGGGGTATGAAACCAAAAATTACTTTTTGTGGTTGGAGAATAGCTTAAAAATATTAACGAGGGTGCCTGATTATGATTAAATCATAAATCTGTTCAATAATAATATTAGTTGGAATTGATTTGTGAACAGATATTTCAAAAAGCAGATGGAGTCTTTAATATCTTGGTGTATTCTCGACAATGGACACGATTTCCTTCAGATCAATAGTTCTTGAATCAGTAGTGTCCTCGGCACCCTGGTTCTTTCCCTTGTTAATGTGCCTTTTATTCTGAAACCATATATCTACAGCTCGTGGAGACAGCGATATCAAAATACCAATATCAATCTTATTTTCCCACGTCGGATATGGCGTAATTTGGTATATCTTCCTAAGGACTTCCTTCTGGAATTTACTTTTCCTGACCTTTTCGCCCGGTCTTTTTAGACATCTCTCAGGATGAAACAGTAAAATCATTCCAAGGACAGCCTGAGCCTCCATCTCTCTTCGATCAAGCACCTTGATGGTGAAAAATTTTGGATCTTTTTCTTTGAGAAATCATCTGTTCAGTTCTCAGCCCCTTTGAGGACTCCAATCACCTCCTGAATACCAATGTCATTCTCATCATCATGATAGATCAAGAAGATTAGATTCTATCATGTTTCATTTAGATTCGGTATTTAAATTAAGCAATTTCTGATGTGTTTGACATCTATAGCTATGATTGGACGAAAAAGAATGATGGGTTCAATTTACTATTGATGGAAACTGTATATTACCTACGGTGTTTCTTGTTACGCCTAGTCGTTAGTAATTACCCGTTTTTGGTATCCATCATGGAGAAATACGAGCTTCAGGAAACACTTGCAAGCGGATCCACGGCAAAGATTAAGAAGGCAGTAGTTGTTGGAAACGAAAAGTGTGCAGTCAAGTTGATAAGTAAAGGGGATATGTCCTTGCAGATGTTCCTGAGAGAGGCAAAGATACATGGATCTCTGAGGCACCCAAACATAGTTGAGTTTGTTGATTCTTATGAAGATAGAGAGAGGTACTGTATTGTGATGAAGCTGGGATATGGAGAGGTAGGCAATATGATTTGGTCTGGAGTGGGGCTTGACCCGCTTCTAGCCCACTTCTATTTCAGGCAGCTAGTTTCTGCCGTGAAGTATTTACATTCAAAGGGAGTATGTCACCGAGATATAAAACCTGAGAATATGCTTATTGATGGGAATGGAAACCTTTTATTATCAGATTTTGGGTTTTCGACTTTGTTTTTTCATAAAGGGAGAAGGAGAAGGCTGCGATCATTTGTAGGAAGCCTTGAATATATGGCACCAGAGGTTTTTGAAGGTGATTATGACGGCAGCCTTGCAGATATATGGTCCTGTGGAATAAGCCTTGTTGTGTTTTTGACAGGCACACTACCCGTGGGATAAGGCAGACAAGCTAGATGAGAAGTTTTCTTCTTTCATGTCTGCGAGGGATTACAGACAAGATCCATTTAATAGGATAAGAGGGCAGACAATGAAGCTTATAATGAAAATGATGGCTAGGGAAGGTGATCGTTTGTCTGCAGCCATGATTGTGAAGGAACCATGGGTTGTGCAACCCAACAGATTTTTTGACAAGTCTGGGCTCTGTGGAGATCCTTCTGGGCTATTTGACTTGATTCCACATGAAAGCAAAGTAGCACTTCACTTCACTCAACCTGGTGAAGTACATAAAGCATCGGGAACTTACTTCATTTCTTCCCAGACTGGAGGAGTCAGGGGAGGAGATGTCCACAGACTATATACCAAGAAAGGAGATGGCAAGTCTATTGTAAAGGAGGTGTGTGAAGCCCTTGGTGTAATGGTGGTTCCCTACAAAGATGTTGGAGAGTCCGTAGCGTTTTCTACAATTGATTCCAAAAGGTCTGTGCTTTCTGGAGAAATTGGAATCAAGAAATTAAGCGAAAACTACTGTGTAATTATCTGTAGAACAAAAGGAGATAGCCGGGAATTCGAGAAATTTGTAAAAATGCTTGTGGACCTGACTGGATATAGTAGCAAGGAGTATCTGGATATAATTATATAATATGATTTGATAAATAAACAAAACTAATTCTTTTCTCCTGGAAGATCGATATGAACAAAATGAAAAAGAATAATTGGAAGGTACTAGGCTTGGGAGCGTTGTCTGTCATGCAGGGATATCATAGGAGGCTGTCTAGAAAGATTCAAAACATCTTTTTTACGACATTGGTACTCCTTTCCTTTATTTTCCTCTATAAAAAATATTTTTTTGTTTGCAGAAGCAAGGAGGACCGGAGAATGGAGAAGATGTGCTTAGATTTCATAAACAAAAGGGTTGATAAATGTCTACAGCACAAGTCGAGATATGAGCAAAACAAGGAGTTTGCAGCAATCAAGACACACCTTCCGCTCATCCCATTGAAGATGACTCGATCTAATGCTGTTTTTCTTTATACATATAGAAAGCCATATATTGTTATCAAGAGATGTATTGCACCGGGAACGCCTGGACTTGAAGAAGACGAAATTATGAAGTCTCTTGACCATGACCATGTTGTGAAGTTTCTTAAATCATTTAGGGAGAAATATGTGAACCTTAGAGAAGAGGAAGAGACGATTATCTGGATATTTATGGAGCATATGGACAGTAAGGTGTCCCAAGATGTTGTAAAGGGGAACGAAAACAAGATAAGAGAGATAGCTAAGGGGATATTACATGGGCTTAAGTATCTTCATGGAATGGGAATAGCGCATCTTGACTTAAAGATTTCGAATGTTATGGGAAAGGAGACGAAGGATGGAATTGTATATAAGATCATTGATTTTGGATTTGCTAGGAAACTTGAGCACCCAAGTGACAATGCTGAGATCCAGATTCCTTCGAAAAGTTTTGGGACATATCCATACAAGCCGCCTGAAACGTCGCAACTGAATATGCATGGAGTGAAGGGAGACATATGGTGCTTAGGTGCTATAGTATGGTTTCTGTCTCGAAGGCAAACGCCATTCTATTTCGATGATGGGCGGAAGAATCTAGAGGAATGGAGGATGTTCATACGAGGGAGATTGCCTATTTCTTTCAAACCCAATTCATCACCTGCATTGAGAGATTTTGTGAAGAAATGCATGAACTTTGATAGATTTGCAAGGCCTAATGCCTCCGATCTTCTTGAACATCCTTTTATTACAGGAATGCCAATGAAGATGGCTTCCGAAGACCTAAATGAGATGAGTGAAGAGTTTTCGTCCAGCTCAGAATACGGTAGTATGGAGTCCGAGGATTAAAGTATTTTGTTTTTAGTTGAAGAGTTAGGCTGTGCAATTCCTGCTTGTACATAGTTTTTGATAGGGGTCCCTTATGGAGGAATCTGAGGAGCTGAGGTACTTAATGAGGCTTGTTCCTGAATACATGAGAATCGGGGGAGAAGGATACATTCTGCATAGGATGAATAGGGCTGTGAATGAGGACAGTTGGGGTAAAGCGATGTTCTGTGGAAGATGTCTTCATCTCTATATTCCTGTGGTGAATAGTAGGATAAGATATGATGGAGTGTTGACTATTGAATGCCTTGGATGTGGTGGGAAGTATGTGTTCAACAGGACGTCCGGTGAGTTTTGGAAGGATTCTTATGAAGACAAGGAGGCGAAGACACTTGAATACTATTTTAGATAGTCTCCCAGGGGAATCGAGGCTTTGTTACGCAAAAAAATTTGCCCTTCAAGAATGACTGAGCAGATAGAAACTGAATCTATGGAGCTGTCGGCTGTTGCTCATATCAAGGCAACCAAGAACGATACATTTGTTCATATCACGGATATGACTGGATCTGAAACGATTGCAAAGATAACTGGTGGGATGAGGGTCAAGGCACAGCGGGATGAGGGATCACCGTATGCAGCCATGCTTGCAGCACAGGATGTTGCAGAAAAGATACTTGGGCGTGGGGTCAAGATACTTCATTTCAAGCTTCGGGGGGCTGGAGGAGTTAAGCCTATGGCTCTTGGGCCTGGTGCACAAACAGCCATCAGGACCTTGATACGTGCCGGCCTTAAGGTTGGACGAATTGAAGATGTTACACCGGTTGCAAGAGACCGTGTCAGGAAGCGTGGAGGGCACAGAGGAAGAAGAGTTTGAATAAAGCTGCCTTTATTTACGGATTTTATTTGACAGTCTTATGGCACAAGACGTGTCAACACAGTTTGATGGGGCCTATTTGTTTCTTACACGGTCAGCCCTTAGATGAGGCTGCCGGATCTCTCTAGATTCAGAGAAAAATGTTGCTATTGCTACAGGGATGTTGCTGAGGGGATATCTGTGTGTGGGTGTGGGCTTTCATTTTGTAGAAAGCATATAGATATTCATCTTGGGAAAGCCGAGTGCCACATTGTATTTGAGATTAAAGAGATTGGAGAGGACCTGGGGATTGAAATCAAAAACACAATGCTCAAGCAAGAAGAGATTGAGGAGCTAAGGATAAGAATGGAAGCATTGGTCAGGCCTGGAAACGAAGATGAAAGGATTATTTCCAAGGATGAAGAGATAGGTTGTGTGCATGGATGCCCTGAAGGCCCGTGCTCTATGGAGTTAGGAGATCTTGAGAAGCTGAGCTGCAAGTTATGTGATATAAGAACAAGGTTATGGATCTGCTTCAGCTGTGGGTATGTTGGATGTGGAAGAGTACAGTATGGAACGGAGGGAAATGGGCATGCAAAGCTACACTATGAACAAACTCAACACAATGTTTTTGTTTTGATTCCAAGCCTTCTCAGAGAGAGCTGTGATGTGTTTTGCTATCTTTGCGACTCGAGCATAAGGTCTTACTATGATTTTCCAGAAAATAAAATTACGATTAGGTTTGAAGGGGATGACAAAGGGGAGAGAAAGAATGTAGAGAAGACAATAAGTTACGGTGGTGTGATCCCGTCTGTTGATAAGAAAGAAGCAGTTGGGAGCAAGGAGAAAGAAACCATCCCTAGTCCATACGTGGGGATTATCAATTCTGGAAACACTTGTTATATTTCTTCTGTTCTTCAAATGATAGGGTATGTTGTTTCCAAGGAAGAGTTTGATATGGACCAGCACTTCGAGATTTGTTGTGTGAAGAATCCTCTAGAATGTTTTTTCTGCCAGTTGATGAGAGTGTTTAACAAAATGAAGGAGGCTAGGGATAGGATCGAGATTAATAGGATATCGATATTGGACCTTATCATGCTTATATGGAGAGATATGCCTATGTTTTCCAAGTTCGTGCAACAGGATGCCCACGAGTTTTTATTGTTTTTGCTTGAAAAGATCAAAGAGGGGGAGAGCTCGTATTTGATTCCTCATATAACATCATGCTTTGAATTTGAAGTCGGAAGAGAGATATTCTGCTCCGGGTGTTCGGATAAGTCTGTTGGCTACGAGTCGATGATGATGATGTGTACCTGCCTGAAAGGAGATATAAGAAAGTCTGTGGAGATGTTTTTTTCTTCAGATGAATGGGATTGTAAATGTGGAGGAAAGAAAAGTGTGAGGCGGTTTGTCACGATGCCACCTAAGTATCTGATAATTCAGGTTGGAAGATACTCTTACAACAATTACAAGGTGGAGAAGATTAAGAGTAAGATTGGAATGAAAAGTGTTAAGTTGGAAAGTTTTATAAGAAAGAATGACGTAGAGAAGGCTCTTGTAAAGAAGCTTGTGGATGATGGGTATGCGGAGGAAGATGCAGAAAAGACTCTAAGCATCTTCTGCAATGATGAAAGTAAGGCTCGCGACTTCCTGAAAAACCGTCTCACAATGCATCATAGATCAGACCTAAAATACAGGGTTGTAGGGTGCATCAATCATTCTGGAGATAACATCAAAGCAGGGCATTACACATGGTGGGTATACGATGACGAAAAGTGTTATAAGATAGATGATACAAATGTTCTCAGCAGCAACGTTGAGGTATTAGAAGATGGCTATATATTCTTGTTTAGATAAGATCAGGCGTAGAAGACCTGAGATAATAAATCCACCTTCCTTTCTAATTCTTTTCTTTCAAATGCTGTTAAAATAGAATCCACTTAGAGCCCCTTTAAGTGGTTTTGATCTTCTCTCTCCAAGGATCTTCTTGACTGTGCTCCATGAATACCTGACTCCAGGTGGAAACCCAAAGACTGCATTCGTATTCCTTTTGAGCCATCTGATTGTGCTAGGGTCGCTCGGATATCCAGATCCAAGGTCATTCCCAAATTCAGATATCATCAGGTCTCTCTGAACTTTGGCAACTATACTCGCCCCAGAAACTATCTGAAACCTTGAGTCTGCCCTCTTCTCTACCACAAACATATATGGATACTTTTTCTTCAGTCTGGCTTTGTACTTTTCACAATTCCCAAGCGCATCTACATAAACACCCTCCACATTCTCGCATTTGGCTTTTATTTCATCGAGGATCCGAAAGACAGAGTTAACAGATATCTCGTCCAGGGAGGTCGACCCTAACTGCATCATTTCCGTAATATAGTCTGGATGGGTGCAATGGTAAACATATCCAAGTCCTTTTTCTTTTATTGTTTGAAAGAAAGTATGCCTTTGTGCGTGTGTTAAGACCTTCGAGTCCTTGAATCCTGTGGATTTCAAGGCACTTTTTGGAGCCACTAACGCTCCATACACCATGTATCCAACCACAGGGCCCCTACCTGCTTCGTCGATCCCAACCACAACCTCCTCTGAGATCTTCTTAAGGCTTGAAAAGAAGACATTCTTGTTTTCCATTCCTAAGGATTATGTAAATAAAAGAAATAGTTGCAAACCATTTATTTATTCAACTGACCTACAAATGTTGGAGTACTTGAGCCAATAAGGATCTTTCACCCTGTCAAGAAAATGGTCGAATTCCTCTAATACCTCATCGATTTTTGCAAACTTGATCTTATCTTTCAGGAACCCAACAACTCCAACTCCACACCTCCGAAGGCATAGGTCAACAGCTTCAATTCCTAAGATCGTTGCATTTATTCTATCTATTGGCGAAGGATTTAATCCTTGCTGTAAATCCCCAAGGATACAGTAGTTTGTTTCAAATAGGTCTTGGCTATCAGTTTTCAGGATCTCACAGAAGCTCTCTGTGGGAATCGAACGGAATGTTTTCTCGTTCCTGAATATCACAATTCCTCTTCTCACTTTCTCCCTGAACTTCACACGAAGCCTCTGTGCCGCTTCGGAAAGGTGCCCTATAAGGTACTTTCTTTCTGGAATGAAAACCTCAAAAGCCCCTGCAGCTATTCCTCCCATTAGGGATAAGTACCCACAGTTCTTCCCGCCAACCTCTATAACAAAGGCATTGTTCTTATATGCAAACGAGTTTAGCTTTGACACATCGGAAATCTTTAGAATTGTGTTGAGGGCTGTATCTGCACCAATACTTATGTCAATCCCAGGTATATTGTTATAGGACGATGCAGGTATGAGAACAATGTCGATGTTCTTGAGCCCCTTAATAATGTTCAAAGCCTTACTCCCTCCTATGACTATCAACGAGTCTAACTTATATTCTTCCACCTTCTTCTGGACTAACCCGATGTCTACTTCCTCACTATCTCCTATTCCTATTGCAGATCCTCCATTATTTACATCTCCAAAGAACTCATAAGGTCGTGGCTTCACAAGCCTGCCTCCTATAAGCCCTTCAAACCCGTTAGGTATATAGTATGGCTCTGCTCCAACCATTAACGAATACTGGGTTGCGGCATTCAATGCTGTATTCATTCCACTGGACCTACGCTCAAATTGCAATATCCCTATCCGAGCCTTTTGATTCTTATGGCTCTCCCCAGGATTTAAATTATAGCTCCGACTTCCGTTCATGTCTTCCATCCCAGTCACTAGAGACTTCTTGAAATATGAATATGCAAGCCTAAAGAAGTCACTTCTGCTTCTCAGGATCTCATCAAATCTTTTTCTTTCCTGAAGGCTTCTGACTAGATCGTTCCTCTCTATAACCTCTTTTAATTCAACCTCGGAAATCTCATCTCGGAATATACTAATCATGATAGGTTCCTTCATGGGCCCTAGTAGGATTTCAACAGCCTTGACCCCAAGAAGAGTCCCATATATCCTGTCCTGGGCAGAAGTCGGCCCTCCTCTCTGAATATGTCCTAACTTGAGTAGCCGGACCTCTATCCCAGACTTGGAAATCTCTTCCACAACCTGAGAGGCAGTTATAGCCGTTCCATCCTCTTCAATAGCACCCTCTGCAACTATAACAAATGTTCCCGACTTTCCATACCTTTTTGCAGTCATGAGAGCCTCTATCATCTCCTTTCTCCATTCAGTAGGTGTCTCAGGAAGCAGGGCATAGTCTGCAGCGCTTGCTAAAGCAGACATAAGAGCTATCCACCCGCATTTCCTTCCCATAACCTCAATAACAAATGTACGGGTATGCGACTTCATGGTAGATATTAAGTGGTCTATTCCCTCAATAACCCTATGGACTGCAGTATCTTCTCCTAAAGAAATGGATGCTCCACAGATGTCATTGTCTATCGTCGCAGGAATCCCTATAATCTTTAAATCGTAAACATAACTTTCTATGTCGTTTAGATCTATACTTTCACCAGAACACTCGTCATTGTCTTGAAAGTCTTCAATGCCGTCTGATGAGTTAAGCTCGTGGTAGACCGTGGGCACCTCCTTGTAACACTCAGGCTTTCCATAAAAATCAGAGTATCCAACCACACTTGTGTCCGTAGTTGCCTGGATCTTTTCTTCATCTTGAGGTCCTGTTTTGTCCATCTTTATCTTCCGAAGAACTTTCATAGAAATCCTTCCTTCCCGTATAAGGTCTCTTAGATGTTCCTTGAATTCATCTCTAAGAGTCATAGCCCCCTTCATAGATCCATCCCCCCCTAGGACTATCATGCAGTTAATCCTCTTCTGTACCATATTCAGCACAGCCTGCTTCCTTCCATTTCGCTCCATGAACTTTTGCGATCTTGCAGATAAAAGAACCGTTCCTCCCTGGCTGCTACAGTGGGTCTCAGTGTCCCAGCTTAGTCTACGTATGTTGTCATTGATAAGCCCGTCATATCCGTTATACACTCCATACACAGATGCTCCCCACTTTATCCCAGTCCTGATTATACTCTTGATTGCAGAATTCATTCCGGGTGCATCTCCTCCGCTTGTCACAATTGCAATTCTGTTCATCCGGCCTTGTCCAGAAAACGTAACCACAATTCTGTTCCCCATCATGTCCATCATCTCAAGCGGTACCCCACGGCCGTTCTCGTTAACAAGCCCACGAGTCATCAAATGACGCAGTGCTTTATACGAGGCATGCACGTGTATCCCAGAGCTTATGGATGTTATCTTGGCCTTCCTAGTGCTATATATCTTTAGTGTCCCTCGGTCGTATATCACATCCAACCCGAGTATCTCGTATATTTCTCCATGCTTCTGAGATATCCCATCCCCAGATAACAGTAGCTCCTCAATGACAGCCTCCATACCTCTTATTCCGGTGATCGCATTTATCTATGGCATAACCAATCAATTTCTTACTCTTATTTACGAACCAATTACAGAAACCATCCCTAATTTGTATAAAAATAGAAAGATTTAATATCCACAAGCAATTTAAGCATAATTGTCTAAATTTAGCAATCTAGGTGAAATAAGAAAAATGAGGAAGGGGATCGAGTATGCTGTACCAGGAAAAAAAGGAAGACAAGGCAACCAGAAGCCTAATAGAAGACGCTTCTTTGTTTTTGTGGTTCGTGAATGCAGTGAATTCTGGGGGGTATTGTAAGGTAGTTAAGAGTGAAGAGGACATATCCCTTACTCCAAAGAAAAAGTTCCACCAGAAGATAAAGTTCAAGGCATATAGCATGAGTGCTGACAATATCATGTATGAGAAGAGGGACGAGATAGCTTTTGAAGAAGATAGAAATGGATTTATATGTGCACATTGTGATGCAAGATATGTATACAAAAGGTGCCTAGTAAACCACCTCATAAAGTCTCATCATATAAATTCAAACACATTCCATTGAACCAGCCTAAGAGCTATTCAAAAAAGAGCTGAAGGGACCCACACCTGCTGAATTCCAAGTCATATCGGTAGAACGGTTACTTCATTAAAACATTTGCCTAGTTTATTTATGATGGGAGTAAAGGTTCAGTGATTTCAAATGTGAATCTTCTTCTCAAAAAGAATCTTTCATCATTCCTTAGGATCCTAACCCAGATCTTCTGGAACATCTCAAAGCTTTCTTCCGAGACTATAACCTCCTCGAGATTATATTCTGGAACATACACAACCACTCCATTTGATTTGATACTTGTGACAAACCCCTCGGTAACGGGTTCTTTATCCCTAAGTATTGCATAAATGATTACTTTGTCACACTCCCAGGATGCTTTCTTAGCAGATCTGTACCGGGAGTTCATGTTTCTACATATGCTCTCATCAGCAAAGGCTTGATTTGGAGCCTCTTCATTAAAGTTCTTTCTTGGCTTAAAGGTCACAGCCCCTAACTTTCTTATTTCCATCTCCTCAGGCTTTGCCGTCTGAAGAATACTGCCTAGAATCCTATGAACTACAATGTCGGCATATCTTCTTATGGGGGAGGTGAAATGGGTATACATAGGTGTCGCAAGCCCGTAATGATAGAAGTTGGAGGCCTCCCCTGATATAACATACACTGCTTGGTTCATGGACTTAACCAGCATCCTTTTCATAAGGTCCTTCTTGATTCCATCCATCCTACCCAAAACCTCTCCAAGGCCCTTGGATGTGGATGTGCCAATATCAACAGGCATGTCCAGTACCGATGGAGGAGGGTGCTTCCTAAGTAATGAAGAATCCGGATGATGATGATAAATGAACAAAGCGACAGAGATATTTGCAAGGATCATAAACTCTTCAACAAGAAAGTTGGTTGGGAAGTATTCCTTCACTTCAAACCCTCCTTCCCGGAACATAACCTGCTTCGTGCTTAGATCTAATGAGCCTTTGCTAAGCCTACCATTCCGTAGAATCCTACTTATCTCCAGGAGCCCCACCAAGGAATCAGATGTTCCATCTCCATTGTCTGTAGCCCCCTTAATGACATCATATGCTTCTTTATAGCTGAATGCCTTCCGGGACCTTATCAGTGATCTGCAGAAGTGTGTTCTTAAAATCTTTGCATCCTTAGACATCTCCCAAACAACAGAAAAGGCTGGTCTATCCTTTCCGGCAACCAAGCTACATATATCCGTGCTTAGATTAGGGGGTAGCATATCAATGCGCCATTCAGGCAAATAAACGGTTGTCCCTCTATCGGCTGCTATCTTATCTACCTTGGAGTCTTTGTGGACATAATATGCAACATCTGCAATGTGGACCCCTACCTCCAAATTCCCGTTCGGTAGAACTCGCCAATGAAGTGCATCATCGATGTCTTCACACCCTGGAGGGTCAATGCTCATAATAACTAGTTCTCGGAAGTCCTCTCTGGTCCCCTCTTCGACCTCCTGATATATTCTGTTCATATTATCCCACTCCTTATCCATCCAAGAAGTTCCAAGCATATCATCCCAGCTTTTGTCATAATAAGTTATTCCATTTGCAACAAGTATTGCTTCCATCTCCGCCTTTTTGTCCCCAATATTCCCTAGTCTTTTATAGTAATGCCCTATCGGATAGTTACTTGTCCTTTCCCATCCATCAATCTCAACACAGAGCCTCTTGTTTACCAGCTCTTCAACTTGGCTTGTTCTTATCCTAACAGCTGGTATCCTTTTGTCAATAGGAATAACCAGCACATTCTGAACTCCATTTCCTTGAATCGTTCTTTTGGATATGGTTCCCACAACCTCTCTGCATTTCCTTCTGTAGATCCCAACAACCTTTCCAAAAAGGTCTTTTCCTTCCTTCCTCTTTCCAGTTCCTCTAGACCCCTCCTCATTGTCCACTAGTATTCCATCTTCATCACACTCATCCACAACTTCGACATAAACCTCATCTCCACTTATAGCCCTGTTCATATTCTTCTTTCCAACAACAAGAATCTTAACATCTCCATCTATCACAAATCCGCTATAGCAATTGTACATGCTGACTTCAAGTGTTCCTTTGTACAGTCCCTTCCTTCCATATTGGATGTCCAGATTCTCTTTGTACTCCTCATATTCAGTTGCATCTTTCTCATCAACACTGTCCAGAAGGTCTTTGATGTCATCAGAGACATACTTTCCATACTCCAAGATGCTTTTCATGTCCAGGATCATAAAGTTGTGTTGAGGTAAGTGGTTCCTGTAGAACTCCAGGACCCCCTCAAGCCCCTTTCCATAGGTCAATTCGCAAAAATTGTCACAAAACACTGCATATCCTTTCTCTCTTGCAACATCTCTTATGCCTCTTTCGTCATTCCGAGAGAGCTCCTCAAGGGCAGACTGGCATATTACTGCTGCAACATAATCACTTTTGAGAAGTGCTCTGTATTTGACCATGACATTTGCATCAGGAATCACAAAGATGGAAGTCCTCTTGTTCTCCCTACATACTCCTCCACAGCATTCAAATCCACAAGGCACATCACTTCTGACATAGTGCTCCCGAACCTTTTTGACAAGCTTCAGTCTCTTGGATATCCTTCTTTCAGCTACAACTCCTTGCCACATTAAAGGGATTCGCCTAGGCTACAAAAAACTTCCAGTCCAGAAATAATTGTCGATAAGATAAAACAAGGAATCATTTATTATCCACCAATGGCCATCCCAATATTCATCCCAGTCTTCTCCTTGACTATCCTTTCTTCATCAGCAAGGAAGGCGCCAATTATCTTCTCCCTGACACACCTGCCACAGTGTGTCGCTCCATAGGCTCTGTTGACACGTCTTGCAGAAACCTTCTGACGTGAAAACTCTGCAGGTCTCATCCGAGCTATGCTTCCTAGGACAGCATTGCATTCATGGCATCTGTGCTTCTTGGAATACTTCTTGGTACGGCGGTTGACGAGCTTCCCAGACGGCGTCCTAACCCTTACCCTCCTGTTACTGCGAGTCTTGTATGTTGATCCCTTATGGATAAGAACGTTCTTCATCTCTTTGCAAGGGGGAAATTTTTTGTTCTCTTCTATTTCGTACAATGCATGCTGGATGGGGAGGTCATAACCCTAGCAGTTTGAGCTTTTCGTAGGATTCGTCGTCTCGGTACAAACCCACAATGTTGACATACTTCATGTTGAATATAGACGAAAGCTCCTTTTCTGCGCCGATGGGAAGAGCATACAAGTCTATCCCAAAATGCTTGCAAAACAGTGGAAGATGCAAAAACAAGACATCGTCCTTTGGAGTTATGAGGACAGCACCTATGTCTCTATTCCCATCTTCGTAGTGCTCCATTAGTTGGTTGTATGTGACCAGAGCTCTTCTGGAGCCTTTAAGAATCTTGTAGATGGCTGCAGGATTGTTAACAGCCTTAACGGTGTGGATATCTGAATGAAATACTTTCTTCATATCGGAGGCTCGGGTTTCAAGTATTAAGATATAACTGGATTCCAACGACCCCAAAAATTTTATGAAAAAAACGGTGGAGAAAGTGAACAAAAACAGCTCTGAGTCTGAATCTGGATCTGGTTTGTCTGAGACCGAAGAGTCTTCAAGCAATGGGGTAGGGCAGGCAAACTGCTCGGAGTCAGGCAGTGAATATGAGTCTGAGATTGAGGAGGAGACATCTAGTGGAACTGAGGAAGGAACAAAGAAAGAAAATCCATCCTTGACTGTGTTCATAAAGGGTATAAGCTACGATCTGACTGAGTATGATCTGAAGAGTGAGATGGAGAAGATAGGGAAAGTGGCCCGAGTTGGAATTCCGATGACCAACGATTACAAACGTAACAAGGGGTTTGGATATGTCGAGTTCTGCAAGGAAGAGGATGTGAAGAAGGCACTGAAGCTTGACGGAACTGTTTTTCTTGGGAGAGAGGTGGTTGTGAACATGGCGCATCCACGAGAAAACAAGCAGAGGCACACGATATACATTTCAAACATCCCGTTTGGGTGTGACAAGAGGAAGTTGAAGAAGTATTTTGAAGAGATGGGAGAAGTTGTTGGGGTGTCCTTTCCTTACGACAAGGAGAATGATAGGCTGAAGGGGTATGGTTTTATTGACTTTGGAAACAAGGAGGATTACGAGAAGGTTCTCAAGAAGAAGCTAGTTTTTGAGGACAGCTCCATATACCAGAGGCCTGCTTATAAGAACAAGGAGGATAGAAAGGACTTCAATGGAAAGGGGCCTAGAAGAAACGATTCTCGATGGAATGGGAAGAAATATGGGGGTGAAAGTCAGAACAGAAACAACAACAAAAAAGTTAAGTTTAACTCGGACAGTGAGGAATAAAGAATTTCTTTATTATTTTTTGCTTTTCATTAGAACAAGCAATCATCTTCGACCCTTATTTGATGGGGGAGGGCCATTCTAGCAGGACATTGTACATAAGGAATTTGAACAGAAAGCTTCCAATAAGAGAAGTGAAGAGAAGGCTGGCCCTGCTTGTCACAAGATTCTCAAAGATACTGAAGATAAAGATGAGCAATAAGCCCAGGCTTTTAGGGCAAGCATTTGTTTATCTGGATGGAGAAGTAACCAATGAGATTCTGAGCAATCTGAATGGAAGGTTTTTCCTTGGGAATGTGATTTCTGTATGTCCTGCACATTCAGATATGTGCATTGGGAAAAGAAGAGCTTTTGTGCCCACTAAGACCCTATTGGTTACAGACATACCTTCTCTTGTGACCAGAGACGATATTGAGGATATCTTCAAAAGCTTTGAAGGCTTGGAAAACATAAGATTCATCAAGGTAAAGAGCCTTGCTTTTGTAGACTTTTTATCTTCCCAGAAGGCATCTATTGCCTACTCACACTTTGCGGATGGGCAGATAAGACACATACATGGAGACATGAAAGTAATGCCCTCTGCATAGACTCCTAAGCTAGAAGCATAGGTATCCCACATTAAAAGGTTATCGCAAAAACTTTCCCTGCCTTCTCCTCTTGGTGCCGTCCCTCTGGTGTCTATCTTCAAGATACATCTTGTCTACCTTGACACGGCCTCCAAACACGCCTCTTCCATATTGTCTTCCGTCTACAAATCCATAGTCCTTGTCAATAGACAGAGGGCTCTGGTCAAGCCGAAATCCATTTATATACTTAACTGCCATGTCTGCAGAATGTACAGTATAGAACTCGACAAAACAGAACCCACAGAACCTCAGTGTGTTTCTATTCAGCCCCATTATAACTCTTTTTACCTCTCCACATAACAAAAATAGCTCCCATATTCGTTCCTCTCGGACACTTATGGGGATATTAGATATAAAAACGGTTGATGAGTTCTTCTTGGCCTCAACATATTCTTCATCTGTCCCCACAAATGTCTTTTCTCTATAAAAGTATCCTTCCCGCTCCCCTGCGAAATACTGTTCCAGAGTCGTCATGGGCTGCAGAACTTGCAAGGATTTGTTCCAAAGGCCGGGTAAGAATGTCTAAACAAAATAGATTTATAAGCTGTACAAAGTTCACGGTTTAGTCTGGAATCGTCTCCTAGGGGTTAGAATCTTCCGTGGTCTATCAGGAACAAACTAACAAAGAACATGTAGAACGACCTGCAGAAATGGTCCATGCTCTTGAAATGATTCTGATGTGTTAAGGAAAGTCTTCTGCTAAGGAGCTCAAGAACAAACACACATCCTAGAACAAGGACAATTCCTCCATTCCCTGTGTATAAAAGCAGGAAGAAGATCAAGAACTTAGCGAGGTCCTCTCTAGAAATCCTAATACTTCCTAGTAAGTCCATAATACTCTTCAGAGTCAGTATCCTTTTCCTTTCCTTAACAAGATAAACTTCCCCATTGAACATTACAAGATCTTCCGGATCAACCATTATCTTTGCTCCTGTTTCCTTAACAGATACAGCTATCTTGATCGATATATCGTTAGTCTCTATCTCTTCACATAAAACATCTCCACCACCCTTGTATCTTTCACCTACCTTCTGTGGAGGAACATCGTACACCAGCTGAAGGCTTCCCTTGCCTAATGTGTGGAGTTGAACGGCATCGCTCACGATCTTTCCATTGAGAATTATCTTTATCCCCTTTTCAGTGGACTCTATACTGTATTCCTCTATCTGGCTCTTCAAGTACTCCTTGACATGGAGTATTGTGTGGTCAGACTCAAACTCCTTTGTGTATGTATACTCACCATTTCTTGACCTAAGAGTAACTATTGTCATCCTTTCCCTTCCCATTAGGGTTGTTTATATTTCTTTTGTGATCAATCAGATGACTCGGCTGAAAAGGGGAGCAGCAATGAATAGGAATACAGCCTTGTGTCCCTGGATGTATGGCAGAAGAGCGGAGCCGGCCATATGGATGTATATGGTGATGAGGCTTTTGAAGGTGTAGATTTCTGAATAAAAATCGGAATCCCTAGGGATGAAAGTTGACTTGGATCGTCTAAATGAACTATGCAAAGTGAGATTTGAAAGGGAGTACACGACATACGGAGAATACTTTGGATCAATCATGCACCTTACTAAGGAGGAAGGGCTTAGAGAGATGTTTTTCAAGTACATAAAGGGTACGCTTTCTGAGGAGGAGGTTCTGAGTCGTATGGGCCAGAGCAGCCCAAATGATTTGAAGCATTTCAGCAAGATCTATGAATATGAGAAAGGCTTTTGCAAAAAGAAAGCAGCATTGGTGTTGAAAAGAAGATACATGGAGGAGAGCGATTATGATAGAGATGCGGTTTTCCAGTGCATAAGAAGGCTATCTAACTGGCTTGACTTTGGGTTTGTGAAGGATATATGTAATGATGAATACCTGGGATTGATCATCGGAGAGTATGCACGGAAGCATGAACTTGACGAGTCCTTCCTAGATGAGATTGCGAACTTTCTACCATCTGTGTTTTTTGGATACACACGACTGAACAACCTTCTGCTTGATTCCTTTGAGAAGTCATTTGAGAGAGTGATAGGGAGGAATCTGGAGATTCTTCATGTTGTTGACTACCTAGACAGAAGGGTTGTTGAGGCTATTTCCAGGAGTAGATTGAAGAAGGATATCTTTGAATATCTGGTTTCCAATGAGTTGATTGAAGAAGATGTGCTATTAATGATGATAGGTGCTGTTGGAAGCATTGATACGGAGGTGTTCTTGAGTGATGGGGTCATTGGAAAGCTTTGCTCGGAAAGCATTGTGAAATATCTTGATTCTGTTGGAGTAGAGAAAGTTGTTGAGATTGCAATAGCAGGATGTAGATGTAAAAAGCTATATGGGGCCCTTCCATCAGTCCTAGAGAAGAGAATCGAAGGGTTTATGAAGGAACCAAGGATTGTTGATGTCTTGCTTGTCATGGTTTACTATGACTCTGGAATAAGGTTTGGAAGCTTTCTCTCGATTCTAAAGCCGTCTCTAGAAAGAGAATTTCTAGTTAGTAGGGAAGAAGAAAAAAGAAAAGTTGTTGTTGATGTTAACAAGGACACCGGGGAGATCAGAGAGATTGGGGTTGATGTGGAGACCACGGGGGTTTTTTCCAGTGAGGGAGGAGAGTTTAGATTTGTTGGAAAAGGAAAGGCTGAGGAGAAGGATGTTGCAGAATATTTAAGAGAGATATGCACGGATTCTGGGGATTTTCTTACAAATGTTAGAAGGAAGTTAGGATTTGCATGTTTTCTTGAGGGACCTACAAAGCCCACCTTTGATCAGTTGGTGATGCTTCCAGGGTACTACTTTGCGGAGTCACTCAAACGGTATTGTAATGAGTTTCTAGGTTTGCTGTACCAGTTCAATGAAATAGTGGTTCCAAGAAGCCGAAGAAGAGACCTTATAGCAAGAACCATTGTAGCTAATGGATATAAGGAGCTCTTTGTTAGATATCTCGTAAAAAGAGATAGATACTTTAGAATTGAGATTGACCTTGATGTATGGCTTGAGAAGATGACAAGCGAGTACAAGGCCAAGTATTTTCAAGACTATCCGATGGCGATAATAGGAAGAGAAGAAAAGGTAGTTGAGTCTCTGAAAGATGATATTCAGATGTTACTTCCTATTGTTGTAAAGCTGGAGAGCAAAAAAGTGCCAAGAGAAGTAATCGATAAGATTAGAAAGCATATCTCTATGAAGGAAGGTTTTTACAGGAAAGAAGGTGAAGTCAAACGCCATGGTCAAGGCCGAGATGATGCAATAAAAAAAGAAGAGACTAATAAATGGAATGAATCCATGAGAATAGATACCACTAAGAAAGGACCAGGTGAATGGAAACCTCCCGAAAAAAGGGTCAAGACGGAAAGCTGTCCTAGCGAGGACAATATTTATGATGATTGGTATCCTATTGAGAAGGTTGACCATGTTTCTTTCAGGAAGAGGGTAGGGTTTATATGCAATGAGATAAACAAAAGGATTTCAGGCGGGAATGGGCTTCATAGAGCAGGCCTGGTTACTTCTATGGTGGTAAGAGATGTGGAGATGGCCAGGAAGGTTCTATCTGTTTTGCAAGGGGTAAATAGGTTTGGAAAGGAGTTTGTCAATTTCATTGAGTTTTTCACATTTTTTCTTTCATACTGCAAGATGGAAGTGAGCATAGATGCAACAACCCTTAAGACTCTGAGGAGATATATCTCTGAAGAGGACAATGATTCTGTTCTGTATTTTGTGTTTGTGAAGGTCAAGTTGGAGGAGATGGAGACGTTATTTTCTTCATTCAAGGAAAAGAGCTTTGATGTTGTCTACAAGGCTTTGGTGGACAGAATCCGAGGAGTCAAGGAAGGAACGACAAAAAACACAAGGAATGGATGCACAGCCATTAAAGTTGGGATACCACAACCCGTGATAAAAAGAAAGAAAGGCAAGGGGACCGAGATCAATACTGTCGAAATCTGGAATAGTGGAGACCAAGAGGAAAGGATCAGAAATGTCATTGGACTGTTTCTATCCTCTGATGACGAGTGTATGCATTACATTGGATTGGAGGGCTTGAATGTGTTAGACTTAGAGGTGAGTGTAGAAAGATTCCTTGACTCGAGAAGTGACAGAGTTGTTGAGGCAGCATTGAAGGTTGTTATAAAGAGGCCTATTACCCCGGCTATCAATTCAAAATTTATGGAGATATTGTATAGAAGAGGGAGGCTGGATAATCTTGGAAAGATGTGCCTTAGGGCCGTAAACATAGATATTCTAGAAAAGGAGGATGTGGACAGGATCTATGAGATGTTCTTTATTGACCCAGGAAGCTATTTGGAGGTTCTCCCGAGAATAATAGAGAGGGGGTATGAACCGACAGAAGAGATAATAATGGAACTCATAGGATTGGTGGGGCAATCTCAATGTGATGATACGATAGGGAATGCTATGAAAGTCCTGAAGAGTACTGAGTACACAGAGGAAATGGTCTTTAAAAGCATCCTAGTTCTTGAGAATGCCAAATTTGCCCCAAAGATGTTCCTGATAGAAAAAATATGTAGGTCTTCATGCAATCTTAACACCCGAAGCTTTCTCAAGTTGTGTGTGTGCATAGGCAATGAGGAGAACTATGACGCTCTTAAAGGATTGCTAGAAATACTGAGAAAAAAGGGAATCAATGCCGATATTGTTGAGAAATGGAAGGAGAGCAAGTCACTAAATAGATTGATGGTTCGGATCTATCCTCTATCCATGAAGGATAAACCATATTACAAAAGGATTCTGGATGAAGCCAAGAAGGATGCATACGAATGGAATTTTATCAATGAATTCTATAGAAATGAACTTAAGGTTGCACAGTTTATCTATGCTCAACCTTAGCCATCTCAGAGGACACATCTCTTTTTGTGGCTGTGCAACGATGTATTGTGAGCATACTCCTTGCCACACAGGCATTTGAAAGGCTTTACCAAAAAATGAACAGATCTTATGTGAGTCAAAAGATTTCCCTTCCTACTAAACTCAAACTTACAATACTCGCATACATGCCTGAGCTTTCTTACATTAAAGATTTTAACATGATGGCTTTCTACGTGTGCATCAAACCAGGACTTCTTCTTATACTTCTTTCCACATGTATCACACTTGTATTCCAAACATGTCTTTTGGTGTTTGCTTAGCTTGTCCCTTGTATGGCACATACGCCCACACCTTGGGCATTCAAATTCAGGAGGAAAGTGTGTCTTCTTATGCACAGAGAGATGTGAATTCTTCATGTAAGACTTCTCACACATATCGCATTTATAAGGCCTGTTCTTTGTATGGGTGTTAAGATGGTCGTTGAGCTTTGATCTTCTGGGAAACGACTTTTCACAGCCTTCAAAGTGACACTGGAAGGTCATGGACCAAGGGCAGTTAGAACAGAAAAATTTAATGATGGTCATCCCCCGTGGATTGTAGAGATAAGGACGGCATGGTCGCCATACTTCACCGGGCTTTTTTCTTTTCCCGTGATCTCCCAATCCATCTTGTTGATGATGCATATGGTTCCATACACAAGCTCTCCATGAGAATCGAAGTAGCTGTCTCTAACTTCCATGTGCCTATCAAACAAGTACTTTAATGCCTCCTCGGCTGTGGTTATGGGCAATCCTTCCATTTCTTCCTTAGTTAGCTCTATTTCTTTGTTGTTCAACTCCACATTGCTGGCTCCATTGAATTTGAATATCATTTCTTGGGTTGCAAGGACTGAGTGTTTTCATTCCTTAGGGGCTAAAACAGGCTCTATAGGCCTCGTCAACCCCAGAGTCAAGGGCTTGGGCCCCTAGGATATCTTCTGACAATGAAGACGACACGAGAACTGGTGCAAACATGCGATGGATGCCTTCCAAAAAAGGGCGGACATCCTTCCTAGTGTGTATGAATAAAAGTTTGTACCCAGAGGGCATTATGTACGCACTGATTCTCATCTCGCCGTGTTTTTCCAGGCAATCAAAATAATTGGAACTTGTGGATGCCATCTTCCAGATCAGTATGTCAATGGACCCATAGATAAGGATGATGAGCCTGCAGTATTCCTCGTTGCTTGCTCTACTGTACATTCTTTGATAAACGATATCATTCTTCTCTGAGATTATGACCAAGAGTTCTCCCATGGGCTTGGGTTCTGTTTAGTTTCTTGAGAAGCATCACCTTGGTTTGTTATGAGGAAGAGGATGACTGAGAAAGGAGGCCTGAACATCTAAAAGAATAGCCAATACCATTGTGTAGGATAGTAAAGGCCGGCCAGGTTTAATTTGAAGGAAAATTTTGCCCTTCAAATGAGAGAAATTATACACTTGCAGACAGGACAGTGTGGAAATCAGGTGGGATGCAAGTTTTGGGAAACGATCAGTGGGGAACATGGGATTGACCAGACAGGCAGATATGTCGGGACGTCCGACAACCAGCTTGAGAGAGTCAATATCTACTACAACGAGGCGTCCTCGAAGAAGTATGTTCCACGTGCCGTCCTGATTGATCTTGAGCCTGGGACTATGGATGCAGTCCGCCAGGGGCCTTTCGGGGATCTATTCAGGCCAGACAACTTCGTATTTGGGCAAAGCGGAGCAGGGAACAATTGGGCAAAGGGACACTACACAGAGGGAGCTGAACTCATTGATTCTGTCATGGACGTGGTTCGAAAAGAGGCGGAATCAAGTGACTGTTTGCAAGGGTTTCAGATCACACATTCTCTTGGAGGAGGAACGGGGGCTGGAATGGGAACCCTCTTGCTGTCAAAGATAAGAGAAGACTTCCCCGACAGGATGATATGTACATTTTCTGTTGTTCCATCCCCAAAGGTGAGCGATACGGTTGTAGAGCCTTATAATGCAACACTCTCGATCCATCAGTTGGTTGAGAATGCAGATGAGACGTTCTGCATTGATAACGAAGCATTGTATGACATATGCTTCAGAACCCTGAAGATGAGCAACCCTGGGTATGGAGACTTGAATCATCTTGTCTCCTTGGTAATGAGTGGGGTTACAACATGTCTAAGGTTTCCTGGGCAGTTGAATGCAGATCTTAGGAAGCTTGCTGTTAATATGATTCCGTTCCCTCGTCTGCATTTCTTTGTTGTTGGGTTTGCACCTCTGATTGCTATAGGCACACAGAAATTCAAGACCTATTCTGTCTCTGAACTCACACAACAGATGTTTGATTCGAAGAACATGATGACTGCGTGCGATCCACGGAAGGGAAGATACCTTACTGTTACAGCCATATTCAGAGGAAAGATTTCGATGAAGGATGTGGATGAGCAGATGTCAATGGTGCAATCAAAGAATAGCTCCTTGTTTGTGGAATGGATTCCAAGCAATGTGAAAACAGCGGTTTGTGACATTGCACCAACAGGTCTTGAAATGTCTGCAACGTTTGTTGGGAACACAACATCCATCCAGGAGCTCTTCAAGAGGATTTCTGATCAGTTCACAGTTATGTTTAGAAGGAAGGCCTTCTTACACTGGTACACAGGAGAAGGGATGGATGAGATGGAATTTTCTGAGGCTGAGTCAAATATGAATGATTTGCTTTCTGAATATCAGCAGTATCAGGATGCAACTGTCGAAGATACTGAGGAGTTTTTAGTTAATTAAAAGGTTAATCGTATGTTTCTCTAACAATACCTGAATAGCAGTCTTCTCACCGGAGATCATGAATGATAGGTCTAGCAAGTTGAAACAAGTTTTGGACAGACAGATTTATTGTCTGGCAAGGCGAAACACAGTGATGGCATATCTACTAGAGAAGGGAAATGGATCTCGATGTGTGCTTGAAGCCATCAAGGTCGAACCTTTCACACAGAAGCAGTTTGCAGATATGATAAAGGAGGCTCATGCAAAGTCCCAGGACTACTATCTTGCAAGGGTCCAATGCAGAAGTAATCCCGAAGACGGAAAGAATATATACTACTGTTACGATGCAAGGCAGCTTTGTAAATACATATTCGAGATGGTTATTTCCACAGAAGGTAGGAAAATAAGGATAAAGAACTTCAAGGATCCAATAAATCAAGAGCAGATCCATGAAATCAGCTTTTTCAAGCTGAGATACGATTCAGATACACCTTTAAAAGCAGAATATGTTGGAAACCAGGTGAACTTCCTTGAAAACAACTGCTTCCGTAGCAAGATATTCTATCAGGAAAACGCTTTGGATGCGCTGTCTGTGAATTTCCAATTTGGGCCTCAGAAGAAGAAAATACCAATCATCAACAGGAGGAAGTTATTCACTGTGTTCATGATGGTCATCTTAGTTTTTGTCATAGGAACACTGGTTGCCATGGTAGCAGAAAGAGAGCCTTCAAAAGCCTCTCCGCCTCTAAAGCTCTCCATAAACAAAGGAAAAAGTATTTAATAAACACCTCTTCTACAATCAAGTCTCGTACCTCCCAAAGAATGGCGCAAACTTCAACGCAGGTGGTAAAACAAAGAATCTGATGCTTGACCCTCTGATAATCGCCTCTTTCCTTGGCGAGCAGGAGCCAAAAGAAGTGACAGTTACTTCATCCAGAACCACATTCATATAGTCATCAATCTCCTTCATGCGTCCCCTGTACATATCCCCATTGCTTGTCTCTATGGTAACAATAAATCCTTGTGCCTCATGGAGTAACTTCAAAGGAACTGTTATGGGCATTCAAAGGATAGTGGGGTAAATTACTCGTCACAGAATGGCAATAAACTTTTAATCTCTTAATTATTTTTTTCGGATTCACCGTCTTTACCTTCAGAATACCAGGAATTATTCCGGGCATTCCTTCTATTCCTTCTAAATGGATTTGAGTCATCTTTTCTCTCAAGGCTGCTTGATGATACGTGTCTGAATGCATCCACTGGAGGAACATAGGCCTTCTGACTTATAGACACCCGAGGACTTGGAGGCTTATACACCTCGGCTTCATTGGTTTCATTTCTCCAATGCATGCCTTTGGCTGGCTTCATTGGTGTAGATGCCCCAACCTTTCTTTCAGACCCTTCTATCTTCCTCGATAGAGCTTCCCTCATCTCCTCAACAATCCCAGAGTATGCCCTCAGAGCCTCTCGTTTACTTCTAAGCTCTTTTTCCTCCCTCTCAAATCTCTCTTTCATATCTTCATTTCTCTTTTCATACCAGCAATCTTGCACCCCCTTTGTGTTCTCCATGTAATATCTTGAGTATATCTTCATCTTTTTGTATCTTGGAGTAAACCTATCACAGAATCTGACACTCTTTCTTTGGTGGATAGGCTCTTCTTTCTTCTCAACATTCTTCACCACAGGAATTCTCCTCCTCTCAACAATAGGTTTCGAAACAGGCCTTGCCTTTTCTTTGTACTCGTCAATGATCTCGAACACTTTCTTTTCAACGCTCTTGTATTCAAACCCTTGGACAAGGATATCCCCATCTCTAACACAAAACTTGAGGTCGTTCTTCTTCATAAACCCAACCAGATCCATATTTCCTCTAATTGGAATACAACTTCCAATACTTTCCGAATATCTATTCCACATCTCAAAGTCGAACTTTCTTCGAACAAGAGTGTCGCCAGGTACCTCAATTCCACAACACCTTTTCTCAACATCACTAACGATCTTTTCTAGATTGCAGGGTTTGGCCCTACAGAACAGCTTCTTTAGTTTATCTCCCTCATTCTTAAGGTGTCCATATGAACATATCGCACGAAAGTCTTCAATACTGCATTGGCTGCGTATAGCCCTAGGATCCAAAGATGTGAGAACATTGACAGCATTGGCATACGAGAAGAGCATGCAGGATTCAAGGAAAAACGTACAAAGAAGCTCCATATACGACGTTGCTGTGGATTTCGATGGAAACTTTCCCATCAGCATTATTATCTCGCACGCTTTCTCACACACAACATAAGATTCATATAGCACTCCTCCTCTGTTCAATGCCCAGCTAAGGTCCAAAAGAATTCCAAGGAATGCGCTATGCATTCCTTCCTTCGTGCTCTCAGGTACCTCCTCATATACCTTGTTGAAATATTCAAAGAACTTCACACATTCCTCAACACTGCATCTTTTCTTCACAGAGTTAAGCCATGGCCGGAGCACCCCAACCATACCGCCATAAGATCTTCCCTGAAGAAACCGCCTCCCAAATACTTCATATACATCAGCCATCCAATCGTCTTCCTTGTTAATGAAGGCATTATAAAACTTTTCCGCATAGCCAGAATCATATCTATGCTCAAGCAGAATCTTTTCTAAGCAACCGACAGCTCCTTCTTCTTTGATCTTCTGGGAAACACATTCTACATCGCTACTCAGCCTTGTGTCCTCCGAATCCATCCCGGGGCTAAAAGATTCCACATATTCAACTCTATAGAGTCTTTCCTCAAGAAAATGACTTAACTTCCTTTTATTTTGCTAATGACTTCCTGCACAAGGGAGCTCATCATCCCGTCGATTCCGCTTCTGATCGCAAAGCCTCTTCCATTCCTCATGCCACATACCAAGGATGCAACGAACGATGGCCCCAGAAGCCTTATCCATCTGGAGGCCCCTACTCCACTCAGCCCATAATAAAGAAATGAATAGATCATGGTGTGCTTCGCTAACTCTCCCCCACTCCTCAATGGCTGTCTGGAATAAGAGTGCTCGCCTTCTCTCCTAAACATGTTGCTGGCAAGTGCCATGGAACACCCGATGGTAAAAGAATTCCCAGTTGCCTCGAATATAGCCAAGGTATAGTCCCTAAGGCTCATATGGGGTCTCTCAAAAGCCCTTATCTCCTAACCTGCATCTATGAACAGAACAACAGAATACCTGAAGTACATAGACAGAAAGACACAAATACCCTATACCTCAGGGAGCGAGAGCTTCTACGACACCATCAACTCAAAAATAGAAAAGATAGAGGCAAGACTAAGGAAATCTTTATCATACAGGGAGACACTTAAGGTTGAGGAGGAGTTCGCCACCTTGTCCCTTGAAACTCAGCAAACATTGGACATAATCTCGGTAGAGGGATCTAATGATCTCGTACTCCACTTCGAAGGAATCAAGAGGATCATTCTGATGAAACTACAAGGAATCGAGAGAAGACTTAGAGCCCTTAAGGATTCTAAAATAGGAACGAGCATAGACCTGGAGCCCGAAAGGCCGCAGGTGTTCAGGAATGTCGAGGAAGTACAGGTAATGGAAGAGGAAAACAAGAAGCTTGTTGAGGGATACAACATGGAGGGATATAGATTGACTAGAAGAAGGCTTCTCGAGGTAGAGGCACTTCAGGATACAATCTTTCAGCACCTGATTCTCCAGGACGAGAGGATAGACAACATAATAGATCTTACATCCAAGGCAGGGACATATGTCTCTGGAGGCAACGAGGCGTTGGGAAGGATCACAAACTCGGGAAGATTTTTTCGCAGATTCCTGTTTATTCTATTACTTTGCTTGTCCTTTGTTCTGTTGTTTCTCCACTATTACTATAGGTAGGACTTGTTCTATTAAACCCTCTTTGGAGCTAATCCTATTCCTTTTTGCCAAGAAGTGCATTTACAACACTTGAGTCCTCCAGAATTTCGTTGATGGGCATCATGTTATTAAACCTATCCTCAACTATCTTCTTAAAGTCGAAGTCGGGCACTCTGCTTTTCACAAAGCTTATAACAGGGACTGTTATTGTTTCATTATCCTCCCCTACATTCATACATTGTGTGGGAGAAAACTTCCTGTGTTCCTCTGTATTGCACATTCTTATTGAGACAGATTCCCTTCTTTCCTGCTCTAGGCTCCCAGGAGACTTTGTCACACTATACTCATGGTCAAGCTTTTCTGGGATAATCCATTCAAAGGCATCCGGTGTTTTCTCCGGCACTTTATTATTTCCAGAATCCGAGATAAGATAGTCTATTTCAGGATCCATCACCGTTCTTTCTATCTCTTTGACCTGGATTAGATTGGCCCCCCATGAAACCTTCTTTCTCCTCTTTGGTTTTGAATCCTCATCTAGCTCCGAGCGGCTCTCAGCATCTTTTGGACTCATAGAACATGCCATATCAGCTAGTCTCTTGAGCCCTGTCTTCTCAAGCTCGTCTCTAGTAAACCCTGACCTTCTTAGTAACTCTGCAGGTTGTTGTATGTCCGGGTAAAGGACATCAAAGGCAAGGTTTATAAAGTCCACATAGAATGGGTGAGAAGTCGGAAACACCCCGCCCTCAAGGATTTCATCAATCACGCTCCTCACACGTTCAGGAAGAATAGATGGGTCTTCTATTTCAAACACTTCCTCAATCTTACCGATCACACTGGATTCCTCCATCAAAGGGGATATCGTAAGTATATTTTAGGGATTGCCTAGAAAATAAACAGCCCTGTGGGTATCTATGAAGAGGTTTGGAAGGAAGAGAGAATCAATCCACAACACTGCATATGAAGAGGTTCGGAAGGCATTTGAAGATATTAGAAGAAAGATAGCAGATACAGGCCGCCTGTCCTCTAGCGGCTTGTCTACTAGTACATCTCCGGGAAATGCAAGCTGGAAGAAGGATTATTCATGTGACCTTGCCTTCAGTTCTAGTGGGGACGAAGAGGACTGTGGGCTTTCCAGTATATACAATTCCAGATTCAAGGCCAGAAGCAAGGATGAGGCTCCTGGCTTTGGAGATGAAAGGGAGGATGACCTTGTGATAAATCATGATGTCCTGAGTTCTAGTGAGACATATGATGAAAGCCTAGGGTTTGAAAGTTTTCTTGACGAGGAAATAAAGAGAGAGTCTAAGATGCAGAACATAACATTCAGGAGAAAGAAGGGAATAGATCATCATCTGCATGGGCAGGATCAGAGAACGGAAGGCAGTGTGGATTCAGACAATGGAGGAGATGAAATGGGGGTTTTGAAAAGGATTCCATTTGATAAGATGCCAAAGAATATCAGGAAGATTGGGGAGGCAACATTCAGCGAGGTATTTGCCCATGGTACATTGGTCTACAAGATAATTCCTCTTGGAAACACTTCTGATGAAACATCTCTTCCATCGTTTCTGAAGGAGTCTACCATATTCAAAGCCATTTCTGAGGAAGACGGGGTATGCAAGCTCAAGGATGTATTCCTAGTGAAGGGGAGGTACCCAAGAGAGTATCTGAAGGCATGGGATGATTATGGAGAAGAGGAGAATGAAAGACCCAGCAAGTATGAAGATTCGCAGGAATATGGAGTAATAGTTATGGAAGACGGAGGGGAAAGCCTGGAAAGCATCAGGTTTCAAGGCATTGAAGAAGCAGATAGGTTCATTAGAACGGTTATAAGAACATTGGCAAGGCTCGAAGAGAAGTATGAGTTTGAGCATAGGGATCTTCACTGGGGAAATATCCTCATTAAGCAAGGGCACATAAACCTGATTGACTTTTCACTCAGTAGGCTAAAGAATGGAAACACTGTGATATTCAATGACCTGAATGATAGACAATGGTTATTTGAAGGAGATGAAGAAGTCGATGTTCAGTTTAAGGTTTATAGAGACATGCGTGAGCTATGCTCCGGACATTGGGAGCGATTTACTCCTCAAAGCAATGTTCTATGGATCCGGTACCTTGTTGAAAAAACCTTCGGCAAGAACAAATTCAAAGGGAAAAAGGCCTTAATCTCGCAATACATGTCGATCATAGATAGAAGCACATCAGCAAAGGACATAGATAAGAAACTTAGAGTGTAAATAAGTACAATAAAAAGGAGTTTTTATTAGCCTAGATTTATTTTGGTCTCAACTTGCCTAAGAAACTCCCTTGCATTCAGGATCTCTGTTGACCCATATATGACTGGAACATCCATTCTCTCCTCAAGAAGCTTCAAGGTCTTCAATTCTGTGTATGTACCCCCTCCTATACCAAATACAACAATCCTTGAAATTTCGTTTGCATATATGTCTTCAGACCCCATTGGATCGAACACTTTGAAGTTCGAGTATATTCTAGACTTAATATCCCCGTAAATGGACTCCACCAGGGATGATACAGGGGTCTTCTCCTTCACAGGCAATAGTTTCTTGACATTTCCCATAAGGCTCGTGACCACCTGGGAGTAGAATGTTCCTGACTTTTCTGAATGAGTGTTTCTATGCTTTCTGAAGAACTCAATCACCTTTGATTTTATTTTCCTCTTCTGAAGAAGTGGATCAATCAGATCAAAGTCTTTGGTATTGAGAAGAAGAATGGCCAGTCTTAATATATCCTCATCATCCCCCTTCTCGGACAGTTCCATCAGCTCTTGGCTTGTACATCCTCCCTTCTCGACCTTGTAGAAGTCATCGATGGCTCTTTCTTTTATTACCTCAACCATCTCAGAGCATATCGATATGTGAGCATTCACAGACTCATTTCTCTTGGCCAGCTCGGGAGCTTTGTCAAGAGCCTCTTGGATCACCTTCTTATCTGTCTTCTCATCAATACTTCTGAGGGCCATCTCCTTTCTGTACTCAAGAAGCTCCTTTTCAACCTTTTCAACCACAACAGGAAAGTACTCGTTGCTATTCCCCTTCCAGAGTTCGTCCTGGGGATCCAGGTCAAACACCTTCCCGCTTTTCAGTGTTATCTTATTGGACTCTAGCTTGAAAAGATCGTTCATCAATGCACTATAACTCCAAACATGCTGCACAGGTGTGCTCACATCATAGTTTCTATTCACAAGTATCAGAAGAGGCCTTTTGCTTGTCTTCTTGATGACTCCTGTATTTTTTATCTTTGCTTCAAGCATCCTTGCTATCTGCATAGATTCTTCATCATCAATGGTCACTATAAATGGAATCTCTCCAATGGTCACAAATACACTCATAATCGACATCACCGTTTCCCTCCATATGTCGGGATTCTCCATCCCTGCAAAGCTATCCTTCATCCCAAGAGTAAACATGTCGTCTTGTAAGGCAATGAAGTCTACAAACTGGTCAAAAACGGATCTAACTCGAAGACCAAGGCCCCTCTCGGATAATCTGAGCCCCATCTCCTCTATTTCTCTCCGCTTGACAGATGTTGTGAAGTTAAGATAGTATTCCGAATACAGCTCCTTGAGAACATCATCGATAATACCGTCTGTGCTTTCAACAAAATACACTGCTGGTGTGTTGCTGATGGGGTGACGGCCCTGGGTCACAAGAAAGTGTGCTGTTATCCCGCATTCCCTAAGCTCATTAACCTTCATGAGAGGCGCAATAATCTGCTGAGCACGCTCGCTGAGAACCAAGACCCTCCAGGGATTGTTCGGTGCAGTCAGGAATGCTTTTATTCTTTGTTTCTGGAGTTCCCTTAACATTTAGGGTATTATGGCAACCTATTTTCTAGAAAGGTCGCGAGATGTCCTTCCAATCCTCCATGCCCTTTGTCCATGAGAGAGAGTGGTGGGTATGTGGATGCCCTGGGCCTGTATGAGCCGAGAAATAAATCTTTTTGTTATCCCTGGGACTGCTTCAACAGGACAATGACAACAGAGATTAGAAATATAAAGCTGGTGCAGAAGATTGCGTCTGGGGCCTTTGGGGACATATTTATCGGACAAAACACGACGACCAACCAGACGGTTGCCGTGAAGCTAGAGAAGAAGGCACATTACAGCCAGCTGAAACATGAATATGGGGTGTATAAAGCACTTGGAGGCACTCGCACTCCAAAGATTTATGAGTACGGGAAGATTTTGTATGAGAATGTATATGTCAATGGACTAGTGATGGAACTGATGGGGAAGTCTTTAGAGCAGCTATTTGTTACATGCAACAGACGCTTTTCCCTCAAGACTGTGCTGATGCTAGGGGAGAAGATGGTTGATAATGTAGAGTATCTGCACCACAGAAACTATGTCCATAGGGACATTAAGCCCGACAATTTTGTGTTTGATCTCCGAGGAGACAAGTTGTATCTAATAGATTATGGACTGGCAAAAGAATTCCGAAACCCGATGACATTCAAGCACAGGGAGATGAGGACAGACAAATCCTTAACTGGGACTGCAAGATATGCCTCTCTAAGAACCCACCAAGGATACGAGCAGAGCAGAAGAGATGACTTGGAGAGCATTGGGTTTTGCATGGTGTATTTCCTGAAAGGAAGGCTTCCCTGGCAAGGGCTGAAGGCAAAGACAAAGCAAGAGAAGTATGATAGGATACGAGAGAACAAGGAGGGGATATCTTTGTACGAGCTGTGCATGGGACTTCCAAAGGAGATCCATTCATTTTGTTTTTATGCCCGGAACCTTGGGTATGAGGACATGCCGAATTATGCATATTTAAGAACATTGCTCAACGATGCACTTAGGCAAAGAGGCCTAAGGAACGATGGGGTGTTTGATTGGATAGCAAGGACGCCCTCTGATTCTTTAGGTGATCTGGAGGTTCTGTGAGTAGATTGGAATAAAGGATGCTGCTGTTTAATGATTGTGAAAAGTATTTTTAGGTAGGGATTCAACGAGCCTTTGGCATGAAAACCCATCAAGAGAAAAGAGAGGCTTTGAGAAGAATGTTTGAAGAAGAAGGGTTTGTGGTAGGAGATGGGTTGAAGTATGGAGTTGATCTTCTAGTATACACAGACAAACCATCTCGAGTGCATTCGAGGTATGGAGTTCTGATAGACCGGAGACACAGCTTCTTGGACATTGTTGGGGCACAAAGAACATGCACCTCTGTTAACAAGACGTTGGTGGTGGCGTTTTTTGAGGGATGTAATGTTCGGATGGTGAGTGTTGAGAGGATGGAGCTACGAGAGCAGAAAAAAGAAGGTTGTGGTGAGCCACAGGGCTTAAAATGAATTTAAGGTTTGTAAAAAATAAGGTTTACAGACCCCAAATGAAAAACAATGAAGATGTTGAGATAGATGAGTCTTTGTATTCCAGACAATTGTATGTTGTCGGAAAGGATGCAATGAAGAAAATGATGAGCAGCAAGGTGCTTGTGATGGGGCTGGATGGGCTTGGGCAAGAGATTGTGAAGAACATATGCCTGGCTGGGGTAAGTAAAGTGGGACTTTTTGATGACAGGGTGGTTAGTGAGGAGGATCTATGCACTGGGTTCTACCTCCGAAGAGAAGATATTGGGAAGCCCAGGGATTCCAGTGTGGTAAGTAGGTTTAGATCGATGAATGAATATGTCGATGTTAATGTTGTCAGTGAGGTGAAAAGCTTTGAGGAGTATGACGTTGTTGTTGTGTGCAATGAGTGTTATGGAGAGCAGATAAGGTTGAATGAGATGGCGAGGAAGGACAAGTGCATGTTTATTGGATGTCAAGTGAGAGGGTTGTTTTCACAAGTATTTTGTGACTTTGGAGCGGAATTTATTTGTGTTGATAGGACTGGGGAGATACCTGTGAGTGGAATGATTAATGACATAAGCGAGGATGGAGTGATGACTGTTGTTGATGGGCAGAGACACAACCTTGAGGACTATGACATAATCAAAATAACTCAATGCGAAGAATACGAGGGAAGGCACTTTAGGGTTAAGGTTATCTCACCAACCCAAGTGATGCTACAGAGCGTTGATGGGGTCCGAATGTTTGAAGAGGAAGCCGAGTTCAAGGCAGAGAAGTTCAAGGCGGTTTACGGAGGGGACTTTGAACAGCAGAAGAAGCCTGTTATGATATCCTTCAAACCTCTGGGAAGAACTATTGATGAACCAAGCATTCTTGGATTCAACCACGAGGTTGAGGAAAGGAATCTTGTTGTGCACAAGTGCTTTGTTGCTCTTGGAGAATACATGGAGCAGGATAAACAGGAGGTTGATGGAGAGGGATTCCTATCATTTTTTGTTAGGAAGTATAAGAGTCATTTTGAGTTTGAAGGACTGATAAGATCTTTTGGAAAGCAATGCATGGGGACACTCATGCCCATGTGTTCTGTGGTTGGGGGGTTTGTAGCACAGGAGATTCTGAAAGGGGTTGGGAGTAAGTTTACACCTTTACATCAATTCTTTTATTTTGATGCAGCAGATGCCATTCCTAAAGATTCTGAGGATAGTGGAAAAGAGTATGGTAGGTATGGGCCGATGGTAAGATGTCTTGGGAAGGAATGCGTTGAAAGGCTCTTTAATCTACATGTTTTTATGGTTGGGGCAGGAGCCATTGGATGTGAGCATCTGAAAAATATGGTTATGTGCGGTATTGGGCATAATGGGAGAATAAGTGTTACGGACATGGATGCTATTGAGCAGTCCAACTTGAACAGGCAGTTCCTATTTAGGTCCGGAGATGTATCAAGCATGAAGGCGGAAGTTGCTGTGAGAGAAGCCATGGCATTGAATCAAGACTTTCTGCAGGTGTCCAGCGATGAGAAAAAGGTTGAAGAAAAGGGCGTTTCCGAGGTTACAAATGGAATGTCTAACAATGAATCTTCGCAATCAAATCTTGTTTACTACAACCTGAAGGTTGGGAAAGAAACAGAAGGGGTGTTTAGTGATAGGTTCTTCCAATCGGTAGACGCTGTAGCAACTGCACTGGACAATGTGGATGCAAGGATGTATATGGATGGGAGATGTGTTGTGAATAGAAAGTTTATGGTGGATGCAGGGACGTCTGGGACAAAAGGAAATGTTCAAGTTGTTGTTCCTTTCCATACCGAAAGCTATGGGTCTAGCCAAGACCCTCCTGAAAAGTCCATTCCCTTGTGCACAATCAAAAACTTTCCATATGCGATAGAGCACACAATCGAATGGGCAAGAAGTGAATTTGAATTCAAGTTCCACGACGAGATACTTCTTATAAAGGAATATTTGAGCAAGGAGAAGACAAACACTGAGAGTGAAAGGAAGGAGGATCAAAGTAATGAGATTATAGAGGATGTTGTTGAAAAGATACCTACAAATGCCAAGGAATGTATTAGAAATGGGATCCTTCTCTTTGTGAAATTGTTCCATACGTCTATCAAGAACCTTATAACTGCGTTTCCTCCTGATTCAAAGACAAAGGAAGGACAGGTTTTCTGGATGCCTCCTAAAAGGGCGCCTAGAACGATCAACTTCGACGTGAACAACGACCTTCACATATTGTTTGTCCAAAGCACTGCAAACATATTCAGCCTCAACTTTGGAATCAAGCAGCATATATCAAAGGAGATGGTTGCAGAGTTTGTGAAGAATGAGATACTGGTTGAAGAGTTTTCAACCGTAGCAGACAGTATCTGTGCAGAAGAATCCTCGAAGCCATATGTGGACCCTAGTATCATAACACCCTGCATTTTTGAGAAGGACGACGACACAAACTTCCATGTAGACTTCCTGTATGCAGCTGCCAACCTTAGAGCAATAAATTACAAGATAAAGCAGGCAGACAGGCTTACTGTGAAGGGGATTGCAGGAAGAATAATTCCAGCTATAGCAACAACAACAGCTGTTGTTTCTGGTTTGGCGATTCTAGAGATGATAAAGTATGCCTTAGGTGTGGAGCATATAAAGCACAAGAATTCCTTTCTTAACCTGGCTCTTCCTTTTTTTGCCAGCACAGATCCCGTGGAGCCTGCAAAGCAATCATATAAGATTGAGAATAAAAAATACACATTCACACTATGGAACAGACTAGAGTATAAAGACTCGAAACTGGGAACAATCCTCAGGGCCTTTGAGATTCAGTTCAAGAGAAAGATATCAATGGTCACTGCAGAAAGTGCTCTGATATATTGGGACTTCGACTCAAAGTATGCAGATAATTTGGAGAAGACAGTTGGAGAGTTGGTTGATAGAAAACCAGATGAGCTGTTTGTTGTGCTGGATGTGATAACAGATGATGATGAGGGAGAGTTCCCCAGGATTGTAGTTGTCTTTGAATAAAAAGATATGGAATACCCGTTTAATTGTTTTATGGTAGGAAAGATGCCCTTAGTTCTCCCTAAGGACTCAAGGTGTCTGATCGTCGTGGTAATGTTTTATGTGATATTTAAGGCCATTGTTGTTCTTGTATTTCTTGTCGCATCCATCGAATGGGCAGACATAAGGTTTGAATATATTCATCTTCTCTTCGGAATGACCTTCCTTCATGTGATATTTTAGTCCAAAGGAAGATGTATATTTCTTGGTGCATCCTTCTATTTCGCATGCATACACCCTTCCTCCCTTTGTTCTTTGTGCTTTTGAGTGTGAGCGTGTGGTTTTTTCCTCTCTGTAAGTAGTTTTGGTGGAGACAGGTAGTCCTCTAACCTTTATCATTCCGCTGTTTGGAATCCCATTCCTCCATTCCCTATCTCCAACACTCTTATGTATGAACTCGTAATCAAACCCTGGATTGTCTTCCTCAGAAAGTTCTGGTGCATCCTTCTCGGGCAAAGTGTACTTGTAAAGCATCTCTTCCCTCTTCAGTAAAACATCTTCTAAGTAAAACTGATGCATATCCATCATGTATCCTATATCCTCATACCTTTTCACTCTCTCCTCAAATCTTTTCTCCTCTATTTGATACAATTTCTTCAGTTTACTTGAATCATTTGTTCTCATCATATGGCCCCCTGGACGGTTAATTATTTTCCCAAATATTATTCTTGATGGGGCTCTAGCACTCAGGTTCAGGAGGATATGTCATCATTTGTCAGCCCTCCATCTCTAATGCTGGGTAGCCTCCATAACGAATGTTTAACCACACACCAGCAACATACATAAAGTTCTACACATAATCCAAATAAGTCCAATGGTTTATTAAATCATCCTTCTGAGGAGATTGCCTAGCAGGTCTTGATGATTTCCAACAGAGCCCCCATCATTGAAGCTCTTAGACTTCTGACACCTGAATCCCCCACGCGGTGGAGACAAATGGAATGGGTATAGGAAATTATTGACATCCTTGAACATCTCAGTTCCATTGTAAATGTGATGCACAAGCTCCTCAATACACTTGATCTTTCCGTCAAACATATCCTCAATAAACTCGTTTGTAAGCTTGACACGGGTCCTTCCGTTCCTCCCAGTTCCTTTTGTGTACATAAGCTCTCTCAATAGTTCCATATCAATCGTTCCAAATGCAACGTAGTCCTTAATTATATGTAGCATCTTCTTTGTTGACTTGTTGTTTCTGACAAACACACAGTTGTTGATCCTCTTTAGCCTGAAGAGCTCCAAGACTTTTCTAACCTTAGGTGAGCACTTGCACTTAGATCGTATCAAGATAACCACAAAAAACTCTGCTTCTGGTGGAACATAAAATCCACCCTCCATGCTTGCCTTCTTCTCAAGAACCTCTCTCTCCTGCTGGTAGTACCTGTCTAGGAGCTTTTCCGTCACTTCCTCGGCATATTTCGCATTGGACTTCTTCCTCTCCATAAATTCCTTTTCCTGCCTTCTTCTTATCCCAGACATCTTGGCCTCATACTCCTTCCTCCTAATAGACGACTGCGGTGCTTCGCTCATCACTCGCTCCATTTTTAGGGCAAATTTTTACTTAAAGTTCTAATACCACATTATCTCCCTAGACATATTCTATATAGCTAAGACAACATCCAACTTACTTAAGTTTATTCATGTATTCTTGATATTTAACCATCTCCTTAAAGAAAGCCACAAAGTCTTCTTCAACCTTGCACAGCCCGTTGTTCAGTACCTCATCCAGGGTACAAGAGTCGGAGACATAGAAGTCAGTTAAAAACATCCCTCTTCCCTTGGGCATCTTCCCAACAGTCATTTTCTCAAATAGATAGCTACATCGTGTTCCTAGAAGCTGGTGAAAGCTGTTGCTGCCATTTGTTCCAATTATCCTACTCTCCTTCAGCTCAGAGAGTATCACAGACTTCTCAATTGACTTTCTCAGCTCAAGGGCATCGACAACGTGTGCAAGATTCCCAACAATTATAAAGTATTTGATGCTATTGTCCAGGTCGTTTATAGACTCTTGGAAGTTAATGATGGCCCCTATCCTTCTCTTTTCATCCTTTATCCCTTTGGTAATGAGTATGTCCGACCATATGAATGACAGGTTCGGTATCTGAGCATTCTTAACATTCATACACTCCAAGCACTTCAGAACATATGGATAGAACCAGAAGTACCTACAGAGAAATGTAAAGATTAGGAATATTTCATAGTTCCCTTGATAGCTGTTTCTATGCCTGAAGGACAGGTACAACGCTAGAGCAAGAAAAGAGGCTTTTCGTGATGCTATCAAAATAGCAATGACCACCTTTGTATTAAATACAGACATATCTCTTCTATATACTTCATAAGCTCTCCTCAGGAGACCCTCATCAAACCCTTTCCTCATCAGTTGAATTGTGCAGTCAATCGCTTCATGCGGATGGCTTTCCAGCCCAACCATCTCAGCGATAAACTCTATCTCTCTGAAACATGTTCTTGACTTCAGAAGCTCAACAGCCCTACCCTTTTCCTTTAACTTATGAAGAAGATAGTATTCATAGTTCAGACTTTCTCTATTCTGTACCTCTATTTTGTTGTCCAATGCATACTTGTATAGATCCCAGTCATCCAGGCTGTCAAGGAGAAATTCTACACATTCCAGGCCATCCTTCTTCCCAAGAAGCTTATGATGCCCATGTATGCATGCCTCCTTGAGGACAAGATAGTACAAATGGTCTTTAAAAGTAATTCCTTGAACATAGTGATACATCTCTTCAATTAGCAGCCCTCTTTTGTACAGCATCCAGATCAGATTGCTCTTGATAGTAGCATCCTTCAGAGACTCTAGAAAGAGATCCTTCTTAATCTCATCTCCTGGGTTTCCTAGAAAATCAATGAGAAGGGAGGTTACGAGGAACATAGGATTCCTGGAAAAAAGCATCTTTCCAAGCCCAATGCTCTTTTGCACATCGCTTCGGAGAAGTGCCTGCACAAACTCCTTTTCCAGATCCCTCTGCCCAGATACAATTCTTCTCAGAAAGTCTAACTGTTTCATGAGTCTAGGGCCTTAAAATTCCTAGTCTATTTGCACATCGGGTGGAGAACAGCCTAAGAACCACACAGAGTATCCACTACTCCCTCACTCCTCAGGTGGCCCACAGCCTGTCCCTCTCAATAATCACTATTGCAAAATTTTTAAATAAAAACAAACAGAGGAGAAGGAAAGAGGAGTCATGAGAGAAGCAGGGAATGGAGACCTTCCTTCTGAGAACCAGGACAAGGAAAAAAGAAGGAGACTGGCAACACAGCTGACAGAGGAAATGAGGCTTATCAGGAGGGAGTTTGAAAGTACAAAAGACATGGGAAATGGTGCAAGGTTCCTTTATGACTTTGAGAAGCGCCTGCCTTTCAGGCATCGGGAAATTAGATATGCAAGCATCCCTAATAAAAAGGCTGAAAAGAGGGCTGTAAACGAATCTGATAGAATAAGAATGGCAGCCGAGTATGCGGCAGAGGCCGGGGTTTTAATGGTGATGGATGTTTTGAGACAATCTAGGAAGGTTGTATTCAGCAAAGATTGGGAGGTTGGATACAGGGAAAATAACGTTATTAATATTCTCCAAAAGATTGAAAAGAAAAGAAGGAAGAAAGGCTTGTTGAAGTGTTGCGAAGGAGGCAGGATAGATAAGAGAGACGTCGAAAACACATGGAAAATGATGATGGATGCAGAAAAGAAGAGGATGGATGTGCTAAATCTTATAAGCCATGAGATATCTCTTACAAAACGAAGCAGATTGATTTGTATCAACATCCCTTTCTGGTTCTCAAGCGAAACCGAGGGCCAACATCCAGAGAGCGACTGTGTATTTGGAAAGGAGGGTTCTGAGGGTGGATTGACGTATTGTAGAACAAAGATATCCAAAATGTATCCCAATGAAAGTGTAAGCTATGAAAACGTGATTTTTCCATTGGTGAGAGATGACAGTCCACCCACGATATTCAATACTAGAATGGACGATTCTCCTGAAAAGACTGAAAGGACACCACCAAAGGCTCAAATGATTGAAAGATACAAAAAGTACCTTAAAAGCTTTGCAAGGATCAATGCCAAGCAATCAAGCAGAAGCAACTTCAACATAGCACAACCATCTGCAGCAAGCCATCCAACCAGCCAACACGTCTTTAAGAAGATACCTATAGAGTATTTAAGATGCAAAAATGCTAAGGACATTATCAATCACAAGTACAAGCATGTGGTTGTTGATCGGGTTGCGCACATGGCCAGAAGAGCAGAGACCAAGTACTCATTGGGGGATTTGGAGGATGGGCTGTCTGGAGACCTATGTTCAAGTGGAAGTGATGATACAAGCATTAGATATACTTTTCTTATTGAGGCAGCACTAGGTAAAACTTCTGATTCTGGAAAGAAAGACATTCCCAATGGAGACATAAAGAAGGTTTCTGGATGCTGGAAAGATGAGACCCAGGGATATATTCCTGAAATGCCACTACAAGTGCCTCGCCGCGAAGGTGGGGAGGTTGCCTCTGATGCAAATGGTCAGGCGAGCCTGGGGAATTCCAGTAATAAAAAGGTGGAGGATGAAACGCCGGAAGAACCTCATAGAAACTCTATCGGCAGGGCTACTCTTGGATTTAAATATGATATGGGGAATAGTAGAGATGAAGAAAACGAATGAAGAAGCATAGAGGGTGTTGCTATTGAATAAGATTGTTGTTCTATATTTAAATTAAATACAAAGAAAGATGTAGATGATGTATCTTGTTGATTGGGCTCATGAGTATTGGATGCTTTTTGCGACTTCTTGGTAAGAGATTGGTTAAAAAGCACCTATTAAGTCTGCCAGTGGGCTCAAGGATATGATGGAATACCAAATGTAATAGGGGATTGGATATGGTGTGGTTCGAGAAAGGATTGGAGGAATAAATACTGAGGATTAAGAAGAAAGGAGAGATGAAGAACAGAGAGAAGGCTCTAAGTTATATAGACTCTGGAATTGAAGGGATGGAAGAGGAAATCAGCAGTTTTATGGATGAATCGATGACAAGCAACCCTTCTCAAGAAAGAGATATGAGAGGTATGATAGGAGATTTCGAGTACATAGAGAACAAATGGATAGGAAACTATAGGTTTGTGAGACAATTGGGTATTGGAAGTAGTAGTAAGGTTGTGCTTGGATGTGATGTGCATAGTGGAGAAAAGGTGGCAATAAAGGTAATTCCCAGGAGGATGAACGGTGATGAGACAAGTGGGGTTGAGATGAGATGCGACCAAAGGATATTCAGAGAGGTGATTATATCATCTGTAGTAAACCATCCACATATTGTCCGTCTGAAGAACTTTCTATACAGCCCTACACACTATTTCTTGATATTTGAGTATGTGAAGGGGAAACAGTTGTATGATATTATCATTAGCAACGGACCGCTGAAGGAAAAGGAGGGGCAACGATACTTCAGACAGATACTCTCTGCGATTGATTACATCCATAGGAATTCGATTGTGCATAGAGACCTGAAGATAGAAAACATATTGATTGACGAGAACGATAATGTCAAACTGATCGACTTCGGGCTGTCAAACTTTTACGATAATAAGACCCTGCTGAATACATTCTGCGGAAGCCTTTATTTTGCAGCACCGGAGCTGCTTCAGGGCCAAAGGTATTGTGGGCCCGAGATAGATGTATGGAGTCTGGGTGTTGTTTTATATGCCATTTTGTGTGGGTGTGTTCCGTTTGATGATGAGAATGTGCAGGGACTTCAGGCAAAGATAAAGGATGCAGACTTCAAGTTCTGTAAGACGATTTCAAAGGAGGCACAAGAGCTAATAAGAGGGATGATTGTTGCACAGCCATCCTCCAGGATGGGGCTTGACCAGGTGATTGGAAGTGAATGGGTCAATAGAGGGCAGAAAAGTAGGGTTAACAGCTATGTAGCAAAGAGATATCCAATAATGAATATTAACGAGAAGTATATAAAGTCTATATCAAGGGCAGTTAGATTCCAGTTCCCAAACATGGAGAGGGAGATAAGAAGATTTCATAAGATATGCAAGGAGGAGATAGGCACTTTGGAGCAGATTTACTGGTCGAGAAGGCCTGTAGTATCTCTCTATTACCTTGTTTCTGAAAATCTTGGGGATGATGGTGAGAATGCAGCTTCTGAGGAAGAGGATGAAATAGAGCCGTCCCATGAGCTTCCGGAGGCGATATATGACTTTGTAAGGTTTATATCTTTGAAGGAGAAAGATAAGGCACCAAGACACGTTAAGAAGGAAATATTCCTGACTTCTACAAGCCAAGACTCTCTTTGCAGCCTGAAAGGAAGGGATGGGGGGCTTCCGCGAGTCAGGCAGACATATCTAAAGGGGTTTTTCAAAGGAATAAGGGTAAAACACATCGGGAGCCATAATGCGCTTAAAAAGATACTCCTTGATATATTCAACTCAAATAATATTATCTACGAGATCACAGAGAAGAGCTACCTCTGTTCTGCATACTATGAGGACATAGAATGTCTCTTCAAGGTGTCTATGTATTTCAATGTTCTTCTCAATGAATACTACCTGACTGTAACGCCTCTGAACAACGAGAAGAAGCTTTTCAGGAGTGTGTATGAGTGGATCTCTTGCGGGCTAAGAAACAGATCATGAATAAATTGTTAAACTTCGATTGGGTTTAAAAGGATCTAGATGTCATTTTCAAGGACAGGCAAGACGTTCTATTGAGCCCTTGATGTCTTCAAACGAAAGATATTTTGATGTTTGGCGATACCCCTGGGATTTGTGGCTATGCCAGAAGTTCCGAAATAGCCAGGATTGCTCCCTTGGGTCTTTGTGGGCCTAAGGTTCGTAGGTGGCTACATTTTGATGTGGTGTCTTTTTCTTGTGATATTTTCTGTTTCAAGGCTGTTTTAAGCTGTTTTGGAACTTCTATAAACAGAAACGGCTCTTGGTCCATACTGAGGCCAGATGGTTTCTATTTGGTTGATTCTAGGATGTGCTCTGTGTTCCCTCGAAAGCGACATGCTGCGGTATACAAACAAGTTCAGGAACGAGCATAGCATGGAGGAACTGTATAGCCTTCCTTCGCTACAGAAGGCAGCAGATTTGCAAGTGCTGCATATGTGCAAGAAGGCCAAGCTTACACATGACGGGCCTAGTGGATTGGGATCTAGTCTTAGTGGAAGGCTAAAGAAGTTCGACTTTGTCGGGTTGAACATAGGAGAAAACATAGCTAAGCAGGAGAATGATGACTACAAGGAAGTTGTTAAGCTCTGGATGAAGTCTGAAAAGCATAGAAACAATATTCTCGGAGATTATGTATATTCTGGGGTTGCCACGTGTATTGGAAAGGACGGTAACAGATATTGGGTCCAAGTTTTTGGGAAGGATGTCAGCAATACAAAGATTGCTAAGATGAGAGATGGGATGAGGAGGCTCATGTCTAAGGAATGTAACGACATTCGGGATAAGACTAGGAGTAGGACCGGAAGTGTCAGAAGAGGATACGAAGAGAAAGGAGGCCTTGGAGAGGAAGGTTATATAATGGTAGTTCCTCCTCCACCGTATGAAAAAAGATTTGAGAGGGACACAGAAGCTTTTGGAGATATCTCTGATGAACAAGGCGGAGGAAATGAGCCCGCTGTGAATCAAAGAGATGTAGAGAGTCACCCTAATGAGGGGAAAAGAATACCTGAAATTGGGTTAGAAAGAATGAAGTACCCAGGATGGAGCTTTATTCGAAAGCCTAGGCCTATTCCTATTGCTGAGCGTAATAGAAAGAAAGAAGAGAAAGAGTTGCTGAGCTTTGGGGATTACTTAATTCCATCACAGAATGAAGAGAAGAGCCAGACAAGGGTTGATACTCGAAGTAGTCTACATTCATTAAGTTCTCAGGGAATCATGCCCGCTGTTACAAAAGATGCCAAGACCCAAACTTCGACAATACCAATAATTACTTTTGTATTTAAAGATCCAGGAAACAACACCATAGTACCTGCACTTCAGTCTTTGATTGATGCAATTAAGGGCGCGTCATCTCAGGGCTCTCCCAGCAGTAAGACTCCTTCCGTGCCATTGACTTCGTACTCTTCCTCGAAGACAAGTACTTCGTACACTGTGCAATCACCTGTATACAGTAGTGTGCAAACATCCTCTATTGTAACAAGTAGTAAAAACGCAATATCCACGATCACAATCACTACAACGACCCATGAGTCTGTCACCACTGTTTACGTACCGAAGAACAAGGTCTCAACAACCACAGTACAGCCTGATAGAAAGGGCTCAAACCAACTAGAGAGCAAGACGGGGAGTCCTGGCCAAGGAAACTTAGAGAATGGATCGTTAAAACTTCTGGGGCAAAATGGAGAAGACAATGGTAATGAAAGTATAAGTCCCATTGTGAGATTCGATGGGAAGAATGGCACAAAGAATGATGGGGATGAAGGAGATCTTGCCCATGGAAAGAGGTGCCAAGATGGCTATAATAAGGATGGAACATGCATTGTTTCAAAGGAGCTTGATGGCTCAAAACTGAAGGATGCCTTGGAGGACCTGGTTCGCAAAGGGAAGGTCCATCTTCATATTGTATCCGATGAGGACTGTGAAGACAAGGAGGGCTGCTATGAAAAGAGGAATAGAGTTGATATAGGAATTCCATTTTCCTATAGACTTTGAGGATATTAAAAAGTTTGTTTTGGTATTTGAACAATGGCGACCACTTTATTTTAAGTAAAAAATTCTATTCCAGGACCAACCCAAGATCCTTGAAGATTCGGTGTAAGACCATTACAAACGTATCCTCCCTCATCCTTAAAGTCTTTACATCTTGGTTTTGTATCCAGAAGACTACGTCGATTTTTATTCCTATTGCCGAGTTCTTCTTAAGGTCGTATCCATAGACGCTAAACTTTCCTGTGTATACATTTGGATCAGAGCCTACTTCCTTTTCTATTGCTGCACTTAACTCCCCTGCCTTTTCTTTAAACTCTGGAGTGTTGGAGAATGTGAACTCAAACCTCTTCTGTGACGTCCTTGCTTTTCTGAGGTTAACTATGGTCTTGTCCATGATCTTGGTGTTTGGAATCACAGTAACCTTCTTCTCCACCACAAACGAAGTATAAAGAAGCCCCATGTCATACACCTTGTGTAGGATCCCATCTATGAGGACCTTGTCTCCAACATCAAATGGCTTCACAAGAAATATAAACACTAGGGACCTGAACATTTCTGCCAGAATTGGAGCAAAAATCACGTGAAGAGAGAAGAGCGTACCAAACTGGATAGGAATGAAGTTGACAAGATTGATTTCATCCTCAACTATTGGTGTGGCTGCAGATATACCAAAAGGAACAAGTATAAAGGAAAGTACGATGTCCAGCTTCTCTACAATGGTAATCTTCTGTGCCATCCCCATTGTGATCCTCTTTTCCTCATTCAGAATGTCTTGGTAGACAAGAACAAAGCTGCTTCTTGTCAGTCTACCATCTCCATATATATCAAAACGTTCAAATATCTTCTGTGCATAGTCAGTTCCAAAAAAGTATTCTAGAGTTTGTATGTCAACAGCTTGTTTTTCCGGAGAAATTGACTTAAAGACGGAATTTGCCCAGATCTCGATGTCTTGCTCTGGATCCATTCTTTTCCCTGTTATCCTATTCAATTGCTCAAGGATCTTCATGTCTTCATAGTTTTTAAGGATTCTGTCTTCGTAGTTCTCGAAAAGCATTTTGTAGTTTACTCTGTCCATAAGAATCGTCTTTGTTAAGATTATTCCAAGAAGTATAGAACCTGCAAGAAGAATCCTGCTCAGCTTGTCCATTACAAATATTTCTGACTTGCCCGGTGGTTTCAACTTCGATGGGTCATTGGAGCTGTCAGGAGTATCTTCATTTGATGCCTGCGGGGCTCCTTCTTCGACATTTCCGGCCTCCTCTACACCCATTATCTCTATTCCGCGGCTATAGCTTCCCATAATAAAGGAAAGAACTAGTAGTGTAAGAACAAGGCTTATAAACCACCCGTTTTTTATCAATGTGCTCTGGAGGAATCCTTGCTTCTCGCCAACCTTTTTCAAAGTAATTGAGAGATATGTCAGAGTGAGCTCAAGCACAAACCAAACCATGACACCAATGAGAAAGCACATCAGAAGCCTCTCACTCACAACAGACAATTGATTATTGCCATTGGCTTCCAGCTTTGGTAGAATTAGTGAGTAGTGGGACATATATGCCAATATCCCCGATATCACAGATCCCAGAAAGTAGAAGAGGATCCATATGGCCGAGGGAGGACTTGGATCGTTTGCATGAGTATTCATGCTTGGCTTCTTTTCTACAAAAAAATCGGATTCTTCTATTTGTTGCATGTCGTCGGCCCTTTTGGCTTGCATGGTATTCCCAGCTTTCTTGATGTTATGTGCAATGTGCAAAAAGGAGAGCGAGTCATAGTGGGTAAGAGAATTTCGATGATGTGTATTGGAAGAACAGTCTTATAACCAGTAAAGGTTGAATATTTAATTTTCATCGGGGTCTCCTTTTCTCTCTTCTCCTATTACACTTCCTTCTTCTCGGGATGTCCAGAGAGTAAGGTTGTCCCTAAGAAGTTGCATTATCAGGGTTGAGTCTCTGTAGTGCTCCTCGGAAAGAGTGTCCAACTCCTTGATGGCTTCATCAAAAGCTCCCTTGGCTATCGAGCAAGCCTTTTCCGAGTCATTAAGAATCTCATAATGGAACACTGAGTAATTTAGTGCAAGACCCAGCTTTATGGGGTTTGTAGGGGGGAGTGTTTTGGCCTTTTCGGTAGCTTCTCTGTAGGACTCAGCTGCATGTTTTGATACTTCGCTGTGCTCCGACCCTGTGATAACCTCTGCTTTGTATCTGTAGTAGTCTCCTTTCATCTTCAAAAAGAAAATGTTGTACTCAATGTTCTTCTTTGCATCCTCCAGACTTAGTATATATGTAGTGATGATATCCAAAACCTCATCACAGAATCTCAAGAGTTCCTCCTCAACCATCTTTATCTTTTCATCAATCACATGGACCACACTAGGGTCCTTCCCCTCAAGCTTCTGCCTTTCAGAGCACAGCATTCTCCAGCTGGACCTTCTCGAGCTCACCAGGTTTTTGTATGCAACGGAAAAGAGGTTTCTTGCCATCACATTAAGAGTATGCTTTTCCTCATGTGCAAGCATCACAGCGTGTTTCATCTCCTTTGCCATGTCATCGTATCTCTCAGCCATGTCGCTAAGGTTTGCCTTTTGTAACGCCTCTTCGTACTGCTTGGATGCCATTTCTCAAGCCCCCGGTGATTTTTATTTTTATTCAAGAGAGGATGTCAATGGATTTAGAGCAGAGAAAAATTATCCCAGCAGGGCTGATGGACTGGTATTTGAAGAAGTATCCGGATGCCAAGACCCTTGCGGCCAAGCTTTCGAAGCTGGCATTGTCCGACGGGGTAGATGTATCGGAGTACCTAGACCCTGAGAACCTGGAGCTGGCAGACCACATATACACGGGGAGGCTATACAGATCAAGGGATGTCAGAAAGGTGTTAAGAAGGATTGCTGGGAAGGAAAGTTCAAGGGTAGAAAGGATTATGTATGAAATGTTTTGCAAAAGAAAGATTGTTTTTGACAATTATCTGCTTAAACTGTCTTTTGTAAGGAGATTTGGAAGGTTCAAAAGGTTCTTTGTTGATGGAAAAGAAGTTGAATACAAGATGCAGATGATGGTTCATAGGCAGCTCTATCTTGGAGAAGATGTTACCAAGGAGATAGAGAAAGAGATTATGAAGATCCCTGGTGAAAAGGTATGGGTTTATGTTGGATTTCTTGGGGGTTCACTAAGCCGAGATGTGATTATGAGAATCATGGATTGCGTGGACATTGAGGTGAAGCCTTTTGTTGGCTCTTTCTTGTCAATGGAAGATTACTATAACAAAATGTGCTACGCGGTTCTGAAGTCACCCTTTTCGGAGAAGGAAAGAATAGTCTCTTCTATGGGTACACTTGACAAGGCCCAGTTTTATAAGGCAATGCTTCACGTATGGTTTTCTGAGGGCGCAGAGAAGAGAAAGTTTATCGACTTTGTGGAATTGATGAGATTGGTGAAGGTAGGCAGAAGTATGAAGATGGAAATAATTAATGGATATCTAAATGGGCTTGTCTACCACCGAATGCTGGAAGAGTTTGTGAAATTATTTGAGTATGTAAGGAGAGCGGGGGTCGATGAGGATAAAGTGTTTGGGAGGCTCTATAGTGCCATTCGTAAGTACAAGAAAGGAGGAAGGTTGGAGCTTTCAGGGTTTTTAGATAGATGCAAAGAAGGGAGGAGGAAGGGATTGTTTTCTCCGTATAGCTGGGAGGATATATATGATGTGTACAAAGAGTGATTCTAGTTAAGTCTTTGGATTGGGACATGGAAGGGAAATAAATTTTGTTATCTTTCATCCTGGAGATGGTAGTTATAGGTAGGGAAGAGGAATATCTGAAGCTAGAACGATACTTGGACATATTTCTTAGCACTGAAGCAGGCGGGATTGTTTACATAAGCGGGGTTCCTGGGGCCGGAAAGACCCATACGGTACTTGAGTTAATGGAGAGAAGGCAAGTTTCATATCTATTCCTGAATGCAACGGAATTGAGGATGAAAAGAGAAGTTTATAAGTGGATCCTTACGAATTTACCTTGTAGTTCGGGCTCCAAGAGGATGCACTTAATGAATTTGCAGCAGCATTTTATGGAATGCACTTTACCGCATGTGATTGTGATTGATGAGGTGGATATTCTTGTAGGAAAGACCCAGGAAGTCCTGTATAATGTATTTGATATGCCGTATCTAAAGAATAGTAAGGTACTCCTGTTTGTGATTTCCAATACCATAAACCTTCCCGAAAGGCTGTTTGAACCCAAGGTTTGCAGTAGAATAGGAGGAAGGAGAGTCAACTTCATGCCGTACACATCAATGCAACTGTGTTCCATGGCTGAAGGACACAGAATGAAAAGAAAGTGTATTGAGCTTATTTCAAAAAGAATTGGAGCAATCAGTGGAGATGTCCGGAAGGTGAAGGATGTGATTGATAGGGTTAGGGAAAGTGAGAAAGGGGAGGATGCTGAGGTGTTGGATGTAGACGGTATTATGAGAAAGATGTATGCACCGGTGTACACATATTGTTTGCAAGGACTATCTTTCTATCAGAAGGCTATCCTGTTTTTGTTTAACGAAAGTGAACGAGAGCGAATGAAGGTTAATGAACTCTACGAAGAGTTTATTTCTTTCTGCAAAAGATCCGATGTGAAGGAGGTTGGGTTTTTTGAATACTTGGATCTTATTGAAGCATTGGTAGGATATGGGATTCTCGGATGTAGAAACTCTGGAAAAGAAGTTTTAGCGATGGTTCTAAAAGAGGAGGTTGAGAGGAGTCTTGAATGTGACAATGAGTACCTAGAGATGTTTAGAAGGAGTGGCAACCGGAGATGGCCTAAGGAGACCTCTGGTTAAATCTTTGAGAGGCCGGACCCATCTAATGGATCAGAAGCTCAAACACTTTCTTGACAACTCAAACTTCCGAAAGGACAGAAGAGGCAAGAAAAAGAAAGTTGAAGTGTCAGGAGGAAAGAGCGAAGAAAGACAGGAGGAAATCCTGATGATCAAAGACGGGGAGATTGTTGTCAATGATGCAAACATGTATGTGGACACACACAAGGATATGGAAATGGAGGTGATGGAAGACGATAGGATTGTGACATCGTCGACGTTTAGTAAGAAGAAGGGGGCATTGAGGTGGAGCAAGAAGGAGATAGAGTTGTTCTACAAGGCACTGGAGATATGTGGAATCGAGTTTTCGCTGATAAGCTCATTATTCCCGAATAAGGAGAGGAAACATATAAAAGCAAAGTACATAAAAGAAGCCAAGGTCAATCCAGAAAGAATCAATGAGGTGTTGAACGAATACAAAACGTTTGACCAGGTAGCCTACAACAAGCTCAGAAGCTATCTTCTTGAATAAGAGGACTTTAATAAATATATTTCATCTTCTTACATGGTCTTACATCAACTTCTTCTTGAGAGTTTTTGGGTACATTCTTGTGTTGGTAACTCTAGAGAACTGCATAAATAGTTTGTAATAGCCTACGACTAATAACACCGCTGTAAAGACCAAGACTGCCCTCATCAGTATTGTCATGTAGCCTAGGAATGGGTAGATCCAGTAGTCGTTGAGCTTCTGGAAGTGGTGAATGACGATGAAGTAGGTAAAGCCAAATATGCCAAAAAACCAGTAGTGCCTTTTTTTCTCATAAATATTAACTCCCACCTGATCTACAAGAAGAACAATAAAGGGAAATAAATGAAGAGATACCTCGCATATCAACGGCGTTCTAACGCCTGCAGTATAAAGCTCCTTATTCTTCAGTAGTGTTGGATCTATGGAGTTAAGTGTCCAGAATACTGTTGTCACAAGGCCTTCCATTGGAAGAGTGATGGAAAGAAAATCCCTATATATCTCCTTGATGCTTGAAACGCCCATGTGCTTTACACAGTAGCTTAGAACCAGTGTTATTATTGTCATGTAGAGGCTTAGTTGAGTTATGTAGATATGGCTGCCTCCAGCAAGATTATTGACGAAATCCACCCATTCTTTTGGCTGGGAATAGTCTGTTGCTCCATAAACACAGAATATCAGAAGAACTCCCTTGAGAATTTCCTTTGATGCCGACAGGTACCTAAACTTTGCCATAAATAAGTTGTCAAAGCCTTGTGGGATTAAGCTAAAATATACTTTGGAACAGTTAGACCTCAATGAACTAATGAACTCAAGGTATGTCTTACAGAGGGTAGTTACAAACCAATGATACAGAATTAATCATTTTCATTCGGTTGCTCATACTCCTGATAGATTAAGCTATTAGTTGCAAGAAGGCCCATGTAAAATAAAGTGCCTATGAAACATGCTATCAAGACAAAGAGTATTCTTTGTACCCAACCCATTTTTCTGAATATAGGATACGCCCACTTCCCATTATTCACAAAGGAGAAATAGCATATCTCGAGAAAGTATAGAGCACCAAATCCAAATATAAAGTAGATGCATCTTTTTCTCTTCTGTAGCCTTACATCTGCTTGACATATTAACAGGAGAATGATTGGGAATAGGTGGGCTGAAAGCTCTGTTAGGAAACTCTCACGGATTCCCCGCTTATAAAGGCTCTTATTCTTTAGAAGGGTTGGATTAATAAAATACAGGGACCAAAACAACGTTGTCACGATACCTTCCAAGGAAAAGGTCACAGCTAGCATGTCCTTGTAGATTTCCTCCAGCCTTTTTCCAACTCTGGTTTTGCTAATATATCCAAGGACTGTTGAGATTATGGTTAAATATAGAGTTATAATAGTAAGATACACGAACTTTCCTCCAGAAGTAGCATTGCTCATTTCTACGATCTCTGGTGGGAGAGAGAAGTCTGTCGTTGCGTATACACAAAAGCCTAGGAATACCAACTTTAATGCCTCTTTTAAAACTGACCTTGTTTTTCTTTTTTCCATGGGTCTTGTTTTAAGATTTCAAAAATAGTCATGGAGAGGATACTGCGGGAGCCTTTTTGTTTTGAATTTTATAGGAGGGGAGTAGAGATGTGGAGGCCGAAGAGTAGGTAGACCTGAGATAAAAGAATAAAAAAGCAACCCTTGAAAATATATAAGGATGTTAAAGATATACGAGGATATAATCAGTGAGGTTATATCCAAGCTTGAGCAGGCTGGGGATGAAATCAACATGGGCAAGTCTGCAATTCACGAGCTCAGGAATGAGTGGAGGGAAAGGCTCATTGAATACACACAAGGCGAATGGGGCGGTGAGAGGAATGGATGTAATGATGGTGAAGAGGGATACCGCGGGTACGAAAGACCTTCAGAAGGACGTGTAAATGGCTTTAATGGAAAGACAACGGTAGAGAAGGATGTTGGGATGTTTGAGGACTATGAGAGCCTAAGCGCTTCGAGTGGTGATTCCGAGATAATAGGGAAGAAGGACAATGTTGGGAATTGCATGGTTTGTTTATATGTGAAGGTTAATATGTCCAAGGGGAAGTGGAAGTGCACATTCAAGCAAGGGTTTATTAGCATAGGGAATATAGACTTTGTGTTTAACTCTGCCCAAGGAGAGCTTGAGTGGTGAGCAATTTTATTTAATAAAGAATCCTTGTATATCTGGAAATGTTTGAGGAGTCAATAGTATGAACCCTTCTAATGGGGATCAAACAACTGTCTAAGCTCCTAAAGGAGAATAGCGTGAAAGGGATTAAGGAAAGACCGCTGGCATATTACTCGTCGAAAAGAGTGGCGATTGATGCCTCTATGTCGATATATCAGTTTCTGATAGCCGTTAGGTCTGATGGGTCGACTCTTGGGAATGGAGATACCACGACATCCCATTTGGTGGGTCTTTTTTACCGAACGATCCGGATGGTTGAACTAGGAATAACGCCTGTATATGTGTTTGATGGGGTACCGCCTGAGGTCAAGATGAAGGAGTTGGGAAAGAGGAATGAGAGAAGAGCAACGGCCGATAAAGAATATAAGGATGCATCTGAAGCTGGAGATAAGAGACTTATGGAGATGTATGACAAAAGAAAGACAAAAGTAACCGGAATCCATGTCGAGGAGTGCAAAAGACTTCTTGGATTGATGGGAATACCGTTTGAGACGGCGCCCAGCGAAGCAGAGGCATATTGTGCCCTTCTATGCAAGAAGAGAGCTGTCTATGGAGTTGCAACCGAAGACATGGATTCCTTGACATTCGGGTCCCCTGTTGTACTGAGGAATTTTAGTGGAACCCGAAGTAAGAAGCTTCCTGTTGTTGAATACAATCTACGACAGCTACTTGAGGACCTCTCTTTGGATCAAGATGAGTTTATTGATCTATGCATTCTCCTGGGGTGCGATTATTGTGATACCCTGAAAGGAATAGGGCCTAAGAAGGCATTAGGGCTTATAAAAAAGCACAGGAGCATTGAGAGAATTCTTCAAGAAGAGAATCTAGAAACACCTGATGAGTGGCGATACGAAGATGCTCAGAAAATATTCAGAAACCTTGCAGAGATTGGAGATGCAAAGGAATTCAATATTTCTTGGAAATCGATTGATAGAAATGGAATTGTGAAGTTTCTTGTCGAAGAGAAAGGATTTGATCTAGAAAGAGTCAACAAGGGAGTTGACAAACTTATAAATTCTGGAAGAAAAAGCACACAAGGGAGGCTAGATGGGTTCATAGCAAAAAGTAAATAAAGTTGATGATACTCACAGAGTTTTATACATTAGGTTCCTCAAATACAAGGGCCTGGTGTTGGACACGTGTTTTTTGAAGCTATATGCATCCACAAGTAGGCAACCCTCTTTGTCTATAAGTCCGGAATCAAGAATATCAAGAAAGTAGAACAGGATCTCCATACTAGTTGCTCCCTTGAGCTCGTTGACATCTGATGTAAAAGTTCTGAACTCAGATACACAGTTGATGTACTTTATCCTTTTCCTGAATGCTACCAACATAAGTGCTATATGAATCGGGTTGAATAGGGTGTAAAGAGTTTCTATGGTATACTCTGGAAGCTCATATTTCTTTATGATTATCTTTTTCGATAAAGCCGAGATACTTGGATCAATGCTGTACTGTCTTTGAATCTCTTCGTCCTCATCTATCCCTGTAAGTTGGCTGTATAAAGCTCTATATGATTCAAACGGAAGAAAGCCTATGAAAAAGACCCGGTGGTTGAATCTTGATTTAACCCGCCTTTCCAGTCTGTCCACAGAGGTACATGAGGTTGACACAAGAACTAAGCAACAAGAATGTCTTCTAGTCTTTTCAAGGTAATGGTATATATGCAGCTGGTAAGAGATGGGGATTTCGTGGTTTATATCAATGAAAAAAACTTTTCCATCTGGATTTTCATCCTTTGGAGTGGTCGGGTGAATATCCACAACTGTTCTGCTTATTCTCTCTGCATGCCTCTTCAGTGATTTGATGACCATCGCAAGTATCTCCTGGTCTAGTCCGCATAAAAGAAAATGCTCTCCATTTCTATCTACAAGACGTGTCATCTCAGACATCGTTTCTCTAAAGCATATTTCAACCGCTTCGTCCATGGAGGGAGATAAAAGGAAGACGATCTTTGTAACAAAAGGAGTGCTAGATCCCGGGTTCGAACCGGGGACACCTAGATCTTCAGTCTAGTGCTCTTCCACTGAGCTAATCCAGCTGCGCTATAAGTAAAGGCTCTACATCCGAGACTCGTGGCGTGCTTTTCATCCCTCTGTTTACCTTAAGCCCAAAGAATGGGCCACGATACTAACAACATCTCATTAAGAGAAATATTCTCCTCTCCACACACAGATCTTCTCTTAGCAATGGAATACATGCATGAACACCCATCCATAGGTGTCTGGCAATACATATGCAATAGAATTAGATACTCTGATCCTCAGACCCACTACTTGCCGCAACTTGTTCATGTATTTCTCCACAGTAAAGACAGGGTGTCCAGTAAACCAATCCACAACCTTCTGAGACATTGGGCAGCCAGAGACAAGGGTTTTTGCTGTGCATTGTACTTCCATTTAAGAAGTGCTCTTGAAAGCACCAATGACATAAGGTCCATATCCTGCTACTTTTTGATCTGCGATATATTTGAAATGGAAAGAAAGAGAATGTGTAGAAACACAAAGATCCTAGAAATACAGCATAAATACAGGAAAAAAATAGGCAGAACTTTCTGTGTACCTGCCTCAAGAAAAGGATATCCCCCCCTCAAAGGAATCCTTCTATTTTTTGTGAAGTCTGTGTCATGGATAGCTAATCCAAAGCTTTTCAGAAGAATTTGCAAATATGAGGAGATGTTTCTGGAAACAAGAAACGTATACAATATAAATGTGAAGAAGGATCTAAGGTTTGGAAATGCATTTGACGGATGGGGGATAGATGCAAATGTTTCGTTTCTCGAGTCACTCGTTGAGATCCCCAACAGGCTCAAGAAGCTTCCAAGGCACTTGAGAGAAAAGGGATTAGAGATGGAGATCAAACTGTTAAATCACAATCTACCTGCAAGAGTATCCCTTCCGTTCCACTCAAAGAGATTTGTGCTAACTGCCAGGATAGAGGAGTCCTTTCTTCTGGATTCTGCCGAAAACTCCCCATTTCTTGTTGTATTTGAAACCGCATTGGAGGTGCCAAGAAAAAGCTGTGAAAAAGAAGAGATAAAGGATGCCCTATTTCTGAAGCAGCAGCTGGATGCAGTCAGTGGGCTTTCTTCATTAAGCGAGATACATGTCGTCAAGGAGAATGTGATGGCCTCCATAGAAAAGATCCTAATGACCAAAAGATATGAGGATGCCCCCCTTGATCATTCCCTAGATGCTGTGGCTTTGCAGAACAATGAAGAAAAAAAGGAGCAACACCTTGATGATATCTGTATTAGAAAGAAGGCGTCAAGACATGGCAGAGACAATGGGATTCTTCTTATGAACTCCAGGTCGTATTCTGCAGGACAGCTAGGACAAGGATACACCCCTATTTCTTTATCCAAGGAAAAAGAAAACCCAAGCACACAGACTGGATATAGACGCCATAACGGGTGGATACTTAAGAAGGCAGAGCTCAAGAGAACTTCTTTGTTCAATAGGGAGATCGGATGGTGTGCAGAATCCATAATTGTTAAGACCGGGGAATCCTTAAAACAAGAACTGATGGCCCATCAGATTCTACTTGAGATGAGGAAGATCTGGAAGGAGGAGAACAGCCCTCTGTGGGTTAATCCATACCAGATCTACCTTGTAAACGACACGAGCGGGATAGTCGAGACTGTGGTCGATGCCACATCAATACATAAGATAAAGAAGAAGATGATGTCTGAAAATAAGAATTACTCTCTGAAGAACTACTTTGTGGAGTCCTTTGAGCTGAATAGTGAGAAGTACAAGAGTTGCTTGAGAAACTTTTTATATTCTCTTGTGGGATATTCATTAGCTACATACATTCTTCAGGTTAAAGACAGGCACAATGGAAATATAATGATCGATGAGCAAGGGCATATTGTCCATGTTGATTTTGGATTTATAATGGGAAGCCATCCTGGATTCTATTGTGTTGAGGCAGCGCCATTCAAATTCTCGAAAGAGTATCTTGAACTTCTCGGAGATCTTATGGATGAATTCAAGAGCCTATTTCTTCAAGGGTACATGGCACTGAGGAAGCATAGCAGTCGACTCTTTAGGATTATGGAAACGATGCCTGGAAGCTTGGCCGTAGAATGTTTCAATGGAAGAGAAGTCCAGAATTTCAAGGACAGATTCCGGATGGATCTTAGCGAGGAGAGGATCGAGGAGCATGTGACATACCTGATAAATAAGAGCCTTAACAGTATGGGTACGGGTTTATATGACTCTTATCAATATTTTTCATATGGATATCTTTAATTTGGGATTAAACGACTTTTTTGTTATCAAGAATATCCTTTACATGTTGTTCAGAAGAATCCAACTGCCAAACAAGCCTCTGGTGATTTCATCTCTGGGAGACTCTATATACATTGGAGATGCCCGTGGGTATGTATATGAGATGAAGCCTCCATATATTACTCCGATGGTTATATTTCAATCGCCTGGACCTGTATCTGCATTAGCCATTGGAAAACAAGTGTATTATGGTAACTGGGATGGGGATGTGGGAATTGTTGGAGGAAGGAAGATTAATTTAGGAAATCAAATAGTGAAGTGCATGGCGATTCACAAAGGTAGAATCTATGTGTCTGTAGGGCTGATGATATATAGTTTAACCCTTGGTCTGGAGATAGAATGCTCTTACGAGGTTAAACATAAGGTTCTATGTATGAGTGATTTTCAAGGGTCTATTTACTGTGGAATGGGTGTGCCGTTTCTGTTGCGTATTCATAATGGGGTTGAGATTATTGGAAGGAGTTTGCATGACACATCCATCTTCTGCATCTGTGGAGAGTATACAGGGTCTGCAGATGGAAGAGTTTTGAGACAGGACTATTCTGATTTGGATAATGCCGAAGAGATCTACAAAGGAGATAGCTGGATTAGATCGATGTACAATCAGTATCTATTCTCTGATGGAAGAAGTGTGATGGCAGACCTTGACAAACTAAAAGGGAATGGAGGTGGAGGAATAAAACCTATATATTCACATGAGGAAGATGTAGTTGGTGTAGTCAAAGTAGGAGGCAAGATTATTTCGATTGGGCTAGACTATTGCTACTGTGTCTTTGAGATCACACCAAGCCTTAGTATAGAGGAAGAAATGGAGATAGCAGAGCTTATGAACGGGTGATATTCCTTTAAATAGAAGTCTGGAGAATATGTTTGTTTAAAGTTGCTTAAGATTAGAGGAAGGATATAAACAAAGCTGGAATGTTTCTGCCTCCAGATACAAACACAAGGGAAAGAAGAAGGTTTGATCTAGACGACCTGCGTGTTTATTATCTGATATGTGAAGAGCTTGGAATAGCGGAAGAGGAGCACGTACAGAAGTCCTTTTACTACTTGATGAAGTGGGCGGGACAGGATAAATTCAGCGGAGAGATAGGATTTCTTAGGAACTACATAATGAGGATCAAGAAAGAAAGACGAGATAAGCATGGGGAATGGGATATGTTAATGCTGTGAAAGAGTTTGATAAAAACCTTCAGTTATGATATCTTTCTATACCTTCATACCAATTCAATTTTTCAATAGTATTTTATTCATCATTAATCTCGAGTTTGGTAGACCATTAACAAGGCACAGGAAAGAACAACAATTATAACAAACTCTATCATACCAAACAAGATGATCAGGATCGGTAGAAAGGATGGTTTTTCGGACAGAATTCTAAATCCCCTCCTACCCAGGGTTGAACAGACTTTACCTGATATGGCTGCAGTGATTCCCACCATTAAGCATGCAGAGAAATATGAGATGCTCTTTGCCATGTCTAGCTTTTCATCTATGTTTGTTGCGATGATCAGGGCAACAAGGAAGCTACTGAAAAATATTGTTGACACCATTATCATGATGAAGTATGTAGGGCCAAGTATGGATCTATTCCGGCTGCATAGAATTGATGCTCCTCCTGAGGAAGCCATGCCCTCACATGCACCATAAACTGCAAGAGCCATCTCTATAGCAAGACCTATGGAGACAATCGAGAAGGCTGTGTCACTGTCATTTCCTGCATCCATTGAGATGATGGGCCCCATTAACAAAAACATCAAATCATCAGCTTTGAAAACAAGATCCCTCTAAACCTTGAGCGAGGATGCTTGAATACTATGGGGTGACGGAATTGACAGGGAAGTCTGGGACGGGAAAGACGGCAATTGCTGTTGAAGAATCAAAAGAGCTTGCAACAATATACATAACAACAACTACGTTTTGCATTGGAAGGTACAAGGGGGCCTCCAAAGAAGTGATGGACCGAATTATTGTAAAGTACATCCCAAGCATTGAATATCTAGCATCCTTTGTTATGAATTCCATGGAGAGGATTATTGTGGAAAGAAGAACCGGGCTGGTCATTATAGATAGCCTAGATCATCTTCTTGCTACAGAAGGTATGGGAATGGATCGAGGCATTCTTTTCGGAGTGGTCAATAGACTCAAAAGAATGAACCAGAAGTATGGAGTGAATATCCTAGTTGTCACCTACCATTACGGCAGCTGGACCATCGGAGCCTTCTGTATACCTAATCCTATGCTTGGGCTCCAATGGATGTATATGGTGAACACAAGATACGTTTGCTCTAGAGCTGGAGACAAGAGAACGCTCAGACTTGTTAGATCTCCCTTCATGAAATCAAAAGCCTGGGAATTTGTGATTGGCTCATCCGCAGTTATGATTACATCAGAAATGCCAGAGTAAGTGAAAGGATATTCCGATGCCTGTTTAGTAAATATTTTATCTATCCACATACCGTCTGACATCCGATGGCAAGCAGAACAGGACTTCCTCTCAAAATCCTATCAACCTCTCTTAAGAAGCTCAGATACATCTCGGGTGCAATGTTTTGCGGTAGAAAAGAAGTCTCTCATGTAGAAATTGCCGGCACGTGTATATATAAAGGGAAAACCTCTTCCAGGATATTGGACTTTTGCGGGGAAGTACCTGTAGAAATGGGAGACCAGGAAATAGACTTGGGCTCATCCTACCTGCTTGTATGCAAGATATACATAAGAAATGGGGTCATAGGCTTGTACTGTAAGTCTGCACGGAAGATGGGGATTTTTGAAGAAATGTTTTTCTGGGCTGAAGTAGTAAGCCTGGGGAGAACACTGCAATGCATTCGAAACAGACACTGAAATTTAATATTAAATGATATTTGTCTTCAGGTCCTTCACGGTGTTAGAGGCTGCTTTACTTTCAGTTCTCTCAAGCAAGTCTGGATCAGAATACCCCATCTGGAGGTGAACAGCATATTTGCTTCTGTCAAGGACTTCTTTACTGAATTCGATTTTAGACTTAGTTGAAAGTTGTGGCCCAATAAATGGCCCAGAAAATACCTTTTCTTTTTGCAGCTGTCTGCTCAATGCATACAAGCAGATCACCACCTGCTTCAGGTCTTTTGCTTCAAACAAATCGTTGGTCTGAAACAATTCGTATTCATTCATGTTAAGCTTCTTGAGCCCGTTTATGAATGAACAGATGTTCTCTCTTTGTACGAATATCTGCCTCGACTCCTTGTACTTGACGTTGAGAGGTGAAACCTTATTGAGAAATCTACAGAGTTTTACTCCATCCTTGAATAAGTCATGGAACGTCCCAGGCCCAAACTTCTCTCCAAGGACTGCCTCAATCCACAGTGTCACTTCCTTTTGCTGTTTGTCCATCTCAGGGCATATGTTTTTATCATTTACTTATTTGAGCCGCAGTAACAAAAATCAAGGTTCAGGTAATACATGCTCCAAAATTGGAATAATTGAAGAAAAGGTAAGATTTTATTGGGATCTTCTACCCTTTGGCTTCTGGATAAGGAAGTCTAGGAACACAGCTACAATGGATATTGTTATGATGGAGATCACTAGCGTACTCAAAAGGAACGATACAATAAAAATCCCGGTTAATGCCCATGAAGCTGTGCAGATAGTTAACACCAGTATTAGGAAAAGTGTCTTTATGGCACTAATGCTATCTCTATAAAGACTTATGCTCTTTCCTTCAAGATCAGTTGTGAGGATTTCATATGTAGCCTGTAGGCTTCCATGGCAAAGTCTGTTTATAAAGTACCTATGCAATCCTATTGCCCCATCTCTCAGCCTATCAATAACACCCTGCTTCCTTCTGGAGAGTAAATGGCTTTTCAAAGCAAATGAGCCCGAGTACTGCATCGAGAGTGAATTTCCATTGTTATACCACAAGTTCTTCAGCTGTTCGTAAAAACGCTCCTTGTTCTCAACATTGAAATGGGAGATCTGCTTTTCAAGCATGAGCTCTCCAATGACAAACTGAGAAATGTTTGTTCTGTCTAAGCAATCAATGCAGTTCGTACGGATGACTCCATTCTGAGGCTTTCCAAAGATATAATATCCAAACAAGGAAAGGTCCTCCTCTATCAACTTTAAGAACTTTTCCCGAGTGCTTTCTTCAGCAATGCCTCCCTCTTCAAAGAAGTTGAAGTGTACGCCTTTCTTATTATTTCCAAGAAGCTCCTTTTCATATTCACAGTGTAGCATCCCCTCGTATCCGGTGTTTCTTATGAGATTCAAGTACAAGACATCCCCGTACTTATCTCTCATCACCTTGTCTGCTATATGAAGTACCTTTTTATTGCTGATAATTATCCTCGGGTTGTATTCCCTTCCAAGCACGTGCTCCCATATCAAAGGAATAGACCCTCGTACCTGGAGGAATGATGTTGTCTTCTCGCCCTCGTAGACAATCTGTTCTGTCTCTACATAGTTTGAGACATATCCTATTGCGTTCGAACCTCGACAGAAGTATCTGGCCCCGACCCTTCTCCAGGACCTTCTTGAGATTAGCCTTAGACATATTGATCCAACATCCACAGATCCAAAAAATCCTTGTATGCAGCTCACAGAAAATAAGGAGCCTTGATCTCCAGTATACTTTAGGAATTTCTCAAGTGGTAATGCATTGAAGAGAAAATCTGTATCGTCATCCTTCTTTACGGCTAAGGTTTTGTGAAGGGGATATGTGCTGAAGTACACCCCGCTATTTCCAAGGAACCTTCTCACTGCCTTCATTTCATTCTTAAAGCTCTCCATTCTCTCTCTTTTTAGTTGAATGATCTCCACATCTTTGATCTCATATACAACATGATCATACATCATCCCTCTCATAATAGCATCTACAACTAGGATAAGATAAGAAGATTTGGAGATGGTAACTATTCCATAAACACCATATGAGTGGCAAGTAGATATTCTTGTGCCGTTATTCTGCCTCTTAATGGTCAGGGCTGTGCCTCCTGTGATGTTCTCTAACACAACTTGCTCTGGAGAAGAAGTAACCTTCAAGTTTATTCCCATGTCCATTTTTATAGGTGTTCTCCGGGGTTCAGGAAACATTTATTATATGACATCGAAATGATTTATTAATACTAAGAGTTAGAAGAAAGAGGGAGATTTCGATCAATAACAGGAAAGAGCACAATAAAAACAGGAATCTTGTTGCACCCATTCAATCCTAAGCATGATAACCTTACCCCATCTATCTCATCATGTAGTTTAAATGGTAGAGCTCTTATCTTAATAGACCTAGCAACCTTGGCCTAATTAACTTGTTAAAGAAATATAATTTATCTTTTGACCTCTTAAATAATTCAAAAATTGTTGGGGGTATGGACAACTTTGGAAGCAGCTTCTTTAACTCGTATACCAATAACTCTAATAGGGAGGCTGAGGGAGGCCAATACTTCGATCCTTACTTTGTCAAGCACAGAAAAAGAACAACAAAGGCACAGCTCAAGGTTCTCGAGGAAACTTTTGAGACTAACATCCGACCAGATGCAAACATGAGAAAGAAGCTTGGAGAACAACTGGGGATGACACCCAGAAGTGTTCAGGTGTGGTTCCAAAACCGGAGGGCAAAGATCAAGAAGCTTACACAGAAGAAGATGATGCAGCAAGAAAACACAGACAACACCAAAGGGCCCGAAGCATCCCGTTCATCAAGCCCGTCTAAAGACCGCAAGTATAGCAACTACCATCCATATGTGCCTTTGCAGGCCCCATTAGAGGAATTTAATGTCTATCCGAGAGACAATAGTGTCTATAAGCATTCTATTCCACAAGGTATGTCATCGCCAATCATGTATGAGGGGTTCGGTTACAGAGGACATGAAGAATATGGATACCCTTATGTACAGAGATATGGAAATGGTGAATACTATCAGATGCAATATCCATATGGAATGGCACAAGCTCAATGGCATCAGCCTCCTGGGTTTAGAGATGAGGATTACTACCACTCAACTAGAAAACAGCAATATAGAGGGGGAGCGCCCAACCCTGAGAAGATGTAGCCCACCCAACCACATCTCATAAATTCATAGTTTGCAAAGGTTGTTTGCTATCGGCTTTCGCCACCAATAATATTAAAGCCTTATCAAAATGCCTTGAGGATATTATCGTTGCAATTTATCTCCATATAAGTGGATTAATTAGACAATGGGTCCTTAGAAAGAGAAGAAATTGTGTAAAGTCTTTTTTATTGATAAAGACTACTTGTACCTGCACACGCAGCCATGTGATCCGTTCTTCGAGCATTTTGAGTCTCCTTCTCTGTCAGGGTTCGAGCACTTGCACTTGTCCATATCTCCCGAGGAGCAAGGAGGGCACTTGCATGACTTATCGGTACATTCAGTGTTTTTGCAGGTTTTGTCTTCTTTCATAAATATTGTTTTTTTCTGTGTATATAAGTCTTTATTTGACTATTGAAACATAAGAAATTTACTTTGACAGAACAGACATCATGAATGGCGTCATCATTTCCGATTAATAGTGAATTACATAACAGGCTAGAACCTATCTATTGGAGGATCAAACAGGATATCCTCCGACTGGGTCTCTCCTCTTCTTCTAAAGTAGCGTATTCCAATAAACAGCAGATATGATAGAATAGATATGGTAAGAAAAATGAATCCAATGGCAATGACATCTCCGTGGACCTCTCCAAAGCTAAAGATAGATCGTTGCGAACGGCCTTCACATCTTAGGCGTGGTATCTTCAGCACACTATACGACCCTCTGGTGTTCCAGAATGAATTCTGGTTTAGGTATTCCCAGATCTGGGGAAATGCAGCCCTTGGAGATGCTTCTAAGAAAAGGGCAATGGAGCTTGCAACTATTGCAGCCGACAAGCTTGTCCCTACAATGTTACTGTTTCCAAGAACCTCTTCTCCTAATGCAAATATCCTTACACAATCTCCATGATTTGAGAATTTGGACACTCCTGCATGCTTATTCACAGATCCAACATTTATGGCTGACCTCGAACTTCCAGGAGAGTAATTACAGGACTGGTCGTGGAAATTTCCGGCTGGAGTAACAACAATAATCCCACGACTAGATATGCGATCAACAATCGAGTTTAAGACCTCGGAATAAGGCCCCGAAACACCAAAGACAAGGATTCCGGGGCCCTTACCATCTCCAAGGTTTTCCAATCCATAAATCATCTCAGAGAGAGTAACCTTTCCATCACACCCAACCACATCAAGGACACTTAAATGGCTTCCCTTGGCAAATCCGTTAGCTTTTCCAACCAAAAGTTCGGCCATCATGTCTCCATGTATATTGCATGATTCAAGGCTCCCGCTAAGGTTACAAACATTATTCATAGGCTTGGCCGTTGTGTCTAAAAGAAAGATGCTTACCCCCTTTCCGGTGTGATAGTATTCATAGAACCCAAGAAACCTTACTATCATTTTCTTGACCTGAAGTACCCGGAAAAACCAGTTGTCATAGAAGTAGTTGTTGAAAAGAATATTCTCGTAATGCTTCATCAAATACATGTAGTTCGGGATGTTGTTTTGAAATGCAGATACACCATAAATCTTGTCTTCTTCTACACGCATTCCTACTTCACTAGCCCTTGCTAACACATCTTCATTGCTTGAACAGAACGACATGCCTGTGGCATTCTTAGTGTACTGCCTCTTGACCTTTCCATTCAGATTCTCCACAAGAGACATCACTCTTGACAAGTCTCCGTCATGAGCATCCTTTATCAGAATGTAACACTTTTCCACTCCAATAAATCTACTATTGTCTTTGCAGGGAAGATCTGTTAGCCCGTCACTTATCTTTTCTTGGCCTTCGTAATGAGCTATAGGCTGGACTTGAGCATCCTCATTAGGCCCTTCAACCTCTACAACAATCTCCTTGACTATAGTTTGTGTTTCTATTTGGACATCTGCCGAAGGTAAGTCCGCTGCCTTTTTTATTCCACACGTGTTGTTCTCTTTCTGAAAGAGGATTCCTGGCGGGTTTTCTTCCTTGTTACATCCATCTGGCTTTCCTGGAATAACAGCCTCGCCTACTTCTATTCCTTCATTTCCCAGGATCCATTGTGACATCAAAAAGATCATAACGCCCGTCAGTAACATCTGCTCCCCTTTCCATCCAGTGGAAAGTAAATCCTTGTTCTCAAAGATGTGATACCAGTGTTTCATCTCCCTACTGTACAATAGAACTTAACAAATCAAATACTATGATTATCGTCCTCGTCACATGAGAAACTCACGGAATAAAGTTTAATGATTCTTAACGTCCTTCCTCCATTCTACAGGACATATCTCCCCATTCTCTTCATTAAAAGCAAGAGCATCGATCAGGCGGAGAATTTCATCTACAGACCTTCCAATTGCCGGATAGTTGACACTCATGTGTCTAGCACTCAGATCTTTGGAGAGTAACACAGTTCCTCTCATGGGATGTCCATTCTCCTCATCAAACATCGAAAATTGACTACAGAGCTCTCTTTTTGCATCCCATATCATAGGCCATGAAACACCCAAAACACCGCCTTTCTCTCTTGGAATAGAAGCCCAGGCCTTATGTGTATAAACTGAGTCACATGAGACAAGTAAAACAACAGCATTCCTCTTGAGAAACTCTTCTTTAAGATCGCTGAGCCTATTGATCTCTGTGGGGCATACAAAGGTAAAATCTAATGGATAAAACACAACCACAACGTACTTCCCCTTGTAATCCTGCAGAGATATTTCCTTGATCTCTCCATCAACAAATGCTTTGTATTTGCTATCACTAAGAACCTTGGAAAACATAATCGGGGTAGAATCATTTTTTCAAATGTAGAGATCCCGATTTCCATATATGGGTTATGAAAGATCTATGTCTTTGGATACCACTCGGTAGTCAATAACTCTTCTAACTCATACAGTTCATTACAGAAAAATCCCTTTTCTCTTGCAATGTTGAGGAGCTTTCTGGCCCGTACAAAGTTATTTCTCTCAATAATGTTTCTTCTTGCCATGTTAAATAGTGACTCCCTATAGTTTAACAGTTTGTACCTCTCTATATTCTGCTCAACCTCTTCAAGAGCTTTTTTGGCTGTATAGTTGGATATGAGATACCCTGACGCTCTTTTGTATAATCCAAGGTTTACATCATGCTTCACCTTATATCTTAGAAACGAACCTACATTCAAATCCTTGAGCGCCTTGTTGTATTCCATGAGTAGCATAGCCCTCTCATGGTCTTCAGACTTCTTAATGGCCTTGCTATCTACTGAGTTTATCGCCTCAAACATTACAAATAAGCAAAGCTCAAGGGTTTGTATAGCCGTGGTGTTTAGCTCCCTAAGACTATATAGATATACCCATCGAGCTAGCTTTCATCTCTAGATATGCTTAATGAGAAAAATTTGTGCCCTTACTAAATGAGCTGCAGGAAGTTTAGTGCGCCAAGACACGGATCTTTGCAGTTCTGCCCGAGAAAGAGGTCGAAGACAATCAGGCCGTCTCCAGGGGCGTTTCCTGCTGATGACAGTTCGCAACCTGTGCACCTCACGGGGTTCATGGGGTACAAAGCCGGAATGACACATGTGATCAGGACAAAGATCCAGGCTGCAAAGAACAAGCAGCTTTCTCGAGAGGTGATGGACGCTGTGACTGTGCTTGAGGCGCCGCCGATGGTTGTGTACGGGGTAGTTGGATATGAGAGGACTGTTACCGGCCTACGTAGATTGCCTATTGTTCTTGCACCTTATGTGAGTGACGGAGTTCTTCGAAGGATGTTTGGAAACAAGCATGTGGAGAGGGAGAATAGCAAGAGGTTCTGTGCCAGCGAGGAGACTGAATCAAGGATTTCTGAGATCAAGAAGAAAGCCGAGTGTGTAAGGGTTCTTGTGCAGACACAGCCTGGATTAATCAAGAAGCTTGGGCTAAAGAAGGCACACATTGCTGAGATCCAAGTGAACGGAGGGAGCATTTCGGAGAAAGTGGAGTGGTGCTTAGATATGCTTGAGAAAGAGATCCATATTGGAGAAGTGTTTAAGGAGAACGAGAACATTGATGTGATTGGGGTGACAAAGGGAAAGGGATTCCAAGGGACTGTGAAGAGGTTTGGAGTACGAAAGCAGCCCAGGAAGTCACGAAAGGGGATCCGGAAGGTTGCATGTATTGGGGCATGGCACCCAAGCCGTGTGATGTACTCTGTTGCAAGGGCAGGACAGATGGGATTCCATAGAAGGACGGAGAAGAACAAGAGGGTGTACATGGTAGGAAATGGGAACAGTAGTATCAGGACTGAGTTTGACCTGACCGAGAAGTTTATCTCACCGATGGGAGGGTTCCCACATTACGGAGAGGTGAAGAATGACTTTATCATGGTGAAGGGGGCTGTTGTTGGACCCCGGAAGAGGGTTGTGACATTACGAAAGAGCCTTGACCAACAGAGGCCCAGCGAAGAGCTTGTGATCAAGTTTGTTGATACGTCATCGAAGATAGGGCATGGGCGATTCCAGACAAGTGATGAGAAGAGGGCATTCTATGGAGCCAAGAAGGCCGAGGTTGCCCCAGAAATCCATTAAACTCTTCAATATTACACATCCTCTTCTAGCCTACGCAGCTCCGATTAATATTGATTATTAGGACGATTTTTCTTGAAATTATTTTGCTCTACATTTTTAACCGCCAAATATGATAAGCTCTATTGGCTTTCTTCCAAGTGGGATCTCGATCGAAAAACTGAAAAAGTTTGTGGTTGATGAGGATATACATCAGTCACTGAACTATCTAAATATCCCAGTTGTTGATAAGGAGAAGGTTCCTTTTGATGATGACATTGATGAGTCGGAAGAGATAATGGAAAATGACATTGTGGTTTTCTGCACTCCAAATGAGGACGATGTAAGTTTTTTACAGTTTTACGTGCAGAATAGAGAATGCACAAACATGTTCTTGCATCATGATACATATGTATTCAGCACCATCTGTGATTCTGAATATCTTACTATTGGAGGAGAAATGTATGTTGCACTTGCTACATTTGAAAAGGATATCATGGTATTTGATCCATTTATGAGAAATCCAATTCTCCCTCAGGTTCTTTTGAAGGGACATGAAGAAGCAGTTCTGTCTATAGAGAGCCGGGATGGAATTCTCTTCAGTGGAAGTCTTGACTCAACGATCATTGAGTGGGATACCGAGAAAGCTCTAGCCAAGAACAGGATTCAGACTATGGGGCCTGTTAATAGGATCGGTATTCTTGACTCATCTGTAGTTTATTCAGTAGAAAATTCTTTATACTGTTTAGATGAAGAAATTAAGTTTGAAGGAGAAGTTGAAAGAATAAGGATTAGAGAAAATGCAATGCTTGTATCTAACACCACTGGAACTTTGAGATGTTATGACCTGAGAAAGATGACAGAAGTGATTATAGAGAAGAGAATCCATGAAGACTCGATCACAGGGCTTGACACGCTTGGAGATAATGTGTACACGGGATCTCTCGATGGGACCATAAAGGTTGTAAGCCTTGATACATTTGGTATTGTGGGCAGTAAGGATGTTGATGAGAAAGTATTTTCTCTTCGAGCACATGAAGATGGGTTTTACGTGTATGGAGGGGAAAAGAACGAACTCGTACTAAACTACATAGACGAGCCTCTTCAGAATGATTTACAATAAAATGGCCTTAATGCTTCTATGGAAAATGATGTTTTGAAACACTGATTTAAGTCCCCAAAATGGTTTGTGTGAGGTGCAATACGTCTCAAGCCATAGTCATCCGAGCCAAGGACAGGGCCAAGGTCTGCAAGTCTTGTTTCTTTGAGGGATTTGAGGTAGATGTTCATGAAACTATAGTTTCCTCTGGAATGTTCAGAAAAGGAGATAAGGTTGGGATTGGGATGAGTGGAGGAAAAGATAGTACAGTTCTAGCTTATGTATTGGATTTGCTCAATAAAAGGCATGGATATGGGGTAGAGCTTGTATTGCTTGGTGTTGATGAAGGAATAACAGGATACAGGGACCAGTCGATTATGTCTGTATGTAAGAATAGCTCTAGGCTTGGGCTGAAGCTTAAGATAGTGTCATTTGAAGAAACATTTGGAACAACGATGGATAAGGTTGTTCGAAAAGTAGGAAGGAGAGGTAACTGCACGTACTGTGGAGTATTTCGTCGGCAAGCACTTGAAGATGCAGCAAGAAAGATGGGGGTTGACGTAATAGTGACGGGGCATAATGCAGATGATATGGCTGAGACTGTCTTGCTTAATATTGTCCGAGGAGATATTTCCAGGCTTAGAAGATGCACTTTAGCAAGAACAAAACCACAAAGGAGCGAGGATGGAAGAATGATTTCTCTTTCCAGACTGAAACCATTTAAACACATCTATCAAAAAGAGATAGTGCTCTATGCTTTTCATAAGAAGCTGGAATATTTTTCCACAGAGTGTACATACTCTCCGGGAGCATCTCGAGGGGACCTGAGAGTATTGATGAAACAACTAGAAAGAGAAGACCCAAAAGTGATATTAGATGTAATAAGAAGTGGAGACATAATTCAGCAGGAGGATTCCACACACAGATCACCTATACCATGTGTTTTGTGTGGGCATTCAACATCCTCTCGCGATGCTATATGCAATGGATGTACACTGGTACGAAGGCTGAAACAATGCAAGATCTGAAGCTATTAAAGTTTATTAGTATAGCCTACTTTTCTATTAAGGCTCTTTTCAAGAAACCAAACGGATATATGGGAAACCGAATATACAAATGTGACAATGCAGCTATATATACAGAATATTCTTATGTCAGGAAGGAGCGTCATCATTGACACAAAGACATACATCAGGGCTGTTGCAGCTGTGCTTCTATGCACCTCGAGGTGTTCTATGTGGTTCAAAAGGATGATGTACCCCATGAATGTTAAGCACAAAAGATTAAAAACAGAAGACGGCTCGTTGAACCTTGACGATAAAAGAATGAATCCTAAGAAATAGGATGTCAGTCCAAGGATTTGATTACTTGATATTCTCTTTGGTATGTTTATGCTCTCTTCAAGAGAGAGAGGTGTCTGCTCATCCTTCACCTCCATAGAAGATCTGGTGTTGTATATTGATGCAGACACAGAATCTATGATAAAAAGTATTTGCGTTATGGCAAAGTAGATGTATAATGTGTTTGGATGAATTTCAAGGGTTAGGGTTCTTATTAGGGGAGACAGCAAATATGCGAATGTTAGTAGCATGAAACCTGGCTTAAGATTGATCCCTTTATCTTCCCTGTTTTCCAGGAAGTTCTGTGTTGAATGTAGAAATAAAGAAAACCATGACGATTTGGACATTCCGGGCTTGTCTTCTAACATCATAACCTTGAAGAGAGAGAGGAACAACATCACTATGGATATCCTGATGACCATTCTATTTATATCCTCGTATATTTCATTCACGTCTCTTCTCCTGTATACCCGACGGACCTCCATGTAATTTATTGGGTATTCCTGCTGGAGATACAAGCACCGCTTCCAGGACATCTAAAGTACCCTTCACCGTCACAAGAATTTAACATCATTTATGTTATTTTTTATTTCATATGGAAGGTCTGTCAGTATTTCAAATCGAACCTCATGCATCTTGATAAGTGCCATGTAAATTTCCTTGCCATCACAATCTTCCGGCAGGAAGGACATTCCAGCTTTAAAGCAGGAGCACCGGGTTTTAATACATAGTTTCTAGGCCTTCTTATATATTCTTGCCTGCATTTCTCAACAATTATCCTTAGAAGGTACTCCTCAAGAATATGCACGAACACTGATTCGATAATTTCCCTGATCTTCATAAACAAAAAACAATCTCCCCCTGATGAAGGTTCTATTATTTGCTATTGGAGTCCTGTGCAGAAGGATAAAACTAGAGCCCAAGGAACAGTTTACCTTCCGAGATAAGGTTGTGGCAAATCAAATGTATAAGTTCATGTATCAGACACCACGGACTAGCAAGATTGAGCTAACTATGTTTGATACCAAGGGGAGGCAAATGACTAAGACAAGGGATCCATACTCAGTGATATACTCCAAGATTGCCGAGGATGGTGAGATTGTAATATCTGTCAAGAACAACAGCTCAAAAAGCGTGAAGTTTGGGTATAGATGCCCAGATACAAGCAATAAAGCTCAGGGGGGGCTTGGGCCGATAAGTGTTGACCTAGTTTCAGAGCTTCAAAATGTCCTTGAGACAGTTGTTCAGGCACAAAGAGTTCATATCAAGAAACACGAGGAACATGCAAGAATGGTTGCTGGGTCGAGAAAATGGGTCACAAGGCTCTTGATTTTTGAAACCTTGTTCTTTATAGGTGTGCTATACTTTTTGCACAAGGATATGCTGAAAATGTTTGAAAACAAGAGGGAAGTTTAATTAAAGGATTCAACTCTTTTAAAGAGCCTTACGATCTCATCTGCTGTTTCCTCCAGCGTCATACAGTCATTTTCAATGATAATTGACCCCTCGGCAGCAACAAGGGGGCCATGCTCTCTTGTCCTGTCTCCACGATCTCTTTTTATCATAGCTTCTAGCAGTTCTTCATATGATTCAGACTTACTCTCTTTATACCTTCTTTTAGCCCTTGTCTCAGGGCTTGCAGTAAGAAATATCTTCAGGTCAGCCTCAGGCATTATTTTAGTGGCTATGTCTCTCCCGTCAACAATGATCCCCTTCTTTTCAAGCTTTATTGTAGATTTTTGAATAACAGACACTTTTTCTCGGACATATTTCTCTTTGGCAATTGAAGTGACATGATAGTCAATCTTCTCGCCACGAAGGTAATCAGATATATCCTTTCCATTAAGGAACACCCTGTTGTTTCTTATCTCCATGTCCAGTCCGAGAACAAATCTTTTTTGCTCCTCATCCTTAGGCTGCACTTCTTCGAATTGACTCACTAGTGCATAAGTCACAGCCCTATACAGGTTTCCTGATATCAAGTGTGAAAATCCTAATTTTTTTGCAACTAGATCTGATGCACTGCTTTTTCCACTTGCAGCAGGCCCATCAACAGCAATTTTATACACCTTCATAGGGATATAAAATCCTTACTCTTTTAACCTCGCATTACGCTAATCCAAGAGCAACAACAATCCCGCATTCATATGCAGCAAACAAATCAGATCCTCCCATACACAAGTCTACAACCCTTTCCGAATTATCATTAAATGGCCTTCCTTTCGAATCAAGTCTCTTAAATTCCTCTTCGGAATGTCCAAGTATAACTTCATCTCCCTTTCGCACTACTTGGAAAAGAGTCTTTACTCTGGCTTTTCTTTTATTGACCTTTGCATTCCTAATGGTTCCGTCAAACCCCCCAATAAGGATCCTCTTATCGCTCGACCTGCAGCAAGATAATGAATAATTGAACATCGTGCTGGTTCTCTGGGAATCCCCTTCATCGTAAAGGACCTTTGTAATATTGTTCAATGTATCCACAATAATAAGTGTGGCTACCTGGCTTAAGTACTTGATGAATGTATATCCGGAGGGAAAGGATATCCTTTTTTTCTCCTGAAACCTATAGTCAAACCTAAATATCTTTCCGCTTATGCAGAGGGCATAGAACTCGAGGGATGATTTGTCCAAGGGTGTGCAATTCAGAGAACAGCCCTCATCTCTGCCCTCCTGAAGCGCTCCTCTTTTGATGGTTATAGATGTTATCATCCCTTTTACTCCACTAAACACGGACACAACAGAATTTTGCTGTATCCACACAAGAACCTTCCCATCAGTTGCAAAAATAAGGTTGTAGTCCCAGCAGATCTCAAAGTTCACCATCTCCTCCGTTTCGATTAGTGTCATGTTCTTGATCTCCTCTTCAAAGTCAAATCTTCTGATAAATCCATCGCTGAACAGCGCAACACAGCGGATGACATTCTTTTCCTGTATCGTTTCCATTTTTCTACAATATCCAAATTTAAAGCTTAGAACATGCCGAAGATTCAGCGACTGGTCAAATAGATAGACCTCGGAGGCCTCCGATGAGAATCGGAATGTTGACTCTCCTTGAAATCCTTCTTTAATTCCAACAAAAATGTACTTGCTATGCTTTGCAGGAAGTGACATCGCTGTTATGCACTTCCCGATGTTGTATAGTGCCAAGTCGTCAAACCCTATTCTCCCTCTAACCCTTGACAATTTATTCCTGAATACAACGCTTTCTATAGGTCTTTCCATGGCTTCTATAATTCCAGGCTTCCTGTACTTCTCGAGAATCTCTTGGCTAGTAACCCTTCCTCTTTCCAGTCGAACTATATCCAGGGACTTTTTTTTGTATCCTTTTGCACGAGAAGATAAAGTTTTTGATTGCTCAGGCTTATAATCGTCTTGGGATTCACCTCTCATCAAGGGATTTTCAAGTTACATTTTGGAAACAACAACCCATAAATAAATGGTCTTTGAATATGATCTTCCAGAGGATGCAATAGAACGCTACTCCAGGCAGATAATCGTTCCTGGAATACATGTAGAGGGGCAAAAAAACCTTGGGAGCTCGGGCGTGTTTGGTGGTCGGGTGTGGAGGTCTGGGATCCCCAGCAATCATGTATTTGGTGTCATGTGGGATCGGGAGACTGGGGCTTGTTGATTTCGATAGAGTTGAGATTCACAATCTACAAAGACAGATTATATACACTGAGGCAGATTTATCCCAATACAAAGTCGTGGCAGCATTATCCTTTGCCAGAAGAGCAAACTCTTGTATTGAGGTTGTGGGATATAACGAATTCCTCAATAAGGAAAATGTGGAAAGAATCATTAGCCCGTATGACGTTATCCTGGATTGCACAGATAGCATACATACAAGGTATCTTCTAAGCGATCATTGTAAGGCTCTTTCCAAAAGTCTTATCTGTGGATCTGTACTCAGATGGGAAGGCCAGTTGTACAAACTCACGCCTTCTGGACCTTGCTACAGATGCCTCTTTCCAAACATGAAAGGAAGAACACTGACATGTGAGGATGCAGGTGTTGTAGGGCCTGTTTGCGGAGTTATTGGGTCTTTGCAAGCCTTGGAAGCTATCAAGATCATTACAGGAGATACAAGGCCCAAGATGACTATATACAATGGAATGACATCCGATCTCATGGACTTCCAGCTTAGGGCCCCGAAGCCCGATTGCAGGGTTTGTTCAAGAAGATCCATCCCCGAGGATCTTTCCTTTCAGGTTCCAAGATGCCCGCATATTGCAAACACCGAGCTAATTGATCCAAATATAGGAACGATTGATTGGGAGAATGTTTTAAAAAACCTCAAATCCTATCTTCTTATAGACATCAGATCGCCAGTTCAGTATGAAATGTTCAGAGTAAAGGGATCTGTCAACATCCCACTTGTGAACCTGGAAGACAAAGTTAGAACAATTGAGACGGGGGGAAAAAGAGTAGGAGTAGTGTGCAGAAGAGGAATATCATCAAAGAAGGGTGCCTTGATATTCAAAGCTAATGGGATTGATGCTTTCTCTGTTAATGGAGGGATTGACGGGCTTAAGAGTTACCTTAGAAAGATGAATGAACCGACCATTTCTGAATAATTTTTTAGACCATCCCGATGGGAATGGCTGAGAAATCCTTGGAAGGTGTCTTGGACTTGGGAATTTTCACAAATAAAAGAGTATGCATTGATGAAGTTCTTCCACAGAATGCTGATTTTCTTGTTATTGGTCTTTCAAGTATCTTAGGACTTTCTATATTCACATTCAGGGAAACGGTAGATCATTACAGAAAGATTGCGAATATCCAAGATAAACAACTTGTTGTGAAGTCGATATATGATGGAGGCTACACAGAGTCTGATATCATAGATGATGTGTGGAGTGCAACAAATATATATGGATATAGAACAGATGGGAGGTTTCAAGTGTATAGGTCTAGTACCTGTAAGAAGTCTGACTGGTATGAATATGACATAATAGTCAGAGTTCTACCATTAAGTAGTGGAGTGTCTGCAGATGTTGATGGGACAATTCTTATATTTGATAGGGAAAGAAAGTATGCTGAACTTAGATACAAGATCTTAAGAGGTAAAATAGTATATTCTGTTCGATGATCTGCATGAAGTCAATAAAAGAAATTTGCCAAAATAGATCTTGTACTCTGTCAAAGATTCTCCAGATTGTACAAGTAAAACGAAAGGATTGTAGATGCCCTAGAGAAAACAGCGCCCTTGTAGTGTAGTGGTTATCACGCATCCTTTACACGGATGAGGTCCTTGGTTCGATCCCGAGCGAGGGCACTTTATTTTATACCATATGTGTTAAATTAATCTATACTACTAATAAGATCACAAAGCTCCTTCTGATTAGGATTAGAAAACATTTTTTCCGTACGTACTTTTTCTTCTAATCTATCTACTACTGTCAAAATTTCATGATATGCATATAGCAAGAAAAGTATTATAAATATAATGGTTAAGACTCTGATATATGGACGTATAAATTTGTCAGAGATCTCCAGCTCTCTATAAACCATCTGTTCGAACTTCTCTGTTGTCTTCAAAAGGAAATACGTCATAAATATACAAAAGAACGGCGTAAGGATTGTCGCCAAGAGATATGACATAGATTTTGAAGATAATTCGCTTTTTAGAAAATCTAGAAACTTTTTTTGGATATCAGAGTTTGGAGTAGTTTCTGGGTGTTTTTTAGAAAAATATATATTAGTATGCCTTATTATTCTTTCCAATACGCTGCTTTCTATTAGGCTTGAGGTTTCTTTGGAAATGGTTGTGGTTATTATCCAGTATCCAATTACTCTTACAATTACCTCTATGACTGTGTTGTTCTCTATCTCTTTAAAAAGTTCCCAAGCAGAAGTAAAGCAGTATTGTGCTGCCAACAAGTTATTAACACTTTCTGGGCTTAACCCATCGGTTATTTCCTTTATATTCTTGCCTCTTAAGAGAGTTGTTAGAATACAAATTCGAATTCCTATCATGACAGGTCTCCAGAAGTCAATAGCCTTAAACTTCAAATTAAGTGCATGAATAAGACTAATAGGAAACAGCTCGGATGCTATATTTACAAGTATAAGCAACCCGAATGTCATACAAAAATTCCTCTTGACACTAAGGAGCATCTCGAGTTCTTTGGGCATGCCTTCCATGTACTCCTCATATTTATATTCAAGAAACTTTTCAGCGCCCAAGTAGTATAGAGTCTTTTTTGGAAGCCATAGAAGATACCAACTTCCAGGAATTGTTCTGCTAAATACGTCATAAACAAAGTAAGTCTCTAACAATCTTAATATAACAATCAAGATGCAAGTCATAGAAATCCAAAAAAGCACCCAAAAAGTTCTACTTCCAAGTTTGTCATTGACTTCTGACTGAACATCTTCATCATCTACTTCAGAGAATTCTATCTTCGAATCCATTACCGGGCTAGTAAATAATTACTTTTATTTGGTTTAATGCCACGAAAAAACGTTTTGGCACCTTCAATTCTTCCATTGGATGCTGCTTTCTCAATTATATTGATGGCTATTTCCTCTCCCACATTGGAAATGTAAAAACCCAATATGAAGAGAATCAATCCATAAACAAAGAGAAGCTTATCCCTTGGGTGCCTTACATACTTTGTAAATCTTTTTTCAATCCCCAGGAGTAATCCAGATGCCAATACAACTAAATGTCCTACCAAGAATACTGGAATTATATTTTCTAAGGAGCTAGAAACCTTCTTCTGGGTTGATTCGGAGAGTCCATGAGAAAGAAAATCGATGAAAGGCCTTAAAACAGACTCCATACTTTCAAACTTCTTCTTTCTTATTGCATTTATTGCCAGCATCATCATGGTACTGATTAGAATGGATGTGATTGAACTAGAATCTAAGTCATCGGTGATCTTTTGGGACAGAAGTAAGACATAAGAGGCAAGTACTATTTTCGATACTGTTTCAAAGTTCATCTTATAATCAGGTACATGGTTCCATTCTTTGATTATACGGAGGATTACAATAAAATGAAAGACTGCCTTTACAAACATGAGGAGACTTGATTTTTCTAGATCATTCATTGAAACATTCCACGCACTGGATAACAGTTCTGCTGCTATGTTGATACATGGAAGAGCAGCAAATACTCCGGATGTAAATAGACATATTACACTTTTGGTATTTTTAGTCAAAAAACTACTAAATATATTGATCCACTGATCTGTCGTGCATGCCAGGATTGTTATATAGAAGAAAATTACGATCTTCCTGAGCTTTCTTCTGTTGCTTGACTTAATAAGGAATCGATTGCTGTTATCTTTCTTCTCTTGAAGATCTATGGTGCAACCCACGTGCCTTCGAAGTCAAAAATATTTTATGTGAAAACCACCAATCGCATAATATATAGTCTAGATTTGGGCACAGATGCTTCCCAAGGTCCTTTGTTTATTGAAATTGTTTGGCAGGTAGAGCCCCTTAATGAGTGGACAAAAGCAGGAAAACATCATCGAAGAGAAAGATGTTGGGTTTATTCTAAGCTATGGAAGAAACTACTATGCTGAGGAGATAATGGAAAGGGAGGCAGAGATAAAGAGGATTTTTGAACAAATAAGCTTAAAGCTTGGAACGAAGGAGGTTGAGACCGGACTTGCACCTCCTATGTGTTGGGACCTTCTAGGAGATAGAAATAGAATACAAAGCGAACCAAATCTGCAGGTTGCCAGGGTTTGCAAGGTTCTTGATGGGTACCAAGAGCCAAGATATATGATAGGAATCAAGATGATAGCCAAGTTTATTGTTGGAAAGGGAAAGCGAGTGGATGGGAGCCTTATACAAGAAGGAATGAGGGTAGGGGTTGATAGAAACAAGTACCAGATTATCCTTCCATTGCCTCGAAAGATAGATGCATCCGTTACTTTGATGCAGGTCGAGGAGAGGCCCGACGTGACCTACAATGACATTGGGGGATGTAAAGAAGAAATCGAAAAGATAAGGGAGGTTGTCGAGGCACCTCTTTTGAATCCAGAGAGATTTGTTGCTCTGGGAATTGATCCTCCAAAGGGTGTTCTCCTGTATGGGCCGCCAGGAACGGGGAAAACGTTATTGGCAAGGGCTGTAGCCAACAGAACAAATGCATGTTTCATAAGGGTCATAGGGTCTGAGCTTGTACAAAAGTATGTTGGAGAGGGTGCAAGAATGGTCAGGGAGATATTTGCCATGGCAAAGGGGAAAAAGGCCTGTATTATTTTCTTCGATGAGGTGGATGCATTTGGGGGCACGAGGTTTGATGACGAAGACGACAACGAGGTCCAAAGAACAATGCTGGAATTGATAAATCAGCTGGACGGGTTTGACCCAAGAGGAAACATAAAGGTCTTAATGGCAACAAACAGGCCGGATACTCTTGACCCGGCACTTCTCAGGCCAGGAAGGCTGGATAGGAAGGTTGAGTTTGGTTTGCCAGATCTGGAGGGAAGAACATCCATTCTACGGATTCATGCAAAAACAATGAGTGTTGATAAGAATATTAGATTTGATTTGATTGCAAGGCTTTGTAACAACGCAACTGGGGCAGAGTTGAGGAGTGTTTGTACAGAGGCAGGGATGTTTGCCATAAGGGAAAGAAGAAAGATTGCAACTGAGGCAGACTTTTTAAAAGCTGTTGACAAGGTTATCAAGGGGTATGCAAAGTTCTCTTCGACTCCAAGGTATCTAACCTATAACTGAAGCAATAAAGATGTTTGTCCTATAATACCTATTTGTTTGAGTAATATGAAAATCCTTGGATGGATAGTAGTTCTGGATTTGGAAGCCCCGGAATGAATAATAGTATTTTAGGGGTGTTGGGAATACCACTGGAGATTTACTTTGAAGGAGTGTTTGATGTAGATGTCCAGGCAGATGCATTGAAGCGAATAGAGGAGAAGACATTCTTCCGTCTTAAAGAAGACATGGATGTGGATGGCTTAGTATCCGGGATAATAAAGGACACAAATTCGACAATGGATACCCTGCGAAACGCTATAGGAAAGGGGCTGTTTGGAGAGAGATTCAGGTTTATGGATGAGGTTATTGTAGTTGTGTGCCCTGAAAGAATCAGTGTTGATGAGATGTCCAAGCACTGTGTGCCTATTGATGAGATTATGGGGGAGAATGTTGAAGAGGTGTTCAAAAGAATCATAAGTCTTGAAGGAGAAGCAAGAATCAAAAGACAAAGGGGCCGATGGAGCTTTAAATCTTTGGCAGACATCTTCAAAAGCAATCCTGAAGAAGATAAAAGACTTGCAGACGGATTGTTTCTTATGCAAAGATACAAGGAGGCATACAAGGTGTACTCAAGGTACAACGATACAGGCGAGTTTTCACAGTATTGTATTGAAATGTCTGTTTACTGTCTAGTTTTATCAAAGAAGCCTGTTCCATCGAATCTCATAAACAGCCTTGGGATGGTTGGGGCCAAGAGCATACGGTTGGTTAGAATGATGGCCATAACTATGGGTACTAAGAATACTGTAGCCTTAGAGATACTCTCTTTACTTGATCCAGAGTCTCTATTCAAAGCCTTTGCTCAGGAAAGCCTAGCCCAGGCCCTCGACAAGAAGTACTCTAGAAAAAGGATAGAAATGTGGTTCTACTCTGCTTTAAGATTTTATGATTCGGGGCATTTGGACAGATCTGTAAGATGCTGCGAATATTTTCTTAACCTTGCTGACTCCACTCTTTTGAAAGCAAGTTTATCTACTCTTGCAAGAGGTGGGCTGGTATACTCCAGTAAGTACATAAGGAGAGTTCTTAAGTCAATGGAGGAAGGGTCTAGGATGAGTACCGAGGATATGATATCCAAAGAAGATGAAGGGATTGTAGCTATAAGGAGAGAATGGCAGGGATCGGCTTGTAACTTCCAAGGGGTTCTGAATGTTTCAGAATCTATTTTCTTGGAATGCAAGAGAAGAGGTTTTGTGAGCATTTCGAATGCAGAGGACAAGACAGTGAAAGTTTATCATACAGGGGAGAGCATCCCTTTTGATGGCCCAGGAAAGTTTTATATAAACTACGTTACTTTTAATATCGATGGGATTGATCAGAAGGTAAATATGGGAATTCCGTTGGATATCAGAGAGGATGCGCTTTTCATGCATCTGGAGATGAAAGATGTATGTGAAGTTTTCTGTGGAGAACTATATTTTCTTTTATGTAAGGTTATTAGAAACCATAGATCAAGTATTAGGGTTTACTTTGATAACAAAGAGTTCACAACTGATAAGGATATGTTCAGTTTTGAGATATTTTTCCCAAGTGTTGGAGTTTACATCCGTAGGGTTATCATAGAAGCCTCTGGATGCATTGCATACAAGGATGTGAAGTTTACTGTTGTTCCATCGTTTTCCATAGACATTTTCAATTATAAACATTGCCTTCCTTTGTTATTTCTAAAGGTTGAAAGTTATACTGTAGAGGGCTCAAAATTAAGGTCCTTATCAGTGCTCAACAATAATCTTGAGGTTGCTAGTGTGGAAGTTATAAGTCCTTCGTCTTCTTATAAGGACTATGCTGTTGAGTACCTTATCAGGAACATTGTTGGAACCAACGATGGCCTTAGCGAGCTTCCAAAGGTTATGAAGGAAGAGCCCCCATCATATAAAGGACTTCAGAAAGTACTGCAAGCCATGGATAGATCTCCCCCTGTTATATCTGACCTACTTTTCAGTGACCTGATGCCAAGGATGAAAAATGAAATAGTCTTGCCTGGAAGGAGGACTTGTTCTATATGTGTCTTTCTTCAAGGGAAGAAGGGCCTGAAAGAGCTACTAAAGTTAAAAAATGAAACCTTCAACAAGATGGAAATATCGATGGTTGACAAAACATTGCTTTCCGGTTCAAAACTCAGAACAAGGCCTGAAAGTTCAGGAACTGCTGACAACTTTTCCATAGGAGACTTTCTGGGGGTACCAATAAGAGTAGAGATTGAAGTATCTCCAAAAAGAATATGTATATTCATGTTAGATGGGGCACTTAAGACTTTGTTTTCCAAGCAAAAAGACTATGGGTGCATATCTAGGTCTAAAAATCCGTTTGTTTACATAACACATTTCTCATCTGTACGGGTAAATGAGCCTACCATAATATACCTGTGCATAAGTAACTATTATGAATACCATGTCCTAAATGTCAAAATATCATCTGAGACAATAGCTGTATGTAGAGAAGATTCCACTTTCAATGTCGAGGAACTTTCGTTTTCTCTTTTTGAAATCCGATGTGTATTCAAAGAAAGAAAGAAGTATGGATCAGATGACATTGGGCTTTCAATAAAGATCGGAAGTGAAGAGATCAACTATGAGTGGCTAGTCGAGCTTCCATCCGTTTTGTAATGTTTAGAATGTTTTCTTAATATGATTGAAATGAACCCTACAAATGAGAAAGAATCATGAGTTTTGGAATACGCAACCTGTTGACAAGAATGGGGTAGGGATTATACCAAACGGAACGTCAGGATCCTTAGAACAGCCGAAACTCCCTGATGGATTCAGATTTGAGGACCTTCGATGTATTGAAGAAGTTACCGAGTTCCTCGAGAAGAACTATGTGGAGGATGTTCATGCTGAACATATGCTTAGGTATTCTTCAAATTTTCTAAAATGGGTAATCGACTGCGGAGGCGAAAAGAAGAAGTATTGCATTGTACTTCGGCTATGTGGGAGAATGGTAGGATTTATATTTGGCAAAGAACACCATGTTGTTATCCGAGGAGAGAAAAATAGAGCGATTGGAGTGAACTTTCTGTGCGTTGCCCAGGAAATGCGAGGAAGAAGATTAGCACCGATACTCATAAAGGAGATCACAAGGCGTGCGAATGTGGATGGGATTTTCAAGGGAGTATTTACAAGTGGAACGGAGTTATTTTTCAACGTCTCCCATGGTAGATATTATCATCGGCCCTTGAATGCAGAGAATCTATTCATGAGTAGGTTCAGTGATCGGATAATGAAGATTAGAGAAACTCGGGTGAGAAGAGGAACAAGGATTGCAGAAGAAAGGGATATGAAGGAGATTGAAAGGCTGTATATGGAGGAGAGCAAGCGGTATATGCTCTACGAAGAAATGGGGTCTTCGGATATAATATCTGCATTAAAACCTGTAAAAAATGTAGTATACACGTATGTGCATGAGGATGATGGCTGTATTGATGGATTCGGGGCGTTTCTTATAATTGAAACAATCGAAAAGAAAAGCAGGCGTAGTGTACAGGGAGGATACTTATATTACAGAGGAGGAAAAGACAATACAAAGATGGTTGAAGACCTTATATATTTTGCACAAAAGGAAGGATGTGATGTGTTCAACTGTCTTGACATAATGGAGAATTCGCTGTTTTTGGAAGGTCTTGGTTTTTTTCCTGGGAGTGGAGAGCTTCGATATTATTTGTACAACTGGAGTAGTGGAGAAGTACCAAAAGACAAAGTGTTTTTTATTCTACCATGAAACAGATGAAAAGAATGATTAAAGAATGGGTGTCGAGAGACATTTTGGAGTTCTTAATATTTAATGTGCTTATGCCCTGGGTCTGATGAAATTGGTAACACATGACGAAAGATTTCACTACGATGAAGTCCTTGCATCCTGTGTACTTCTCCGAATATATCCTGATGCTGAGATAATGAGAACAAGAGACAATGCGATCATTGAGCAGGGAGACATAGTTTATGATGTTGGTGGGGTGTTTAATCCTGCAACGAGGAGATTTGACCACCACCAAAGAACATTTTCGGAGACATTTTCATCTAAGTATAACGTTAAGCTTAGCAGTAGTGGGTTGATCTTCAAATACTTTCATAAGCAACTCCTATCTTTGTATGGAATAGAGGATACTTGCGGAATATACAATATGGTGGTAGACAAGATATACTCAGAGTTTTTTCTATATGCAGATGCCATAGACAATGGACAAGACATATATGGAGAGATAAGGCCTCGGACCATGGCAGACCTAGTCGGGCTGTTCAATACAGATACTCCCGATGAAGGCTTAGAAAACAGAGGGTTCTACAAAGTACTAGAGATTGTAAGCACAGATCTGGATAACTATATGAAGAGAATCAAAATATGGGTTAATAATTATGAGCATGTAGAAAAAAAAGCAAGGGAGACAAATGGTCCGATTCTTGTACTTGATAAGCACTATACCACTGACTTAATACTAGAAATCGAGAGTCAAAATGGCAAGGATTTCAAGTTTATGGTGTTCCCTCATAGAAATGCCTACAGAGTAATCGCCATTCCAAAACGTAGAGGATCATTTGAAACAAAAAACCCTCTCAAGAAGGAGTGGAGAGGACTTGTGAATGAAGAGCTAGTGAGGGCATCTGGGATTGAAGGATGTATCTTTGTCCATTCTTCAGGATTTATGGGAATCAATAGTACATTTGAAAATGCCTTAAAGATGTGTGAAGAGTCGCTTTCCGATGGGAGAAGCTCGTTCCAATAAAAACAACAATTTATTCAACATGGACTTACAATTCTTCCCTTGAACCAGAGAATGCTTTGTAGTCATCTGAGTCTTCTCCTATTTTCTTCTTTGAAATTTCTTCATCATCACTCTCATCACTAATAAAAGAGGGCGGGATAGTTGACATTTGTACCGAAGGAGCATGGGAAACACCCCTTAGGTTCTCGTGCACTTTTGCCACAATATCTTCCAAGCTTTCTTTTGTGTTCTGGTTTTTCATATTTGATGTAGGAACATCTATTTTGTATGTTGGTGCATAGTAATCAAAATACTCGTTGTAAGGAATCTCTCTAGGGATCTCGACATCCAGAACAACACTTGTTCCATAGGCCCATGCCTTTGAAACATTTCCAATTGTGTATCCCCCTCCTCCAAGAAGAATAAGGGGAATATTGAAGCTCTGCACAAATTTAATACACCTGGAGTGTCCTAGATGGGATAGATTAAAACACCCTAGCTTATCCCCCGAGAGCGAATCAGCCCCAGATTGTAATACAATCGCATCTGGCCTATATACCTCTATAACTTTACTGACAACGGGCTTGAATATACTGAAATAACTTTCATCATCAATCCCATCTCTCAATGGAACATTAACTGAATATCCCTTACCTTTCGCCAGCCCGATGTCTGTGACCATTCCAGTTCCCGGAAAATAATCTCCGTACTTATGGAAGGAGACAGTCATCACCCTGTCAGTGGTATAGAATGCCTCTTCAACCCCATCCCCGTGATGAACATCTATATCTATGTATAGAACCCTTTTGTTATATTTCAGGAGCTCAAGAATTCCTAGGACTATGTCATTCACATAGCAAAACCCCGAGGCTTCACTTCTCTTAGCATGATGTAACCCTCCAGCCCAATTAATTGCAACATCATATTTTCCAGAGTTAATCTTCTGTGCTGCATAAATACTCCCCCCACTGGTGAGTTTGCAGTAGTCATAAAGCCCTGGAAACACAGGGCAATCATCTCTAATGTTGAACTTGTGAAGGTCCTTAATCATTTCCTCCATGTTTTCACTAGAGACACTGGACAAAAAGTTTATATAATCTACTGCATGAAAGTTTGTTAGATTCTCGTATGACGCCTGAAATGGTCTGAGAACATCCATGTATTTGTAAAGCTCATACCCGACCAAGAGAGTATGGGTCATCTTTACTCTCAGAGGTTTCATGGGATGTCCCATTGCATAACTAAAGGTTCCAATTTCAGGGTCATAGAAGTAGACTACTCTCTTGTTATTCATCCGGGGTTAAAATATTTTGGTGTCCAAATATCGTTGTTACCCACTCTCTAAAAGTTCTTTAATAGGATAAGCCATAGATTGTTTTGATCACTTGTAATTGAATTTTAACAATCCGCAAATACCTCCCATCTCCTTTAATCTCTCCCCTGAAAAATGTGCAACAGGAATAATGGATATCTTACAATTCATTGCCTGAATCTCTTTGCAAAACACTTCCATTTCCCTCCTTTCTTCAACATCATTGGGCTTTATCTTCTCGTCAGTGATCATCAGCTTGTCAAGAGCACCGTAATCCATTGCTTCTCTAATACTTTCCATTCCAATACAGATCAGGTCGGAGCCTTTTGCAAACTTTACAAAAAAGTTGTCTATCTCTTTTAAATCATCAATGTATTGGACACCCTGAAAAGTCTTGGAGAGCTCTTTATCGGTAAGTACCATATTAATTACCTTTGAATTCGAGCAGCCTCTACATTCTGGCGGAACCTTGATCACACAAAAACTACCACATGCCTTCTTCAACTCTCTGGACCCCATGGCAGCTTTGTAGAACTCATTCCTTATTTCAAATATGCTTGCAATCACGAATAAGCTGACCTTTCCGATATACTTCTCTAATACCTTAATAACATTCCCGAATTTCTTGCTTTTCGTCTCCTGCTTCAATATTACACTGATCTTGCTTCGTGTTACCATGGACACAACACATTCCTTTTCGTAGAATATTATAAAAACAACTTCTGGCTGGGGTTTTGCTGCCTCCTTGAGTAATTTTATAGACATCTCCTGCCACTCTTCTTTTTCCAATTCAAAAGATTGCCCAAGAGTTACATCTATGGTATGGTACGACCCAAGCCTAACATATTCATTAATTAGAACGGTTTTTCCTTTAAGATAGATTGTAGAACTCTCCAGATCCACATTTATGCTTTCTATTTTTATCTTCAATACAAGTGACATTCTATACTGGGTCTTCCCATCAATCTGAATCTTGCGGGTTGTGGTGGATGTCACCATGTCCCCTACGTCTATGACAGAGCTGAGTATATATATGTCATCCTGATGCTCAGCGGTCATCCTCAAGCTTCCGGACATGCACCTCTGGTCTATTCTATTCTTCTCTAGTTTCATTGCCTGGGGCATCCATTTCAGATTTGATAAGAGATATATTTTGTTTCAAAACCACTGCCATTTGAATTCTGTTACAAAGGACATAAGTAGACTACCGATTCCCCAAGCATGAACAGAGAGTTTTCAGAGACGATTTCCTCTATAAAATCTGAGATTCGTAAATCAACTAGTGACAAGAAGGGAAGCTCTGGAACAATACTTATAATAGGAGGAAGCAAGTACTACACAGGAGCACCATACTTTGCTTCGTTGGCTGCCTTTCACTCGGGATCGGAGCTTGTATATATATTTTCAGAACCAGAGGCCACTGTCTCTTTGAAAACACTATTGCCAGAATCGATAGTTTGTGGCATAGAGTACCAGGAATGGATCCTGAAAAAAGTCAGTTGCTGCATCATGGGGCCTGGACTTGGAAGGCCTTCAGAAGAAACATGCAAGGAAATAACAAGAATTTTGTCGTATTTAGGGAGAAGAGATATTCCAATAGTCATAGATGGGGATGGGATAAGGCTAGCATCAAAGCTGGATATTGGAGACCTCAAAACTGTTATTATTACCCCCAACACTAACGAACAAAAATACATTGGTGAGTTTGAAAAAAGGATTTTCTATGTTCTGAAAGGCTCAAACGACGTGATCTTGTGGAAGGACAAAGAAGTAAAGATCAACAATGAGGGATGCCCAAAGAGAATTGGTGGGCAAGGAGATATCCTGGCGGGTACCATAGCGTCACTGGTCTCTAAGTGCAAGCCTCCATCTTCAGACAAAGAGGTCTTTGGGTCAATAATACTTGGATGTGTAATGGTCAGAAAAGCAGGGAGACTTGCATATGAAAAGTATTGGAAGAGCTTGATAACTAGAGATATATTAGAAATGCTAAAAGAAAGTTTCAGAGCTGGTGTTGAAGACAGCCCAGAGCTATTGGCACTCCAAAGTAGGAAGTGATGGTTTTATGTTCTATTTATTATTCTAATAATAGTACTAGATTAGATATTACATGATCAAAATATATTGCAATTATAAACTATGAAAAGATTTCCATATCTAAATTTCTTTATACGGAACGCTAGTAAGGCTTGCTTTCTATGGTTAATAAATTGAAAACTTCGTACCTTCTGCTTTTGTAAGGATGATATATTAAGGCAACAATTTCTCTTAATTTCCAGGCCATTATAGTCATTATTTATTCTGGTCATTAATATAGTATTACTTTTTTAAATATATCAACAGTGTTTGACATATATTGAAAAGCCCATTAATTCAACATAAAACGTTAAAAGAAGATTCAAACATCTAGGAGATGCAAGCAAAGCGCAGGTTGATCAAAAATTCAGGATTATCAAAGGCACAGAAGGACTTCCTCAACACCTATTTTGAAGTGAATCCAAATCCAAATATTCAGGAAAGAGCGTACATTGCATGTCAATCATTAATATCCGAGAAGAAAATCAGAAACTGGTTTCAAAACAGGAGAGCCAGAGAAAGAGGCGATTGTAAGGCATCGCCGTGTCTAAGTACTTTTAATGGAAATGCCTCTGAAAGCTACATTTCTAAGGTTCATCCAACTTCGAACGATCTCTATATTCGAAGATAGCCTACTCATAGATTATATTTCGACGGAGAATATGCTTCGATAAGTTTTGGTTTATTTGTTTTTTTTTTGTAAAGATTTTCTTCTCAAAAATAATAAAATCCAATGATTATAATTAGAAGGTACTTTTACCTAAATACCGGTAAGGGTTGCCAGGTTTCTTTACCCCAAGGGTATCGAAACAATCCTGTCTGGAGCTTCAGAGCAGAGATAAGAGAACCTTAAGGAAATGTTTTTACTAATCTTGGCAAGAATCTATTTTTTTTATCAGAGATTCTACTATATTTGCGATCCTATTGTTCCTTGCTAGTGCAAACTTTACTTCATCTTTAGACAGGACTTTCTTTTCGATGAGATACATCACCCCATCTTCGAAGTCTTCAAAAGGATCTATCCTCTCCAAGGAATATTTTATCTCCTTAGGAATATTGTATTTAATTGACATTAGAAAGTAGGCCTGGATCATGTTTTGGTCATAGATAGATGCTTTCTTAAGGCTGGTAAGCCCATTTTTGATATCCTCAAGCTGGATTCTACACATGGCCAAGTTTCTTAAGAACATGGTGTTTTTCTGGTCATCGGCAACAAGTCTTTCATAGACAGCTGCAGCTTCTGAAAACCTCTTAGCCGACGTAAGCGCAGATGCATATAAAAACTGTATCTCGGTGTTTCCTGGAACTATATTGAGTGCCTTTTCAAGCGAATTTATTGCCTTCTCAACTGCGCCCGCCTTAAGAAAATAGATCCCTTTGGCCCTCAATGGCTCATATGAGTAGTAAGCATCAAGGGCAGCATCAAAATATGCTTCTTTCCCGATTATGGTCCCGAGAATTATATTCATGCTGCAGAGTCTTATCTTTGATCGGCGATTTGTAGGAACACCTATACTCTTTATCTCCTCAAGTGCTCTTTCTGCTGCCTCGCTGCCTCTATTGAGATTTACTAGGCAATTAATTGCCTTAGAATTGCATTTGTACTTCTCAAAGTATACCAAGGCTTTTTCATAAGCAGAATAGCTGTAGTAAGCATCACCCAGTAACTTTTCCCATTCATTATGGAGCACAAAAGGGCACTCGAATACCAGGTCCGTTATCTCCTCGTGGAAAGGCTCCTGCTCACGGGGATCAAGATTCAGAGCCATGAGATAATAGTTGGCCGTTCTTTTCACCATTTCGCTCTTCTCGTTTTTTGGAAATAGTATTCTGTCTATGTATGCCTTGACTTTCAGCCTTCTAAGATCATGGCATACCTCTGTATTGAAGATCTTTATCATTTCCACCAGAAGTATAGATTGTTCTTCAACTGTCAGCCTTTGGACAGTTTCATTCTCAAACATGTATCTTTCAGTGAAATAGGCATGCTCCTTCCCATTCTTTGTACCGCTACATCTCACAATCAGTATGGGATTCTCATAAGTTCCCGAATTTGTGGGAACGCTTCCAACAAGCTCGTGCCTAAAACCATACATGGACAGATCAATGCTCTCATATTCCCCAAAAGATAGCTTCATGCATGCCTTTTCTAATTCACTTAGCCTGTTGGAAACCGGAAACCGATTAGGATGTGTAAGACACAAATTCATTACATAGTTCAACCGACTTCTCTCTATCTCATTCGTAGATGTTATACCCAATAAAAGGTTCAATGACACAATCCCATTCTTGAATGTTTCTATTTGGTCGGAACCTTCTTCCTCAACACAGCAGGAAGAACGCATGTTCAGCCTGATGAATGTTTTCAAGTCTTCCATCTGGGGATGAAAAGTTATTCGAAATAGATAGAAGAGTCTAGACCCAATCGACGGTTTAATACAAGACCTTACTGAGGGGAGATGTCTGGCTCATCAAGCAGTGAGAGAAGCTGTTTGATGGACATGGGCTCCTCATACTGTATTTCCGAGAAGCTGGAGTTCTGCTTACAGAGAATCTCATAATCTGGGAATCCAATCTTCTCAACTTCATATGCAGACTGGAAACACTCATAGATACCGCATTCTCTTGCAACTTCAACAGAGCTGGTTGTTCCAAATACAAACATCTTTTTTCTGCTCTCCTCCTTGATAAATATCTTTAATGCCTGCAGTACAGAATTGCTAAACCTGGGTCCTATGTTTACAAAGTCAATGAGACCTTCAATATCGTCCAGTATTATTATGGATTCCTCAGATTTGTATGCATCCATAAACTTCTCCTTGATGTAGTTTACTTTCTCATACTCACTGAGCCCTATAATATCTCTTGGGGAGATAATCTTTATGAACGGAAACATCGAAGATCTTGCAGCCTTCACGGCCAGTGTTGTTTTACCAACCCCTGGGCTTCCATAGAAAAGTAAAGAAGATGTACTGTAAAGGTTTGTTTTTCTCAGCTTCTGAAGGAGATTCTTCCCATGCTCGATTCCTTGGGTGAATATGGGAGTCTCATAAAAGGTCTTTTCAAACCTATAGAAATCTAGCTCGTTGATCCCAAACGAAGGCTTAACCTCATCCAATGCTTGAATGAAGTCGTTCATATAAACTTTGATGTTCTTGTCTCCAACAACATTCATCTTCTCCCCATCAAGTCTCTCTCCGTGAACCTTTCTTTCCAATGCAAAGGATACAGCACTTTTCACAACCGCCGTTATTTCCGCTCCTGTATAGTTCTTGGACAGCTTGGCCACTTTATTCAGATCGACACTCTTATCCAGATAGTCATGGCTTTCCATTGTCTTAGTATGTATCCTAAATATCTCAATCCTAGACTCCTCATCAGGGAGAGAGATTTCCAGATGAATCTCAAATCTTCCGGGCCTAAGTAGAGCCTCATCAATCAAGTCTAGCCTGTTGGTCATTCCAATCACTAAGATGTTTTCTATCGATTCCACGCCATCCATCTTGCTGAGAAGCTGGTTTACAACTTGGTCCCCGACACCTGTCCCGTTACTGTTTCCTCTTCTTCTACATATGGCATCAATCTCATCAAATATTATAATGTGGAGGTTGCTGTCTTCTTTCTTTACTTTCCATTCTTCCTCGGCATCCTTAAACAGATTCCTGATGTTCTCTTCGCTTTGCCCAACATATTTGTTAAGAATCTCAGGCCCGTTCACTATCTTAGGAGGCCTAGCATTAAGAAGAGACCCAAGCTTCCTTGCTATAAGTGTCTTTCCGGTTCCAGGCGGTCCGTAAAGAATCATTCCTTTCACATGAGGTATTCCAAATTTTCTGATCACATCAGAGTCAAATGCCCTCTGCACAAATGCCCTCCTGAACATCTTCCCAAACTCTTGCTTCAATCCTCCAATCCCAAGAGACTCAAAGTTGAAGTTTGGATCCAGCAACATGTTCTCCCTAGTGTTGTTAGACAAGGTTAGCCTCTCTGAGATAGAGTTGATGAAGACCTCTGTGTTTCTCAAAAGAATCCCATATCTCTTATCCAAGGCAGTGAACATCTCTCTTACAACTACCTTGAACCCAAAGTCTCCAACATATAGGTAAAACTTTTGGTCTATGTTGAATGGAAAGGATACATAGATGTCCTTGAATTTTTCAACAAGCTCCTTTGCATCGAAATCAACCTTTTCCAGATTAATGATCTCCATATCTAATTTGAGTAAGGAGATCGGGTCACATTCAACAACATTTAGATGCCTAACACTTATTTCATCCTTGCCAACACTTTTATTCAGAAACTCCCTCTGAATCTTGCTCAGTTGAGCATTACATCCATTCGTAAATTCAAACTTAAAAGCATACTTTCCATCCACCAGCACAAATTCCGATGGATCCAGCTCAGATGTCTTTGGTATGTATATTTTGTTTATCTTTCCTTTCTCTACCTGTTCAATCTTGATGCTGCCTACTACGTACTTCATGCAATAGGGCCTATCTTTCTCTGTTTACAAAATCCACAGCCTAATACACATTTATTTTGCCAAGACCTTACAGATAAAGAAGAACCAAAAAGGCCGGACCTCCAAGCATAGTTAGCAGAAATAATGTATCCACTCCATTCCTTGCATCACATATACTCTCTAATGCATTTGAACACCATTTCGGGGGCATTCCAGACCGATCTGCCGGTCCAGCCTCTGTAATCTCTCGTATCGATTCAACTACAGCTCCCTTCTCAGCGTTCAGCCAAAATAGAAAAGCTTTTTCATTGGCATAGATATCCACCATGTCTTTCCTTTCTGAAAGCTCCAAAAGACTTGCAATGTTTTCCAGAAGTCTACTCATCATCTTTATATAGTTGTAGAAGGTGCTTTTATCAACCTTTCTTTTCGTTAGATTGTCAAAATCATCATATACAAATAATATCTTGTTGAATAAGTTCGAGAAGACAGATATCTTTGCATTGACTCGTGTATCTATCATGGTTCTTACATACAACCTCAAAACTTCTGTGATGTATTCGCTTTCCTTCAGAATAACGCCGAGCTGACCCTCAAGATCATCAGCTTTAGATACTATTTGGAGTCTTTTCACTCCATCTATAAGTGTTGGAGTGAAGCTACATCCCTTGATAGCCCCGGACTTGCAGGTTCTGTCAAGCATCTGGCCATTGAGAAGGAATATAACACTTAGCAGAGTTACCACAATAAGCCCTACCGATACAACAGGTTTTAGAATATAGGCTGCTATCTCAAGCTTTGCCAGAACAGAGAGAAATAAAAGCAGGGAAAGTATCATTTCAACTACAAGAAGAAACATCATGAAGTTTTCATATCTAATTATCGGGCTCATATCTCCGTTCTCAATGCCTTCACTATTCTGATAATTTCTGGCTAATGTTGAAAGATAGTTTGGAACCTCGCGGCTGGCTTTAAACTTTGGAAGATCAAAAAACCACTTCCCGATTTCCGTCTTCAATTCATTTACAGATATGTTTAAATATCTTGTAGAGGCATTGAATTCGACCATCTCGCCTTCGATCTTTTCTGCCTCTTTCATAAATGGTTTAAATATCTTGGAGAACTCTTCTAGAATTTTGCTGACTTGTGCTTCGATGCTCCTAAAATTCAGAAGATGTTTCTGAAGGTTTTCATCCGTCTCAGCCTTGAATTGAAATATCTTCATTAGATTCCCAAGAAGAACCTCTTTTTCCCCTGTGTTGCCATCCCTTCTACTAATTGTTAAGGATTTGGGATTCTTGGGAATGTAATGTTCTTGAAGGACACTATTGGATGGTCTCCCCTCCAAATATTTCCCCTCTTTAAATGTGCTTTCTTCTAAACGGACGCCTTGGTCCTCTCTTTTTAAAGTCGCCAGAGAATTACCTTTCTTAAGACCAGAGCCTCCAATGCTAGGATTCACCTCTGTAGACTTTCCCTTTTCAGACTCTGGGAGGATTTTATATGAAACCAAATAAGGTACGGTACCACCTTTCCTCTCAAGACTCGGAAGATTTGTATTGGAAAGAAGATAGGACTTGTGGCCGATTCCGAAGGGATTTGTAAGCCTTGCTCTCCATGAGCTCATCCATGAAGCCCAGGACCATGTGTTTTTAGTGGTATTTGGTTGTACTACCGACTTATTAAGCGTTCTGTTGGCTTCAATAACTTTCTGAAGATTGTATGAACAGAATATAAGAAGAAACCCGACAATATATAAAAGGGTACTACTTCTGTCCCGTGGACTTCTGAAAAATATTAGAACAATTCCAAAGCATATCATCAGCAATAGAAGAAACAGGTATATATCAAATCTTAGGTTGGTCCTAGCTTCCTGAATGAATAATTGAAATGGTGACAGTTGGGATGGTCTTAGCAAGGGCTCTCTAAGTATAAGCAGTCGAAGTTTGGATGCCAGAAACATTCTCTCCGTCAAAAGACTTCGGTTTTATGCTTCTTCTGAAGCACCTGTTTCATAAGCTCCAGCTGTATCATATTCCAAGCCAGGGCTTTCTTGATTTTTGGGATAAAAGAAAGGAAAACAAGAAGGGCATGGACTCTGAATGTAAATATCTGTTCAAGATGATCTTAATTGGGAACAGTGGCGTTGGAAAAACCTGCCTGATGAAAAGATATACGGATGAGACATATAGTTTTACACAATCAAGCACAATAGGCGTGGATTTCAAAATAAAATCTTTGGAGGTTGAAGGGGAAAAGGTAAAGCTTCAGATATGGGATACCGCAGGGCAGGAAAGATTCAGAGCGATCATATCTAACTACTACAGAGGTGCACATGGAATTATCATGGTGTTTGACATGGGAAGCAAGGAGTCATTTGACAATCTTGGGGATTGGCTGGCCGAAGTTAGGAAGAATACTAATGAAAATGTTGAGATAATCATTTTAGGAAACAAGGTCGATGATAAGGAAAAAATTGTGGTCACGGAAGAGGAGATAGAGAGGTTTCTGAGCGAAAATGGCATCGAGAAGTCGTCGTTTTACATGACTAGTGCAAAGGATAACATCTGTGTCAATGACAGTTTCGAATATCTGACTAGAAAGCTTATCGACAAGCATAAAAGGATAGGCTTTGGTGGTGGAAAGGAATCTTTTAAGCTTAATGTGGGAGATTCTAAAAAAGCTTGCTGCATGTGATTTAATTGATTAAAGCTTTTTTTGATGTGTGTCTCTTACAGTTTTTATACTTCTTAAATGGCCAATGATTTCTTCAGGGGCTTTTACCCCACTAAGGAGTTGATACACAATGCTTTCCTCAATATAAAACTTTGTGTCTGCTTTCGGGATTCCTAGGGTTTGAGCTAGTTTTCTTGTGTCTACTATGGCCTTAGAAAGATAGCATTCCCCAATGTCTTCCTGGGAAATACTGTACACAGCCCTTAATCCATCCTGATACTTTTCCTTCCTTCCTTCCATGTATTCAATTGCAGAATATACTACCAATGACTCATACCACATCTCCCCCATGAACCTTACCATCCGTATCAAGTCCTCACTTCCTAGCCTCTTCATATCGCATCTGGACAGGAAATCAAGGCTTTCCTCGATCTTATCTATCATCTTAACAAATTTTTTGGAAGATGGAAGTGATTTCTTCATGATATATGTATTTGAGAAAATGGTGCCCTTTTGACTTGGAATAGTTGACCCTCTAAAAAAACACAGCACGGTGTAGAGATTCAGAACCTCTCTTCTATATGGCCTTCCCCACAAGTTAGTGATTTTCTCTATAATCTCGCAAAACACTATCCCCTTTTCATAAGAAGTCTCCCTTTGCACGGGGGGCTTAAATATAGGGTTTACATATCCTCTTCTAATTATCTCTAGAAGCCCGTACTGCCCTCTTGGATAGTGAAGAATCTTAAATATTTCTATATGGATCCTTTCGTTTGAAACTTTCTTTCCCAACGCAGTTTTGATCCTTTCATCTAATAGGGCCTCGTCAATCTTTTCATCAATCTTGAACCCAAACTTCGAATGAAACCGGAAAATCCTCACAAGCCTTAAAGGGTCATCAAAGAGGGTTGTTCTTGGGTCTAAAGGTGTCCTTAGTATCTTTCCTTTTATGTCGTCAATGCCCCTTCCAGTATAGTCTTCAATCCTTCTAGTAAACAAATTGTAGAATAATGAATTGATGGTTAGGTCCCGACGGAAAGCATCTTCTTGCGGTGTTCCGGGATTTATATTGGGGATTCTTGTCTCAGAATACGTTTCATTCCTTAGATTCACAAAGTCGACGCAGAACCCATTTATCCTTACAACTGCAGTTTCTAGATGCTTAGACTTATCTGGGTTGTCCTTTATTACATGGACCTCGGTGAGCTTCTGGCCTGTTGCAGACTTCACTAGTCCTGCTGCAAATTTGTACCCACTTATATTCTCCAATGCTATATCCATATCAAAGCTAGGGTTTCCCATTATCTTATCTCTAACCCATCCTCCTGCAACTCTCGGAACTACATCCCCAAACTCCTTAGCATGCCTTATTATCAGGTCGAAAATATCTTCCTCAGCCTCTGTGCAATTTATTTGGTTATCCATAGGGGAGCAAACAAAACACCTTAAATCCACACCAGCCTTCAGAAACATAAGAACATTGGCATTACATGCCAAATCCCAAACTTCTTTCATAGGACTCGTCTGCATCGATGAAGAAAAGAATTAGGAAGTAAATGGACAGGTGGAATAATGTGTCTTCAAATCTCCAGGACCACTCAAGTCCCATCATACTTCTTAAGATTATAAAGTAGATGTAGTTTGATATCTTAGTTGTGCTGTATGCAACTATTCCAAACCTTTGGATATAATACGCACTCAAAATCCTCGACAGTGAGGAAATGATTACAAGAAGTATTGACCTGTAAATATTCCTCTCTATGAATGTGTAGATGTCATTGTGCCCTATCCCAGAGTCGATCAATGCAACAAGGGAGCATATCCAAATATAGAACGAGCTTGCAAAAAGAAACTTGGGTAGTCCGTTTCGGTTTGTCATGCAAACGGTTATGAAATCAGAGGAAACGCTGAATATAACATAGAGCACTAGGTAGATAGTTCCAAAGAAGACATCGAAGAACCCTTCGTCGCTATACTTGACTGATTTATACATATTCATTAGGATTATCAGAATAAGCCCAAAATTTCTGAGCATGTTTTCTCTGGCAACTCTGGAAAGCATAAACATAAGCACTACAGACAATGGATAGCATAGGCCCCTTGTAGCCATAGCTGTTTTTAGGGATATCATCCCAGCACCTCGGTACCATGAAGAATACTCTCCAAACGCGAATAGTCCAAACGGGAGATATTCCGATTGTGCTTGAAATACCTCTTTGAAAGCAGTACTCTTAATTGCAAACGGAGCAGATGCCATTAAAACAACCAAGGTTGACAGAAGATTCTCTATACAAAATATCATCATGAAATGGCTTTCTAAATAACCTGAGACCAAGTACAACTGAAGGGCCCCCATGATAGATAGAATTTCTCCAAGACAAGGACTTTTCTTCATTTTCTGCAAAGGGGTGAGTTTTCGGTTTATAATGGAAGAAAAGGAGGCTCCCGCTTAGCCTTGGCAAGGGGTCTGTTTCACAATGCATATGGGATCTGTATCTTCTGAATGATAGACACAAATTTCTAGCACATATGACATGCACAAGTTGTGTACGAAGAAGTTTTTAGGTAATATTAGTAGTATACCTAACAGGAAAGATTTTGTATAGTTTCTGGAGAGAAATGAATTAAATCAATTTTGCATTAATCTGATAAAAAAGGGTATATTTAAAAATAAATAGAATATGAATTCCATACATTGCTTTACAAAATGCCTTTGAAGCGGACCAACCATATTATTTGTTAGACACAATTTTATCAATCAAATTCGAAACAACAAACCTCCCTCTGATTTGGTTATAAAAGACCTAAAAATTTACCCCAAAATGGCTAGAACAAAACAATCTGCTAGGAAAACAACAGGAGGAAAGGCACCACGCAAACAGCTGTCTGCAAAGTCTGCCCGTAAAGCGGTGTCTCCTGCCTCAAGTGGTGGGGCCAAGAAGTCAAGGTATAGGCCTGGATCTGTTGCTCTGAAAGAGATCAGAAGATACCAGAAGAGCACAGACTTTCTTATTCGAAGGCTTCCGTTTCAGAGGGCTTGCCGTTCGGTTGTCAAAGAATGTAGTAATGCCACAGACATAAGGTTCCAAGGACCAGCTCTTGCTTCAATTCAAGAGGCCCTAGAAGTTTATCTTGTTGGCCTGTTTGAGGATGCTATGCTTTGTGCATGCCATGCAAAGAGAGTCACTGTATTTCCAAAGGACATAAGCCTTGTTCTGAAACTTAGGAGCAGACACGTCAAATCCATCAGTGATTAAAATCTTCACTTTAGTTGCTAGGCTCTTCCGAGGTTGCCTTCCAGATAGCTCTTTATGTTTACACCACCAGTCAGTATAGGTTTAGCTTATTATCCTGCCCCTATATCTCCTGACTCTTTGGATGTATGTTAGGATTGGCAGGATAAACAAAATAGTCAACAGACACGACCTTCACAAGATATTCACATTCACTAGACCTATCTATAAGTCAATAGAATGTTCTTCGGGCATTCAGCTATACTTTTATAGCACGTTGCACGAAATTGTGATGGCACAACAACTTAACAACGAAAATTTAATTGAACGCTTGGAGGTCTGCTTCATCGAGTATACGTTAGAGGAGGAGCTCTGCCTATCCATCTCCTCCTCTAGGCCTTCCTGCTGTTTGTATGCCATTTGCGATGGAGATGTTTGTATAGATATGATCCAGAGGTTCTTCGGATCTCCTATTAAATGTTACTTGAGGACTGGGAGATCCAAAGAAAGATATCTTGTCGAGTTTAAGGAGCAAGTGGAGGTAAGAAAGCCTGATTTCATGAGGTGCACACTTTCCTTTGAGGATTATATAGACTACATAGTGAGGGCCGGTATTTATGATTACAAATAAAATAATGAAAATTCCTCAAAATAAATTCTTGTGTTTTCCCCGTCAGAGGCAAAGAATGGAAGACCAATGCCATATTCTCCCTTTTTTTATTCCTGAAACCTCTAAGGTAAAAATAGAGTATGTGGACTTAAGCGGAGACGTTTCTACCATAAGAGGGATATTCTGTGTCAAGAAGAAGCTGGACACAGATATCAATGTACACATTTGCAACAAAATTGTCAAAGACCCAATATTTTACTGGGTCCCAGCAAACTCAGAATCTGTGCTTGAAAAAGGGCTTGAGCTGGTGAGGAAAGGACTGGGATTTCCTTTGAAAGGCGATCAAGGGCCCCCCAGCAAAACAATCACGAAGAAGAACAACAAGGGTGTTAAATTATGAGACGCCATGCCTGTGCCCCTTACTATCTTTAATTTTCTGTCAGATATGTTGGAGCAAATTTTTTACCCCATAAAGTAATGCACATTACATCAGCCATGAAGCATGTAAAGCTTCCACCATCTGCTATTTCAAGAAGGAAAGAGCCTAAGTCCAAAAACATTTACCTGCGTGCTCTTTCCGATTTTTACACAAAGGTAGCCGATAACACCTCTGTACTGGCAATCAAGAAGATCTCTAAGAGGCTGAAGATGTCGAAGTCTGACAGGCAGCCAGTAAAGATATCCAAGATCGTCAGCGAGCTTGAAAACTCGGAGGGAAAGGTTGCGGTGGTTGTTGCAAAGGTTCTTGATGATGACAGGATTATGGAGATTCCTGCAATTAAGGTTATTGCTCTTCAATGGTCAAAGGGAGTGAAGGAAAAGATTGAGAGGTATGGAGGAAGCATAGGAACCCTCGATCAACTATTTGAGCTTTGCCCAAACATGGACGACATAAAGTTGATTTCTACCGATAAATTTGCTAGGAAGTCTGCCAAGTTCTGGGGGCCTGCACCTGGAGAAAAGGGATCCACCACTTATCCAAGAGCAAACCAGAAATGCCATAATCGTGAGAAGCGTATCATGATGAAGGGAAGAAAGACCCAGCATCTAAAGAAGCAAGTATTGAATAAAACGGCATAGGTTTTTACTTGTATATTATGTTCCTTACTAGTGTGCCTTGCGGCTCGTATCAGACAGTTCTAGAAGTTCCTCTATCTCTATGAAGCACGAACAAAACTCACACTCTATTCTACCGTCGACCTCATGGGATATTTTGTATTTCCCTCCACATCTACAAATGGCAGACTCGACGTCTGTTCTACTGCAAACTAGATATGGTTCTCCCCCGAATACTTCTCCTCTTATATACTTTTCATATGCATTTCTTAACTTTGTGTATTCGGCTCCATTGCCCTTATTTCTGTCTGGATGTATTTGGATAAGCCTTCTTAAGTATCTTATTCTAACCTCTTCTTTTGTAGCCCCCTTTCTAAGTCTCAATAAACTGAAAATTGGCATTAAGGGATACTGGATTTGTTAAATAACAAGGCAAAGCCATTAAACTAAGTGGTCTGAGAAGGAGTATATCCTAAGACTTTCAAAACAGATTGGATCAGCTGTTTTGTAAATGGCCAATAGCCCTGTCCTTTGAATGAAACATTGTTTTAAAACCTTTTTAAAAGCAGATAGCAGGAGTTACACCATGATTATCCTCACAATATTAATGAGTGTTGGTGCATATTATATGCCATCCCCAAGGCATGCATTCATAATTACTACTAGAACGCTCTCACCATATCGCCTAGATTCATTTCCGTTCTCGCAGGTAGGGCCTTATAAGACATCTACAGACCCGATCCTTTATTCAAGGCCATCAAGGTTTGAAACGGAAACATCCACTGAAGTTGGAGAAAGAAAAAACAGCGTATCTGAAGAGAAAAAAGAGGGCATCAAGAGCGGTCTTTCAAGCATTATATCTACAAGTATGCTCTGCAAGCTCTTTTTCTACACTGTGATGGTTGTCCTAATCTTTTTCATGGGGTATCAAACAAGAAAATGCCATGAAGGAGGGTCTTACGTAAGGCTCCCAACGTCTTCGAATAGCTGAATAAACAAAACTTAAGAGAATTCTTTTATTGCAAGATGGGTCTTGGGCTTATTTGTAAAATAGGAAGCATACATGTCTCTTTCAGCACCCTGATGCATGTACCAAACTTCAATTGGAATTTCCTTTTCTATTCAGTTCTTCTGTTTCTTCTTTAGTCAAAAACCGGCCTGAGGGGGCTCTCAATCTCTTCATGGCATGCTTGTGGCGGCTTTCGTGGAGGTAATTCCTCTTACTTGTTACCATGAGGGTGTCTAGCATATCTCGCCTTGCCTTTCTTTTCTTTATCCAATTAAGTTGCTTAGCATTGACATAAAGAGGCTGGAAGGCTTGATCATTAAATGGAAATGAGTAGTCATAGGCACTGTAACCACCCTTACCGGGATATCCAATATCTCTTAACTGCTCTTGATCAAACTCTATATCGCCATATCGAGCATTAGTACCCTGGTCCATCATATCCCTGTGCTGCATAAAGACCACTTTACTGAAGCTTTTGTAGATTTCCTTCCTGACTTGTTTCATAGTGTTTATTTTTCTCCACCAATCAGCATGAGGTTTACATGAACAAAAACTGACAAAGGGGGTCCTTCAACCTCATCGTAAAATCTGGGGTAAGCTAGCACTCTAAGTCCAAACAATAAAATGTCGTCTATCTAATTTTTATTTCGTCATCCTTCTCTCCATCCAACTCCCAGAAGTTTATGTTGGAGTCTGAGGACCCCGAAACAAAATACTTCTCATCATCTGAACAAGAGAAGTGAATCACCCTGTTCTTATGGCCAAGAAAGTATCTTTCTACTTTGAAGGAGGACATTTGCGATAGCCTGATGTCATCCTTTGAGTATCCATGTGTGCTAAGGATTTTGTTGGACTTAAGCCATCTTAGATTGCATATTTGAGAACCGTAATCCACTGACCTTATCAGGCATGGGCTTGGCCTGCTTGAGTTTATCAGGCTTATATCCCATAACTTGATTGTTTTGTCAGCAGTTCCTCCTCCGGATACTAACAAGTTCGGGGAGAGAGGTGACCAGCTTATTGCCTTTACAGCAGCTTTATGGTTAGAGCACTGTTTAAGAGGATGTGCCAAGTTCCTGTAGTCATAAATATAGAGTCTATTATCATTTCCACCAGATGCCAAAAACCTAAGATCCTTGCTTATACTTAGGCCACATACTTCTTGCCTATGATTCAGAATAGTCGCCACAGCCTTTTCAGAACGAAGATCTGTTATCTTTATTTTTCTATCTCTACTTCCTGTTATAATGTTTGTGTTCTCAGATTCTATCACGCCTATTCTTGATCTATGAAATGAATACCTTGTCATCTTTAGAGAGCCCATATCAACACTCAGCATAACGCCGATAGATGTCCCAAGGGCGACGGTGCTAGTAGTTGGGTTGCACTTTACAGATGTTATTCCGAGACTGCTAAGATTGCAAACTTGCAATGTCTTCGAGGAAAAAAAGTTGTGTACAAACAAGCAGCTGTCAGCAGTGAAGAATACATTCTCCCCAGACCAGTCGATCAAGCTGCTATAGAAGTCGTCGGGGAGAGACTTGACCTTCAGCTGTCTGTATGGCTGAATGATTATTTTTGGCCCGAGGCTTTGGCCTTCAATTGTGCTTAAATATGGACTTTCGTCTAGAGGGTAGCAAAATCCTACTTCATGCATTGTCTCTTTGATTCCAAGGCCATAAACCCCTCTTGGTGCATACCTGGGCATCGCTTCCTTTTTGTTTATTAGGAACCTATCCATCTATGTTTGTTTATGAAGACTTGCCTCATTATTTTTGGTGTATTATTTGATCAAATAGAAATCAAGATGGCTTAGCATAATGAAAGGAGATAATTTATCAGTAGTGCAGTTGCAAGCATGGAAGCTTAATTATACTTGACTATCCTGGAACTTGGAATCTCTCCAACAAGTCCTTAGTGTCCATCGTTTCTATATCTGCGTTTTGTTGAGAAACAAGACTGTTTGCAACGAACATCTTAAACGATTGAAGATTCATAACCTTCTCCTCTAGAGTGTTTTTTGCTATAAGTCTAAAGACATTCACTGTTCTTTTTTGCCCTATTCTATGTGCTCTGTCCATGGCTTGTAAGTCATTAAAAGGATTCCAGTCATGCTCGTACATTACAACTGTGTCTGCTCCAGTAAGGTTGAGACCTAACCCACCAACCTGTGTGGTGAGGAACAGTATCTGTGTTGTACCTGTGTTGAAATCTTCAGCGATCTTAGCCCGGGCCGAGCTGGGAACAGATCCATCCAGTCTTGAGTACTTAAACTTATACTTTGCCATTATATCTTTTATAACAAGATCTATGCTTGATTTGAATTGGAAGAAAATCAGCATCTTATTTCTCAGGTCCTCTCCCCCGCACAAGGTGATTATGTCTTCAAGAGCCCTGACCTTACAGGATATTTCGCTAGAACTCTTGAAGTGGCCTATGTGGGAAACTGCAAGGAAAAGATCCTTCGTTCTTTTGAAGCCTACGTTCTTTTGATCCACTTTTCCATATTCTAGATCGATGTCTTCAGGGCCCTCTTTCCCTCCTTTTTCGTCAATCTCACGATACAACTTTTCCTGTACAGGGCCGAGTTCAACAGTAATATCACGAATAATCTTCGGGGGGAGGTCCTTCAGAACGTCTATTTTCAGTCTACGAAGAACAAACGGAAGAACTTTTTTGTGAAGGAGGTTAAGCCTTTCTTGTGTTTTTTCTATTTCTGTATCTGACATTTTTACATTCAACGACCCATATTCTTTTTCAGAGCCAATATAGTTAGGCATTAGGAAATTGAATAAGGAAACAAGATCTTCCACGCTGTTGTGCACAGGGGTTCCTGTTAGAACTATCTTCCGAGGGCATTTTATCATGTTCATTCTTGAGTACAGAATTGTCTGTTTGTTTCTGAGCACATGACCCTCGTCAACTACAACATAAAACCAATCCTTCTCAATGAAATTCAGATAATCGTTCCTAAATGTCTCGTAGGAAGATATCAAAAAGCTGTACTTGCTTTTACCTTCCCTCTTATAAATCTCTGCTGCTACTAAGGGAAAAAACTTCTTCACTTCGGATTTCCAATGCCCAGTAAGACTTGAAGGGCATATCACCAGGATTTTCCTATTCGTTTTATAGATCTCAGAGCAGAGAAATGTTAAAACCTGTAGTGTTTTCCCCAGTCCCATGTCGTCTGCAAGAATCCCATTAAGATTGAATGAATGGAGGAAATTCAGCCATTTCACTCCTTCCATTTGATAATCCCTAAGCTTTACTTGTGTGGGACATTTTATATGGTACTCAGGAATCTTTTTTACATCAAGCAGTGATTCAAGGGACTTCTTCTCATCCTCGATCATCTCAAGAAGATCTTGTGATATTCTTGTATTCGTTCTAAACCCGAGGGTAGGAATAATCTTAGAGAACAGTCTAGAGGACACCTTACGGTTGATGTCACTTGAAATGTTTTTAAGAAGAGGCTTAACAAACAAAGGATTAAAAGAGTGGTCCCCGTTCATCAAGACCGAGTCGAGAAGCTCAACGTCTAAATCAACCAAGGCTTTTCGTACAAACTTCTCGTTGAATTCCAAGCATTTCATAAATCCATTGATTACCATGACATTTTTCTCCTGGAGCGCATAATCAAATATAAACCCTATGCTTTGAATCTGTGGGCCTACTGTGTATATATGAATTGTTTTTGAAAAGAAATCAAGCCTATTGCCTAGTTCACCGACTTTACAGAAGAAAGGATTCACAAGGAATCTGTTACCAAACTCCTCAAAGAATGAAAGAAACCCATCCTTTCCAGAAGCCATCCCTTCATATGCTATAGGAAGGAAATCATCTATGGAGATCTTTCCAGCATCGTAGTACTTCACTATCATCTTGGAAAATAAAACCAGAAACTGCTTGCATGTCTCTACTTCAAAGAGAGCTGAAGCTCTGTCAAGAACTGGGAATCTTATTGATGATATCATCCTAATGTAGTCTACATACAAGGGATCTACCATGGGATGGATAGAGCATATTTCTGGCTTGCTAAGCTTTTTCTTAAACTCTTTCAAAGGAGCCATTCTGAGATCTTTAAATTCATCGAAGTAGTGCTCCAACTCCTTTATACCCTCAGAAGAACCAGTTGCGCCATTATTCAAAGCTTGGGCATGCTTATATAGAGAAAGAAAGGTTTTGTTTACCATGGTCTCATTACCTATCTGCAGATCCGGGAATTTGCTCTTCACAATGCATTCAAACAAGAGGCATCTATTCTTCAAAATTTCGTCTTTTCCAATTACATTTATCCCACTCTTTGTGAAGTACAAATCTTCGTAAGAAACAAAGTCATCTTCCCTATAAGGTTCGTACAAGCTTCCTCCAATGACATTCATAAAATGAATAATCAAATTCCTTGGAAGATCTGGTTTCTTTTTGAAAAGATTAATAGCCATCTCTCTTATTTCGTCCTTCTCTTCTATCAGAATAACCTCAGCAACAAGAAAATCAATCGATTCTTCAGAAAGATTTTCTACCATGTTCAATATACTAATTCTGACCTCAGGGACAGGAGACATAAAGCAAGGGAATATGTCTTTCAATCTTTCAGGAGGGACAGTGAGCTCTGGGTTTTCCTTGTATATCTTTGTCAGAAGAGAAAGATTGGATGTTTTTGAAACAGAAATAGCCTCTTCAGACTCAATGTTTTTCCAGCACTTCTCAAGCACTACTCCAAGTTCGTCGACTATTGGAAAATGGCAAAGAAGTTCTGCACTAAGAAGCTTTATATCCTCATCCGGACTATCTAGAAGAGATATGAGTTTCTTGCGAAGCCCATCTCTATCTTCGACAAACTCCTTCAGGTATCCAAGCGCTATCAATCCAGAAAATTGTATCTGCCAATCCTCACTGTCTAGAAACCTAAGTAGTTGTTCAATAATGTCATTAGGCCCTATTAAAGGATATATGCATGATAAGAGATACGCTGCTGCATCTCTTACAGGTGCTACCGTTCTGTCATCAACAAAGTCATTGAACTTATCTGTAACAAGAATTTCATATATCTTCGAAAACAGCTTAGAGTCAACCTTTATCTGAATGTCTCCTCCACTGTCTATTTCAGAAAACATTGCTGTAAACGCGAGAAACGCCCCATGTCTTTTATGCCACTCATAGCTCAACAGATTATCACTTATTTGCTCAAAGAAATCGAATGTGTTTTCAATGGGCCTTTCCTCAATCTTATGCCTTTTGATCGTCTCCCCACTTCCCGCCTTAAAATCAATGTCACACAGAAAGTTAGCATCAACGTGCTGTAGCTTTGCTATCTTCTTAACTATTTTCTTCTGCTCCTGCACAGAAGGCGCCTGGACATTGAACTGCTCTCCTGTTGAGCTTAGATATATACTGCTGCTTTTCTTGTACTCAATCTTGAAGTCTGTCACGAGACTAAACTGGAACATCAATGACTTAAGAATCTGCGCTCCATTTTTCCTGTCTTCACTTGCCTGTCCGCACAGAAGCTTATATGTTTGCTTAAGAATATAAGGTGTGAAATCAACATATTCTTTTATTTGAGAAACTAGCTCGTTAGTAGTGTATTCCTTCAGAACCTTTGATTGGGCTGTATTCAGTGTTGTGAAGAACTTTTCCAATCTATTCATGCTTCCCGGGGTTAATGAAATGCTTTGTATTTATATTTCGTGTGCAGAATAAACTCATAATTATTTCGTATCTTTGAATGTTGTTCATTCATTTCTGTCTTCATGAGAATAACAATTGCGTTTCACTAAAGATGCCCCTTGCAGCATGTGAATGGTAATTATGGGAAATATACCGGTGGATGATATGTCTCTGGAAATGGTAGCCAGGCCAAAAACCAATTGGAATGTTTCTACTCTAATGAGGAAATAACTGGTAATTCCAAAATATAAAAGAAGGTAACACCCTCTCACTAAGAATGGGGAAGAAGGAAATTGTAAAGCATGACTTTGATATTGAGTATCCGTTCTGGAACGATGTAGATAAGGATAAGATTCAATTCAAAAAGCTAGACAACGGATATTCCATTAGCTATGGAGATGAAAAAAAGCACGAGGATGGAAATAGGAGAGAATACATATCACGCTCCGTGTCCTTTTCACAAACTTATGGGGGGAGAAAGGTGAAGGATGCAAATATGGAGCTTGAAGGTGATAGGATAAAGGTGAAAGGATGGTTTGATGATAAGGAATAAAAGTGATTTACTGGTATTTTATCTTATATAGAATTATTGCTGTTAGGACTAGTGTTAAGACAATAAAGCTCCTTAGTGTGTTGATTAGTGGATAAAACCATACCTCAGTCTTGTGCCATAGCTCGGGAGGTAGGGAGGAACTTTCTATCTTCTTTTTACAGTATGGACAGAAAGGTTTTTTACCGAGTAGGCACCATCCCTTTATACAATCCTCGTGGAAGGAATGAGTACACACCAAGGTATGTATCCTATCGCTTCCATCAAACGACCTTGTGCATATCATACAAAGAGAGTTGTTGTTTCCCTTACCTGGAACACCCTCCTTGCTGTAAAATCCTGTAGAGATGGCCATAGTCTCGCTTAAAAAAAAGATTACTTCCCTACTCAAAAGCCCAAAATACAGGAAAAACAATAAGATAGAAAGAGTGTACCCTAGGTATTCTGGGTTCAGATAGAAAAACATAAAGGTAAGAGACTGTCCTAGGAAAGTCCCTAGGTTTGAGATGATGAACAGTGTTTTGAATACCCCATAGATATCTCTCATCACGTCCTTTCCAAAAGACCCTTTCACAACCTTAAGAGTATTTAAAAGCATAAAGCTGGAAAATAGTAACCAGCAAAAGGGAAGGAAGTATGACTGTATATATAAAAAGAAACCTGGAGGAAACAATAGGAGTATCAAGAAAACACAGATGTCATGGGTTTTCTTGTTGATTTTCTTCCATGCTGAAAAGAAGGTCTGAATAACAAGCGCATATACTGATATAACAGCTATCCTCTGCAGAACATCTCCAAGAGTAGGCTCTCTCTCTATTATTATCACCTGTCTTATAGGCCTGTACTCTTTGCCTTCCCTATACCGCTCATAACTTGCAGCTTCAATGTCATCAAAAAAGGAATCTCCGTCATCCTTATCTACTTTGGCTTGGTCAAAAACTTTTTCCTCTTTTCCTCCAGTGCCATGGCTCGAGTTCTCGTTTTTTCCTTCTTCTTTCATCCGGGGCCTAACAAACAAATTGGTTTAGCTATGAAATTTAATCACTCAGCTGTAATGGGAAGATGGGAGCCGAGACTTATATTCTTTAATTCATAGAATCTATGACAAATAAAGCTTCAATCCTTCTCAAAAAGCTTGTTAAGCCATCCGCGGATTGCCTCTGTTATTTTATCAATTCCTTCATTGGTCACATTCAGCTTCTTGGATAGAAAATGGCTGACATCGCGAAGATAAGTCGGATTTGGAGTGCCAACCTTTTTTAGGTTGCAGAGACGATCAAACAGAGAGACAAAGCTCTCATGCTTCCCAATCTCCAGATCTAAATATCCTTGTATGTATCGAAGGAGAATCTCTAAGATGTTATCATAGTCGTGTATGGCCTCTTTCAGCTCTGATATTTCGTATATCATTGCATGTTCCTTTCTTTCAAGTTCCTTAAGACGTGCTATCCTCTTTTCCCTACACCTTTTGGCAGCAATGCGATTTCTTTCCTTTTTCCAGATGCTCTTTATTCTCTCCTGATCAACCTGTAAGGGAGAATATCCATGGGTTTCTATCTGCTGATAAAACTGATTCTCTTGCTCTCCGGGATATCCATATTTTCCCTGATGAATCTGCATCCTATCTTCCAAAAAGCCAGGTCTGAAGAGATAATATGGATGTATAGTAGGTGAGAATCCACTGTGCACGGGTCTTCTAGAATATCCAGCGTAGGTGGCTTGCATTTGTTCATTTTCATAATCGATGTTCTCCTCTCTATCCTCCATAATTATTCAACCACCCCATTTACTTCATATAAGTTAGTATCACGCTGGATATATTTTAATTTTAATTACCATGGCAAATTTAATTAGTTAATTTGACTATTGTTAGCAAATTCAGGTTCCGAGTACGAGTTACTATATCCTGGATATTTACCAGAAGCCTGAAATTTAGGTTTCAAGCAAGCATTTGTTGGGATCAAAAAATAATAAATATTTTAGTCATGCAAGACGTTAGTATTTATTACCCCTGGGATGGTTGAAGGCTTGTCATGGAAGAAGTTTGCAAAAAATAGGAGAGTTCAAGCATCCAATCTGTTTCTTTCCCACAGCTTTATGATTGAATCGTGTCAAAATCATCCATTTAAAACAAAAATCTTGGTCTTAAACAAACAACATAATGGAAACGATCAAGTGTGTTCTTGTGGGAGATCCCTCGGTAGGAAAGAGCTGGCTGATAAGCACCTACATAACGGGTAAGAACCCGGAGGGCTACATTCCAACACTTTTCAACAACCATAGCAAGGTTGTTAACGTAGGAGATAAAAAATACAATATGACTCTATGGGACACAGCCGGAAGCGAAGAGTATAATAAATTAAGAAGCTTATCGTTTCAGGAAACAGATGTTTTTCTGATATGTTATGCTGTTAACAACATTCTTTCATTTCATAACTCCAAGAGATGGATAGACGAGCTCGCGGAATACAATGTCCCTATGATTTTATGCGGCACTAAATGTGACATAATCGATGGGAACATTGTAGATAAAGAATTACCCACAAAGCTAAGCAAAGAATACGGATTGTATGGGTTCGTGGAATGTTCTTCAGTAGAGCTTATAAATGTAAAAAAGGTTTTCGATGTAGCTCTTGAGGCGGCATTAAAGCCCAAGAAGAGCAAGTTTAGATCGATATGGTTTTGCTGCAAATGTGGATAGATACGATCAACGTTTACAATAAATATTTTTATAATGCTATAGATCCTGTGGAATGTTCTCGGAGCGGATTCCTAGAAATATTTTAGGTAACCAACCCTCTCAGGAATGAGAAGAAGACAAAGAAGGCAAAGTTCAAACATATTTCATATGCTGACCAAAAACCAAATAGTTGAGCTCAGAGAGGCATTCAACTTCATGGATGTCAACAGTGACACATTTGTCGATAGGGGAGATTTGGAAAGCTTTCTTGCATCAATAGGATCACCTTTTTCAAGCGAAGAAATCAGCGAGATGATGGCAGAGAGCGGGGACAACATGACCTATATGCTGTTTCTAACAATGATAGGGGAAAGACTTAGCTGTACAGATCCAGAAAAAGATATATTCAATGCATTAAAGGAATTTGATGATAATGGAGATGGCACAATCGATGAAAAGGTACTGAGGGCATGGCTGATGGAAAAGGGTGATCAAATGGCAGGCGAGGATGTCGACCTACTCCTAAAGGGTTGTGTAGAAAATGGAAGAGTTGACTGCAAAAGCCTTACAACAAAGATAAAGTATGGAGAAATCATTGCCGAATAAATGTCTTTTCCTTTGTAGATTTTGTTAACATAAAGAATCCATATTAAAACCAATTTACTTCATCACCAAGTACTTCTAGAAAAGGGCTCTTGAACCTTATCCAACTCATTCAGTATAACCGTTTGCTTCTGACGTTCCTGTAGCGCATTATCCACTTCTTTTAGGATTTTCTCCCCTGTCCCTCTTAGATCCTCCAAAAAGTCGATCACCTCATTCTTATTCTGTGTAACACAAAGCTTTTCTCTTTTGCTCAGTGGGAGATATGCTCTGTATATACGGTCCAGTAAAGTGCACTTTCCCTCTTCCTTCTTGAATCGGTTATAAACACCCCCAAAGATCTTTCTGTATATCTGAAGGCACCCATCTATCTTCGACTTGAGCTTTTCAGATCTCATTCTCAGCCCACCTATTTTCTTCCGCAAGAAATCATATGAGTCATTAATCCTCTTGCATGCGTCCATTTGCAAAGACTTTCTATGCTCGATCTCGTCTCCTTTTAAGAGTACGGGCATCATTGTTGGATCGCTTGTCAAAGAGATATTCCATAGAGTCTCTGGAAAATCCAAAGGGCGTCCAAAAGGCCCATCAACCTTATTATAAAACACATACTTGAACTTGTAGTTCGGAGAAGAAGGGTCATAGCTCTTTTCAATGTTGTCTATCAGGGTTAGAAGCTCCTGGTCTTTCTGTATTTTATATTCCATGGGTTCCACAGGCCAACGAGGTTTAATGAAGGGACTCTAACAATAAATTTTAGTTTGTTTTCTTGGTAATGAAGATGAAGGCGGAAAAGCCTGTAATCATAAGGAAAAAAAGACAAGAGTATAATGAGTTTATTGCAAACGACGCTGATTGGAATGATCAAAGGATAGCGTTAATAGGGTTGTATAGTACATATCAAATGTATAAAGATGCCGGAGTAGCTGGAGATATAGTGCCAGACATCTTAGCCAAACCTTCCTTTAAGATGTCAAGAGGAACGAACATAGCTGGATATAAACTACATCTTGCCAAGCTAGCTCTTATTGATGGACGCCCATTTAAGTTCAACTTCGAGATCAGGCGGCATTACTTCAACCAAGCAAACATTGTATTTCTGCTTGGAATGGCTAAAAATAACCCAGAAATTGTTTACTCAATGCTCAGCAAAGGGTTCCCTAATAATATCAATGCTCCGGTGTTCAGAAGTCAAATGTTTCCAACTTACTTTCATCTTGCATGTGCAATGCATCATGATATACTATCTGTTTTCCTAAAGTTTTCACCAAACTACTCACTATGCTGGAACGGGCTTACTCCACAGATGATTGCGTCATTTAATGGGAAATCCCTGGAAGCTAAGCAGCCTTTCAATTTCGTTTCAATGAGACAGTATAGATTGCTGAACAAGTTCAGAGGATTCACTTTGGCTGAGGCAGATGAAAAGCCCATTTTCCTGATAGATTTTCTGTGCATGAAGAGCGATATGGAAAGTGCTAGAAAAATACTTAATAGAAATCCAGAGTTGTCTAGAGTTAGTAAGATTTGTTATTTAATACAGGATGACATAGAATGGATTATGTTCTTGAGTAGATATCAGACATCTGTGCATCAAGAGTTCAATGGGATTTCCCCCCTGCATGTAAGCTCTATTAGTGGCAACTTCGAGACCCTAGTTGCATTTATAGCACTAGGAAGCCATATTAACTCCAGGGATAAACTGGGAAACACTCCGATGCATTACTGTGCAATGTTAAAACACTTCAGATGCTTAGAATTGCTCATTAGGCTTGGAGGAAACATGACTATGGTGAATAGGGAGGGTGTCAGTACAGAAGATATCCTACTTAATCTGGGCAAAGCTTTTAATATCAAGGAAGTTGATGTAGAGCTCTCTGAAGCTCTTTTTCAGATTTTAGGAGATTCCGTCGAGTTCAGACATTATCTATCAATTGTAGATAGAATCAAATACAACAGTAATCATACAATTGTCAAAAAGAACAGATTCACAATAACATCTTTGTTGAATCTGCCGCACAAAATTGATTACACAGAGGACCTCATCTACAAGATCAGCATAGTTAGAGATGATAAGAAGAGCAATCACACCCCACGGAGGACACTTCAAATGATTCTAGAGCATATTCAATAAAACTATGTATTCAAAACCCTGGATGGAAGGATATAAGAGCTGTAGAGTTATTATTGGGAATGAAGCAAGAGTGATTCCGGAAGAAGAGAGAGCAATTCCGGAGCTCACACATGAGTGGAAGGCTTATGTTAAGGCGCCGCCTGAGATAGTAAAAAAGGTTGAATTTAAGCTCCATGAATCTTTTAGTAATAGGCTGGTGAGTAAAGAACACCCATTTGAAGTTGTAGAGAGAGGATGGGGTGAGTTTAGCATCCAAATGAAGATTCTTTTATTCAACGGGGAGAAAATAACAACTAGCCACTTCTTACAGCTCCATGGGGACTCAGATGTAATCATAAACGAAAGAATTGATGAGATTGTATTTAAAGGGAATGGGAGTGAAAGCATAGCCTTGGAAGAAGAAGAAGAGGCGGAATATGAAAGAATTGAGGCAGGATTAGTGAGTATGTTAGAGAAGTTCAAAGAAATTAATGAGTAGGATAACATTATTACTATAGGTGAATGATTTGTATTTAGATGTGCTGCTTAACTTGTATATATCAATAAGGGTGCTCAGAGCTGCATATTAATAAATGTATGAATTATATAAGAAGGTTGCAATTATTGGAATAGCTCAGGTAATTGATCCCAAATATTGATTAAATAAATACCCGGTTATGTGATTTCAGGACGGCAGAACCCCTTTCATTCTGTTTCTGTAAAATGCCTTAATAGTCGGAAGACTTGGCTCAAATTTGCTGCTTTTTATGGTAAATAAAAAGATGAGTCCTGAATTTTATATAGCACCATTATTGAGTATCTCGGTGTCATGAATATCTACATCATCTTTTGTGCCCTATAGAAATCAGGCATATAGTTGCCAAAATAAGGTTATGGAAAAATTAAGCGAACTGTCATTTTTCTACCAATACCTTGTCTGTACCGCTAAATCAAGTTTCTTTTAAGACGTCATATTGAGAAGTCGTCCTAGCGAATCAAAAGCTTTTCTAAAAGTATAAAAGCAGACGGAAAAACTTCTTTAATGGGGATCTCAAAGGAAAGTTGTGATCACAGCTCAAGTTCGCAGTGCAGAGAATGCTCGAATGATAAGTCTTATGAGCGTAAAGGTTCCGAGATGAAAGACAAGACAAAGAATACAACTAGCAATGCTATGGGAAAGACAAAAGAAAAAACCAATGAGACTATGGGGAGAACCGGAGATGCGGCCAACGAGACCAAGGAACAGACAAAGAACAAGGCATCAGAGCTAGGAGACAAGACCAAGGATACAGCCAATGACACCATGGGAAAAACAAAAGAAAAGACCAACGAAACTAAGGAACAGGCAAAGAACAAGGCATCATCTATGGGAGATAAAACAAAGGAAAAAGCAAATAACGTCAAGAGCAGCATAGACAACAAGGACAAGAATGAGGTATATGAAAATATCAAGGAAGGAGGAAATAAAGCATGGAATAAAACAAAAGAGGTCGCTAGTAGTATGAAGGATGGACTCAAGGACCTCACCAATAACAATGAGCAAAAGAAGTGAATTAAACACTTTGCTTATTTCTATTTTTAAATTTTATTGTAATCTAATGGCTATGATGAAATAGCATATATAGATTGATAGCTTTAATCAAGATCATTGGATATCCTTGAGAAGGT